TCGCACATGTAGTTATTACATGTTTTGCAGAATGAGACGGCATCTTGCTGAAACTTGCAAGCAGTGCATTGTGGACGCATCTCAAGGACAGCGTTCATCCCTCCACATTTGGCGTGGTAATCATCTACGAGTCCGTTGACAGTCACATTGGTGAGGAAATCATCGACACGGTTCACAGACAACTTGGTGATCTTCCTGCAGAGCGGACAGATCATGTGATCGAGATCCTGGTGGGAAAGGTCATACTTCTTGAGGCATTTCCGACAGAAGGTGTGTCCGCATGAGGTCAGGATGGTTGCTTCATCGAAGATATCAAGACATAGTGGACACGTCAGGTTCTCTGAAGAGCTTGAAGCTTTCTCTTCCTCAGTCTTCTCAGCCATTGGTACAAATATCGGATTTCTGGCTTATTACAAACACGAGCTCATTCTTCGCCTATATCCATTTGATGTGCAATAAAACTTAAAAGTTTTATCAGCTGATGCGTATACTATAAGCCAACCGTCAGTTCATGCAAGCACAAACTATAATGCAGTGACGTCGTAGAATTTACCAATATCCCGAGTCTACGTAACAAGTGTGTCCTTACCCGGGGTCCTTACTGCGTGAAGTTCTATACCAATTTATCACGTTTCGATTACATTATGTGTCGAAAGAAATGGAAATAATTTTGATCAAAAGTACCGAGTCTCTATTCAAGTACGTGTATACATCAATACAAATGTGATTACAATGCTAAACTCACACTTGAGTAGATCGTATACGAATTTAAAGCAGCTTGTGCATATAAGTGGGTTTTCCCAACAGAAATATTAAGCACCTTTGAACTTTATGGCGGTGTTTAATATTTGTATCTATAGAGGGCGACCTATTTATGCTTTCAATATAGTCTCTTTATGACACTAGCTTTAAGCTGGATAAAATATAATGTTGGAAATCCACTCTAGTACACGTACGTAACCTAAATTGTGTAATCTCTCATCAATCTTCATCAATATTTTATATTCATCAATATTTAAAAATTAAAAAATGTACGTGAGTGTGTGTGTGTGTGTGTGTGTGTGTGTGTGAGAGAGAGAGAGAGAGAGAGAGAGAGATAAATAAAGAAAGAAAGAAAAATGGAAACTTAATATCCGACAGAATGTTGATGAGAGAATATCGTATGGTTATTTCATGGATCCATGATGTAGCTATATAGGTTCATCCAAAATTATTTCAAATCATATTCCGGTGCAATACTTGATATTTGATATATTAAAATTATTGTTCTCATAATAAGCTCTTGAAACAGACAAGATTCACATTATAATGGTCATAAGCCTAAATCATGATATATATTTTTTTTATTATAAGAGAGGAAGTGGTGAAATATTTTGTCATTCAAATATTCATTGTTAGGAAGGTTGTAACCTCGTAACAATCTATACGCAATAATTTTGTATTGAATGAAATAGATATCTACAAAGAGAGAAGTTAGAAAGAGATAAAAGAAGAATAGTGGAGAAAGAAGGGTTTAAATATAAGTGTAGTCCAGATCTTTTACCCTTCCAAACATAGGAATGGAGAACTAACAATTGCTCTATTATCCAGGATTCTGTACAACAGAAAACCCAAATTATGTATTCTTTTATCAAAATCTTTGTAGAAGTGTGTCTTAAAATAGACATCCTCTTTCACATTATGATACGATTTAAATAAAATTTTGCCATCAAATTTTTGGCAAATTTGGGGCTCTTTAAATTGGCTTCAAGTCTTATGTTTTTCACCATGTTATTTTTTTGCCGGGTCTTCAACAGTCTTATCAGATAATCCATTGTGTGGTTTCATAATTAATTCTTCATCATCAGAGTCCAAACACTCTTCCTTATTGCTCTTAAAAGGAGAAACTACTAGCAGACAACATTTACTGAGTGCCAGAAGACCGTTAATTCATATATTTGTCTAAATTAATTCAAAGTTAACGCCTTTCTGGCTCTTGAATTATTGTGGGTCTCCCCTCAATTAATTGCTGGCGATTCTTATTGCATGATTCGTCGATGGGAGGGGGGGGGGGGAATGAATTAGTGAAAATGCACTTATAACTTATAAATAGATCGAGATTTGAAACGATTGATATCGAGAGTCAATATCAACACTATAATATTTCCTGACATGAATTTTGAGCCGGGAAAATAAATGAACAAAGGAAATGGGAGAGAGATAATATGGGGGTTAATAAAGAAAGTAAAAGAAGGAAATTACAGAAGGTAGCGAAGACAGTGAGAAGTATAGATAGAAAGAAAAACAGTCCTGCAATATAAAGAATTAGACAAGATCAAATTTCTTTCAGCAAAATAGTTTATCTTGAGCTTCGATAACAATGTGTGAAATCTGATAAGTTTATTATTAAGATCTTTTTCAGTAATTACTTCTTCTGCTTCCACACCCTTTGCCAAAGTTTTCAGGCAGAGTAGGAAGACGACTTACGGTGAGTTTCTATAAATTTATGTGAAATTAAAAGTTCCTAAGGAGGAAGGAATTGCGGAAGGACTGTGATTGAAAAGATGTGATTTGTCACGGAAGGTTTTAGCGGTCGAGACTGAAGAGAGTTCGTTGACAAGATGAGATATGGTCAGAAGTTTGGTCAAGACAGTTTAAGAATTAAGCAAGACTGTTAAGTATGGCTCTAGGGATGACAAAAGAGAGTAAAATGGTTTATGGTTAATTTTGAGAGAACAAGAGACAATGACATACAGAATACTGATAAGAAAAGTGAAAGGCCTTTTTGAAGACGAGGAAAGATATCTGGAAATTTTGTATTAAAAACGTGGTCAAAATGATCAAATAAATAAAAAGGCGGAACTTAAATGAGATTATGGAGATTTCGCGCTATAGTCAAAGACAGACAGAATACTGATATGAAAACTCGAAGACTGCGAGAGAAAACTGGAATTACGCCGTGACTGAGTTTTGGTAAGACTTAAAAGACTCTACAATTAAACGATTGAATGAAAATGAAATTAGAATTTCTAGAGAACGGAACGGAATCCCGATACAAATAGGAAAACTTGAAAGACTTATGGGAAAGATTTATTTTTTCATTTCATATGATTTTTTTTATTGATTAAATCCGAGAACAATCACAATAAACAAGATAAAAACAAGATATTTAAGGCAGGTGGCAGGTGGTAAGGGGGAAATAAATATGTAAACGAACACAATGAATATGCTACATAAGGAAATGTCTCCCAATCATCTTAAAGGCATCGTTTAACAATTTTTTTCCAGTTTTACAAATCTGAGATTCGTAACCCTTCGTGGTATCATGCAGTGTCCGTGATATGGTGTGGTATTGAAGCCCTCAAACAAATCGCGAATGAAATAGTGACCGATTTTAAACAGTTGGAAAAACGGTTTTTGAAATTTAGATGCGATCGGCTTTTAAAAGGCAAGGAAATCCTGACTGACCTAAAGGTTTATAATTATGATTGCAGCATGAGCTAAATCCAGGATTATGTTAAGAATCTGAGGCAAAGAAACCCAATTGGGGAAAGATCATTTGTGTAATTGTAAATAACAAATATATTCAACGGTCAAGTTCATCGTATTGCTATGGTCAAGGTTTGGTCAAGACGGTTAAGTATAATGAGGTCAATTTGGAATAATCCCTCTAGAAGGCCAAAGAGAAAAAAAGGAATCGGGAGAGAAAGGGCACATATAGACAAATTATGGATATCGATAGGACATATAATAAAAGAAGAGAAAAGAGTGTTATAACAACAGAGATGGGTGTCATCATACTAGATTATGGGATGGCATGAATGCGGTGGGGGGGGGGGGGGGGGGGGGGTAAGACCACTGAATGAAGCACCATCATTAAATTGCTTTAAAAGTAAACTTCGAGTTTTTCTTTTAAATTCTTACAAAGTCATCTAATATAATTTGTTTGCCCTCCCCAGTCCTTTTTTCTTCAATGCTAATCTTAATTGTTAATTAATGATGCATGTTCCAGTTTTTAATGTATAAAAACAAATTTCATTGGGCTATGCTAACTAAATTGCTCGTGTGACTACGTATTTTAACTGGGTGACTTTGGGTATTGGTGCTAATGCATCATTTTGTATACAAATTTCCTCATTCCGTTGTGTTTTAAATTCTCCCCTCTAAAATACGTCTTTCTCTATTGCTGTGGGTTTTTTCATCTAAAATCCCGTCTTTTTTAAAGCAGGAACCTATAATATACAAGCACTGCTTTTTAATAGGTTTCTTACATCCTACTTAATATATTATATGAATTGAGAATCATTGAGACGTGCTCATTTATACTACATGTAAATAATTACTATTTTATAAATATATGTATGTCTATATTTTTTGTAAAATGTGGAACAAATAAAATGTGAAAACTTGAAACTTGAAGGAAATGAAATGAATGGGAAGAATACTGTTAGAAGGTGGAATGAGACGATATGGGGAGGAGTAAGCGAGAGAGAGAGTGGAAGAAGGGAGAGATAGAGAGGGAAGGGTGAGAGAAGGGAGAGAGAGAGAGAGAGAGAGAGAGAAGAGAGAAAAGAGAGAGAGAAGGGAGAGAGAGAGAGAGAGAGAGAGAGAGAGAAGGGAGAAAAGAGAGAGAGAAGGGAGAGAGAGAGAGAGAGAGAGAGAGAGAGAGAGAAGGGAGAGCGAAATTGAGGAGGGAATTAAATTTCTTTTAACCGTCTGTCCTCCCCCCCCCCCTTCTCCTTCTCTCTCCTTCTCTCTGTCCTTCTCTTTTCTCCCCCCCCCCCCCCTGCCCCTCTCCATCAATGGTATAATTCCCTTCCATACAATGTATTCTCTCCTCTCAGCTCGTAGATTGATTGCGACATTTCTCCACACACGTTTGTTCTATGCCATTCTAGTGCAATCTCGCAGTAGGTATTCAAGAAGTATTCTCTTTCATTTCCAGAATATCATGGTACCCTCCTTTTAATTAATTCTGGCCCGATAAAATACATACCACTGACACAATACACAATAAAGACTTTAATGGCGTATCTGACGTTTATTACCTTAACTACATATACATGACATGAAAATTACATACTTTGTACTAGTATTTTTCTTTTTCTGAATTAATATAATCGTACTTGACATAGGTTTAATCGTTTGATAGAAAAGTGTTTATAGTACAAAACCCCCATGTTTTGCCAGAGATTCTACCAATGCTGTTTCCTTGCTACTGAACTTGTTTAAATGTCAAACTACAGCACTCCAATACGTCACACCATGTTCATTAATGACATGTTTGTAAAGATTACACCAATCAATGTTTTGCAAAGAGACCATAAATCAGAGAATAAATTTACAGTGATACAGTGTGCGTCTTATCAATACATTGTAATGCACTTCAATTCTTTCTGAGTGATGAAACTTGACAGAATGCACACAACTTAAACTGAACTTTCTCTGTCCTTTTCCCCTTTCCCTTCAATTATCTACATCGCATATATCTAATCATGTTCTATACAGTAGTATAATATGTCTAGTATACAATGTGAAATGATTTTACTTCATGAAAACAGCTCCTTAATTACTCATCATGCCATGAATACCCCCAAAAGGTGCATCTGTGCTTCACTAGAATGCCAATAAAAACTTGTAATAGCCACAAAGAAAGAAAATCATGGTCTTGTGAGAAAAAAATCAGACTGCCTTATACCTGATTATAGCATCATTGATTTTCTTTTATCATACAGATATACCATACATGAAGAGATTAATGGTTTGATGGTACACCAGAGACCTGTTTCATAAAACTTGTTATCAATAACACCTGCCACAGATCTATGACAAATCTGCTCATAGCCAATCAAAAGCAAGGATTTCAGTAGCTTATAACAACTATCGTAACTTGATATTGATAACCAGTTTTATGAAACAGGGCCCAGTGCACGGGGACTAAGAGGTGTAGGATTGTGGCTCTACTCCATAACAAGAAAATACATACATCGGACTATTGGCACTCTTATGGATTTCAAGAAGGAGCAAATCTTCAATAAACATCCTTGGTCATCAAACAGACATGAACATGAAACATGAAAAACCTAGTTTTAAAGTAATCTTAAAAGGAATGACCACTATTGTTTTAAAAAATTAACAAGAATTGTCTGGGGGGTTTCTGGTTCACCCTGTATAGAATCCTGTTCAATCATTGTGAGGTTACGATAATATTTCTTGAAAAATTGAAACGGTGCACTGAATTTGGTTTACAGAATTTTATAAGTACTACCGAAAACATAAAAGGTGTATTACTGGGCATATATGCATGTAGAACAGCAAAATGAATTCAATTGTATATGTTACACCTTAATGTATTTACAAGTCATTTTGTTAAATATTAAGATATTACATCTGTTCATGCAAACAGATTTTAAAATGGAGCATGCACATAATGATGTAGTGGGTGATTGTATTTTGAAGGATTTTAAAGGAGATCAATGAATTCTTGTCATAAAGTGAAATAAAACGATTCAATGTTTCTTAACAGCATAGATACAGTGCAGAACAATATACATGTATGTATAGCCTTTGGTTTATCACATGGTCTTGTAGCCCTTTTCATTAGCTGAGGGTCAGAAGGGCCTAACTGCATACACTTAAACATGGGGTTAAAGGCCTTCTTGCTCTCAACAGATGATATATATATTTCTTTTTCTTGACTGAAGGATGTGGGGTGGTTTTAGGTAAGGTTCAGGGTTCAAGTCCCATTGTATAGCTGATTCCCCATATCTTATGAATTGGTGTCATCATGTTCACATCCATTAAACACACACACAAAAATGAAAACACAATAAGACTGTACATTGCATTGGTAGATCCCTTACACATTAACCCCTTATCATCTGGAAAATCACTTCGCCTCTATTGAATTGTATACAGAAGCATATTTATAACCGTCAAATACTACAAGATGGCTCTATTTTTGAAGAAGAAAAAGTCTGGAAATATGTGCTGTATCTACCAAGAATTATTTCCACAGAATATATACAATGGATTATCTGGTGTTTTGGCAAAGATTCTCCTCTTTTTCCACATGTATTGAAGGTAAACATGAGTTCTGGAAATTAAGGAAACCGATTTGCCAGTATCAAATAAACTTATGCTGAATGTTTAATACAATATTATGACTTTTTTATAGAAAAATGCACAACAGCTAACCAATGAGCTAAAGAAAGCTAGTCATCTTAACTACATGCCAAGCACCCAAAACATGTTTTTAATTAACCCGATTTCCCAAGTGATCAATTTAGCACATGGCAGACACTGCAGGATGAACTGAAGTCAGTATCTAACAATTTCATTTCCCTTCCTACAACTCAGACTAGCTTGAAACAGAATCTTTAAATGAATATGGAAATATTTCAAATCAGCTACCGTTACATTTTGGGGGTAAAATTATTGTCATATCTATAATCTTTCCCAAGTAACGTTATAAATGATTCCCTCTCTATCAATACCCCTGATTGTAAAAATCCTTCTCATCCAAACATCTTGATAATTATTTACTTCACCATCTTCATATTACAATAAATACATTTACAAAATAGCAAAACTTCTTTACAAAGATACCACTATGTGCAGTTGAAGCATGCAAGATACCCTTGCCTAAGTCAGAGAGAGTCCTGGCTTAAGAACCCTTTAACTTGGTGGTCAAAACGGCCAACATTCTGGTCCTTACTCCAACACATACCGACACTCAAGCATGTACTAGCATTTTGTTTTCAAACTTTTTGCAAACTTACATACAAGCATTTCTTATTTTGTAATCAATGTCTTCTTGCATTCCAACAGGATCATATAGCTTATACCTACTGTAAATCAAAGGTACTCTATATATTTGTGAAACATTTGTGGTTGAAAAAAAATGAGAATATGTTTCAAGAAAAAACAAACATTAATTTCTGGTGCATAAGAAAACCAATATGACTGTCTCCTATAGCACAACAAATCTTTCTATATGCCTTTTCAAAAGAACATGCACAACAGGAAAGAAATGTTTGCTTTATTTATCTGCATTTTTCCTTTATATGAAATTTCACTTTAGATTTTTTTTCTCCAATAATACAACAGAATGATTTTTAATTGTTTCAATTTTTATGTCAAGTAGTACCTTAATGCGAATAGAATGCTGCTTAAATACACAGGAGAATATAACTACTACGAGCCATGTTTTGATCCAAATAGTCATTCATCCAAGTCCCATGCAAGAATCAAAGCACAAGAGGACGACAGGTGGATATGCAATCAATTTGGATTAAGTGCAATCAATGGAGTTCAAATGCATTTATTTACATGTAGCTTAATTGCAATCAACTGAGGTCGAATGTATTCGATTCAGAAAAATTGCAATCGATTGAGATCAAATGCATTCGATTCAGATAAATTGCAATCGATTGAAATCAAATGCATTTGATTCAGATAAATTGCAATCAATTGAGATCAAATGCATTTGATTCAGATAAATTGCAATCGATTGAAATCGAATGCATTTGATTCAGACCAATCAAAACTCTTTAAAATAGAGAGGCCCAAATATTCAAAGGAGAATAAACAAGGGGTGTACACATACATACCTTATGATACAAACTCCTTTCGTTTACAAGAAAAAAACTATCACTACACATACTCAATATTCAAAAGGAATCTTCACAATTACAGAACTCTAGCTAGTGTTATGGTGATGATAAAATGTGTTTTCTTTACAACTCACATCTTTATATAGGACTTATTCTAATAATTGCATGAAGAATTCAGGTTAACTTCTGTTAAATATGATAAAGATATTGATTGTATAAAAGGCTTAATTTGAAGAAGGAAAAAAAGAAGAGATCTTTCAATGAATTACTTTACGAAGTAAGAAAACGTAGTACCAATCATCATATCACAGTAAATGTGATTATTATTTGTTTAGTCTTATTTCATCAGGATGCGGCACTATTCCTAAATATCATTACATAAAATATTCAAGAATTAAACAATAATATGATACTTATGTCTGAAACAAAATGTGACAGGAAAAGGAGTCATATTGCAAACCCCCAACCCATCTTGGACTAGTTTTAAGAAAGTATCAAAGTAAATATATGATATCAACATATTAAAGGGTATATGGCACATGCTGAATTATTTATAAATCCAATTTTTCAGTTAATATTACTTTCCCTTCCTGACTACAAAAATCTAGAAATCATTTTAGAGGGCAATTTGATGAATGGATATGATATCCTATTACCACATTATTAAGGGGAAAGTCTACCCAACAATTAGCTGGTATTGATAAAAGCAGGAAAAACACTGACAAAAGAAAACCTTTCACAGACATGTTCCTCTCATTGTTCTGCCTTCATTAAGGCCGACTTCATATATGGGTGGACTTTCCCTTTAAAGATATAACTGACCAAGAATGAAGGGTGCATTGAAATTTGATCATGCAGTCAATTTTATCCCCCAATGCCTTGGGAACAACACAAAAATAACAATAAAGATAATGATAATAAGACTAATAAAAAATAAAGAATAAATGAGAAGATATTATGGGGCCACTCCCTCCCTCGCTCTCTTTGCTCCTGTCATGTGTTTTTCACTTCATTACACTTGATTTAATATCACTCATGGCGTGTTTCTCTGTCCATTCCCTGGCTAACTTGGTATACCTTGCCTTGTCCACTTTGTACACTCGGGCGATTTCGGGCACTAGCGGATCGTCTGCGTTCGGGTCATCCAGCATCGAACAAATTGACAGTAGAACTGCAACAACAACAAAAAAGAGGAAAAAGGAAAAGAAAAAAGACCAGATTTATATATGTGAGACCTGTGAAAACTGGAGGGAGACAAGAAATTTTTGTTGAGGTACGTGGTCTATATTGTCAGTTAAGAATGAGACATTGCCCTTCTCAATCTCAAATGAAGATATACGTATGGTACATGTCTCTATATTATACATCTTTCACCAAGAAACATTTTTCGTGAGAGAAAAAAGTGTGGTTTTCAAAGACAGGTGGTCTTTCTATAAACGACGTCTCAAGGGCATATCTGAGTGTATTATCAAAACATCAGCACTTACTCTACCTGTACTTTCCATGTTTCTTATAATGTACTGTGATGCTTATAGTCACGACCCGCCTTAGGTCTTCTCGCATGTGAGTGTCCTTGGCTGCAGTCGAGTGGTAGTCAACCTTCTAGGATTCGTACATATCCTTTTATACTATCCCTGGTGTGGGCCTTGCACCCTCCTTGCACCCTCCTCACAAACATACTCCCCATTACCTGCACAAATTGTGAAGGTCACCTCACAATTGGCTGTGTACTGTACCATACAGCTCTGTAGAACACCACAACTAGCCCATTTAATGCTTGCAGGAAGCCCTTGCAAGCAAGGTTTGCCATGAAGCATAAAAACTGCATTTGTTACATGCAGTTAACACCAAAACCTTAGCCACACACAGAGATCATTGGACATGCCGAGAAACCTTCTGCAGGTGCCCAATTCTAATGGGACATGTGCACTATAAAAATGTATCATCATTTCATCAATCAAAGATATGATAGAGATAATCAAATAGGTTTAAACAAAGACTAAGCCTGACTATCTGAATCTGTTTTCTTACATGTAGGTCAGCAAAATGTCTGTTCAGGACACATCCACGCTAACTTTGTGAAGACGCGCATTGTGTGTGGAAAGACTTATACATTTTGTTCAACTTTAAATGTTACCAAGGATTGGCTATTAACAATTGAAGAAGAAAGGTTGTTCCAGTCCCTAACAGTATTTACGAAGAAGGAGTCCTTCTACAGACTACAGACTAGTGCCTTGTTAAATTCTAGCACTTTGTTCCCTTAGTTTCCTGCTGATTTATATTGTTTGATTTCCCCCTCTTTTTTGTGTTTTAGCTCAAACCTATCCTTCAATATCAGTTCATTGTTACTAGATAAATGTTCAGGTATGATACAGTAAACTAACATTAAAATAAATGAATAAATGCGCAAGGTCAAAATGAAACATTTTCATGTCAATGCGTGGCATAGGGAAGTGATATAAAGTACTGTAGATCCAGGACCGTTCAGTATTTTTTTAAAGACGGCTATTTCATGATACTCGTCCACACTATCATAAAAAGAATGAAAAAGCTGACAAAGTATTTTCACCTTTCTCCAGAACTCGATCTTCTCTTTAATGATGATAATAATAATTACATTTGTATCTTATAGCACTTAGTACTACATTCAAAGCGGTTTACTTTGCAATTGTTATCATCCCGGTCATTGGATTCAAATAGTAATCCATACATGATAATGTGCATGCTCTGCTCCCTGGGGAATTTTCCGGCCAGGCGCCATTTTACGAGCGCACACATACCAATCAAACTTTAATAACATTAGCATCCTAATGGCAACACATTTAACACCTGGGTGGAGGGTGGCAAATGTAGATTAACTTCTTGCCAAAGGACATTAGTGCCGGGACAGGACTCGAACAGCAAGCCTAGCCCACGACACACTCTTACTTTAAGGAGGAATACTGCATCATATAGGCTTGGCAGTGTTTCACAATGACTAAGATCGACTTAACTTGGACTTGAACTATATAGCAGGCACTAGTTCCTTTAACCATTCCTGGCATTGATTTCTCAAGGGACGTACAAATCGTGATCATAAATCTAAAGAATTTACTTTTTGTTTCATAGTTCACTATTGAAGGAAAAATATATTATCTAAAGATCATAATCGAGAGATCAATGGTGAGAGCAAACAGTGGCATGAATGGCCTGCCATATTTCAAGTCCAACTTAAGTCGATTTTAGTTTTTGCGAAACACCCCCCTGATTATGTAACCTACAGTACTTACCTTTAGATATTGTTAGAGCGGGGGACCACTGTGATCTTAGAATATCGAGACAAATGCTGCCATTGCTGTTTATATTCGGATGATAGATTTTTGTTGTGAAGTTGACCTGCAAAATAGAAACACATGTACAGGTAACGGCACCAGTTCAGAAGCCTATCCAAAGTTTGACCCTTCACTTCGGCGTGGAGATACCGCACTTAAACATACCCAAAATGAAGTAAATATTCATCAAATGTTTAAATCAAGATCATGAGTTAAAAGTTGTTGTGTTTATTACTGGTACCCGTTTCGTGTCAATTTCCTTGTTATTTTGCGAAAAAAGGTTAATATTAGTATACACTTTTTCACAGGTTTCACTGCAAACCGCTGCACAATACAAGTGCATACTGCATACTGATGGTTGGCTGCGGGCGAGCGCGCGCCTGTGTGAAGTTATCTACCGTAAATACCCCCTTTAAATTTCATGTTTTTTGTAACACAAGAATGAAAGGGGACTGGTTAAATTGGGGCTTTTGTTGAATAATTATATATTTCTCAATTTTCTTTTAGCGAACCAAACTGAATACTATCTGAGCTGTCTAGAGCCATGTCCTGACTGAGGAGCCCTAAATGAGATGGTGTCCCTCCCATCAGGTGGCACAGTATCATCAATTTGTAACCCATTAAAGGGATAGTTGAGTTCTGTTATCAAACCGCCAATGCCTTCAAAGTGCATGGTTATTGCTCTTATTCTTATCTATGACATTTATAGTGCCCTTTTAGAACCTAAAATTGCTATGAAGGTAATTTTAGACCCCAAAATGTGTGAAATTTAGCCAATACGATCATACCAATTCAGCTCCACTTTACAAAAAACATGGTGACCGTTAATTAGTTATTTAATTAAAAAAACCAATACATGGGCCGGCTAATTGTGGGTAATATAAGCAACACGAAAATGCCAACAAAAAAAGCCAACATCGGCATTGGCTGAAATACAATGTAAAAGGCGTTATTTCAGGTTTTTGAACGGTTTTTTGAAATTTGTCAAAATATCTAATATTTGTAGTGATACATAAGTATTAGAAATCGTTATATTTCAGCCGTCTCTGAACTGATTTTGATCAAAAAAGATGATTTTGTCAATTAAATATTATGTTCTTTCAAATTTGACATTCAGTTTTCCATTATCTCACAAAAAAATTATTTTGTGTAGCACCCTCTGCAACAGAACTCAACTATCCCTTTAAGTGAGAAATCAATCTGCATTTATAAAGTTGATTTCTGATACATGTAGGAAGGAGTCCCATTTCTGCAGCACTTGTATATGGTTCAAGTATGTGCCTCTGAATAGCTTTTCTAGACAGATGCTTAAAATAACTTTCACAACCTACATCTAAAAGAAATGTTCAGGGTAAACAGTTGACTGATACTTACTTTAGGTGGTTTGAAAGGATAGTCTGTGGGGAACTGGATACTAAGACTAAATACACCTTCTTCATATGGGCTGTTTTTCTGCAAGATAAGACATAGCATACAGATCATTAAAACAACACCTTTAAGAAAATTTCAGACAAAATCTGAAAAGATTGCATCTTTATTGCTCCAGTTCTAAATATTTTTAATGCAACATCCAAATTTATGAACAGATTAGTCTGTCATCTTGTCATCGAAAGTGACAGCGTTTCTGAGAGATCAAATAGTGAACTGATACTATTCAAAATGATATTTTAGTTTCCTATCTCTCCTTTCATTTCCTCCTACGCTCATTCTCAGAATCTAAACTGCTAAAATCCCTTAAAGGTAAAGACCAGTTATGGTCATGCGATTGCATTGTGAAAGAAACGTAGAATCGATCAGAAAAGGTTGATCATCTAGCATATAAGTATTGGTGTGTACTGCAAGGTTCTGGAATCACCAAAATGATAAGAAATTTGGCCCAGTCTTGGTAAAGTTATGAGCACTGTACACAGAAAGATGTATATGGGACTACGCACATGTGCATGACACATGCGTTTATCCCTCAAATACCAATAGATAACCCAATTTACCAAATATATCAATTAGTAGCGGTTTCCCGGCAATTTTTTTATCATCTTGTATTAGTCAAAACATATTCTTTCACATGATTGGTACATGTAATAAGAGCTTCCATTTCATTTTTTGAAATTGGAGCGTTTCCAAAACTGGTCTTTACCTTTAAGTGCTTGTCACATCCTAACAATAACAATAATGATATTTTTCAAGTAGATATAAAGTTGAGTTCTGGTCATGTGATTGCAATATGAAAGAAAGTGTGTGGAAACGATGGAAGGCTAATCATGTAGCCAATATAAGTACCGTAAGTATTGGTGTGCCAGGGGTGATAGTGAGCACTAAAATAAATAAATCCCCTCAACCACACCCCCCTTGAGTAAAAAAAAAAATAGAGGATTCGTGGGGGAAAAAATGCATCCAACAACATTCCCCCCTTTCGAGTAAAGAAAATAAGGGGGAAATCGGGAAAATCAGGATAAAATAGGGAAGAAAGGAAAAAATGGATTTTTTTTTTTTTTTTTTTTTTTTTTTTTTTATTTTTATATCGGGAAGAAAAAAAGAAAAAAAATCAGGAAAAAAAAAAATCGGGAAACCGATTTTAATCGGATTTTTATCAGGCCTGTGTACACTCTGAGATTTTGAAATCATCAAAAAATTGAGAAATTGGCTCAGTTTTACTAAAAGTCACATGCACTGTATAGAGAAACGTGAATATCGGACTACATAAACATGTGGCGTGAAGTTTGGTCCACAACCCTTCATATTTCGAATGCAAGGTCATCATTTTAAGGCAATAATTTTTCCATGATGCTCATCTACACTATCACAAAGAGAATGAAAAATTCCACGCATTATCTTTGACCTTTCCCAGAACTCGCCCCATCCTCGGCCTACTACATTGTACATTGTATGTGATGTGTAAATGTGAATGTGCTCAAGTATGTTAATAGTAGACTACCTGTAGCTTGAAAGTGTACAGACCTTTAATTTAAGGATCATGTTATCATTATTCTTAAGCAGTGAAAAAAATACATGGGGGCTCGGGCGAATTAGCCCCGAAAGTCATATAAGAGCCCCCCCCCCCCCCCCCCCTGTTCTTATGGTGAGACCTGAGCAGCCCTTAAGAAGGCCAATTACAAAATCAAGACATTATCATGACATGAAGTATATACTTTACATTCCATCCTTCCAATTCTGTTTCTTCCTGCCAAGGCATGTACAGGGAAATTCCAAAATGACTGTACAAAGGTCTTGAAACTAACACCTGCCCAGGACACATGGGCACCAAAAATCTAAGTCTGAACCCTTAAAATGTCAAATTGGTGACATTTGGCTCCTGTATACAGACTCTAAAAACCCAAACCCAGCCCCCTTACGAGAAAGTTCATGTGGAGCCCTGCTGTACATGTAAATTGTGCTCCATGTAGAGTTTACCCAGAACGTAGACAGAAACCAATACTGACTACTGGGACTATAGTGCTGGCTACAGCTAGTAAATGATGCTTCTGGGCCCCCCTCTTACAAAGAGTTGATATCAATCGCAACTTACCGGTATTTGAGATTGATATCAATCGCAGCTATGTACATAACAGATAGGAGACTGCAAACTTGCGATTGATTTGGATCAATCGTAAATCTTTTTAAGACGAAGCCCAGGTGTCCATTCCTGTGTAATGTTTGTTTGATGCCAGTGAAACTTGTATCACTTTACATAGAGTTGAAGATAAAGGTGAGTTCTGGTAATGCAATTGCATTGTGAAAGAAAAGGTGTGGAATGGATCAGAGAGAGTTGATCATATAGCATGTAAGTATTGGTGTGCACTGCAAGGTTCTGGAGTCATCAAAAAATCATAATAAATTTGGCCCAGTCTTGGTAAAGTAAAAAGCACTGTACACAGAAAGATGTGACTATGTTGGGGCTACCTTACCTTGATTTCCTTATCTTTCTATGCTCATTACTCAGCAAGTATACATTTTCTTCCAATTTTTTTTGGCACATGACATTTATTTGTAATCTTGAACATTCAGTGTAAGTTTTGTTCTGTAAGAATTGATTTTTTTTTTTTTTTCCAGAACTCAAGTTTATCTTTAACATCCCTCCGGCTCCAATGTATATTCAGATAAACATGGTTCCTTGTGGTACCAAGTTGATATTCTTTCTTGGACTTGCTGTGTACATGTGGTTTAGTCAGGGCTTTATCTTGGCATCCAAAAATTCTGAGACATGATATAGCACTGGCTTGCATCATTGTCAAAAAGATGGTCAAGTTTTCTGCTCAAGGTGAAAATAATTTTGTGAGCTTTTCTCATCTATGTACATGTATGTCAGTTAGCCTTGAAGAATATCATGAAAGGAAAGTCACTGGAAAGGAGTGCTCTTCACATGTCCTCTTGTTAGTATTATGACAATAAATAGCTGAACGGTTTAGACCAAACATTCATGCCTCATATATTTACATGTAGTCCCATATACGTATTCTTGTGTGTGGTGCATGTGACTTTCAACAAGATTGCGTAAATTTCTTGTCATTTTGAAGGTAACAAAGCCTGATCGCTGAGCATACACCAATTTTTATGTCCTGCATAATCAACTTTTCCCAATCATGTTCCAGACCGTTTCTTTTAAAATGCAATAGCATGACAAGAACTCAAACTTTATCTTTGCATGTTACTTGGGCCCCTGGTTTCATAAAACTTGTTATCGATAACAAGTGCAACAGATCTATGACAAATCTGCACAAAGCCAATCAAATGTACCGATTTCAGTTGCTAATTATTGCAACTTGTTATTGATAACAAGTTTTATGGAACAGGGCCAAGAGACGGCAGAGCATTATATGTCAAGTCAGTCAGATCTTGGGGTGTTACATGTACAATGAGGTGAGAGTTTGATACATGTACTTACAGGTCCCATTATCGATGCTGTCCAGTGCAGTACTGTATGGGAAATAAAAACAATAACGATTATCATGAAATATTGGCATACAATATTGAGGGGCACTTTAGTTACTGTGGATAAAAGAAAACAGCCATTTGGACAACTGTTATGATACAGTGAAAATGATAAGATCATATGATGACAAACTGGATGTAGACAAAGTTGAATCAGTAGGGCTAGGGGTTTGAATGAATTGGCTGCGGAAAACTTGGCAATGTCCCTTTATTATACAGGTGACCATTAAATATAAGGGTTTGACAATAAGAAAGGGCAACTGCTCACAACCCCCTCCCCCAAAAGAAAAAAGAGGAAAAAATGGACCCCATACATCTAAATATAATTATATATATACATGGGGCCATGCATGAAGATAATAAACATCAATTCAGAAATGTGAGCAAAAATTTAAGCCCAATTATACTGCATGTACCTATACACAAATCCTGGAACCCATGTACATGTACAAATGTAACATGAATATTGTCAGTGAGCGATGAACTACAAATGTATTATGGTAGAAAAATTGTGTTGAAATTACGCCACATATACATGCACATGTCTGCAACTGTATTTTACAGGGAACCAAAGAAATCGATGATTTCTAGACATTATCACTTCTTCACAGAAAATAAAATAAACTGATGTAATCTGTATTTGTACCTGTGCCATTATTTATAGTTATGAAGGTACTACTTAATGGCCTCAAAGATAAACATTTAAAAATAAAAAAATGTTTGACATTTGTTTCCCTTAGTGCATGCATTTACGGAATACATTTAGAAAATGTGGAATCGTGAAACAATGTACCATTTCTTGAAAAAAAATTAAATTATAGTTTTTCTGTGAAATACTTTAGAAGGGGTTTCAAGCAGTGTAGGATAGATCTACATGTATGAACAATTATTGATTCAATAACATTTTTAAATGAAATTGAAGTTAAATAATACAAATTGAGACTTACAATCATCATGTTGCATCCCCGCTGAGCAGTTTGCGGGTGGGTCTTTCTCAATGTCAGCTAGTTCCTGAAGAAAATGAAATTGGGTCAAGGTAATTCAAACAATATGACACAAAAACACAATACAAATGTACATAATGGGACGTTTAAAATGTTATGGTCCATTGCTGGCAAGGGAAAATATTGTGCTTTCCCTTCTGACTCTTTTTCTAGAGCATTAATCATCAATCTTTTATATCTACAATATGGTACTAAATTTAAACATATTGTCCACTGTTAAACTGATTCAGTGGGCGACTCTGCGCATTCCAACATGTCTTTTGTTTCCATTCAGTTGTCATGGAAAATCCCCTGATGTTAGCATACCCATGGTAGTGATACAAGAACTATTACCAAATAGTCATATTTAACCCTGTAACCGATCATCAGATCGTTGGCCGATCATTGGCCGATCAGGTGAAATTGGATAATAAATTCCAATCGCCGATCACTTTAAAAAAAATAGACAGAATTTTTTTGGTTTTTTTAATGCTGAAAATTTTCAAGTTTTGGGCTATCAAATGCTTAAAAAACATTCATATTTTGTCATATGGAGTTGTAGACCATGTTTGTTGATATTAAGGGCCTTTAAATGACTTTTAAATTAACAATATTGGTCTAGAGAAGAGGCTTCTTGGATTATAATGTTGGCACGCATTTCATGTCCATTGGGCAATTCCACGGTAACGGAAGGACACTCAGACAAGATTTTTGAACTTCAGGTTCATACTAAAAGAACTGTTTTATTAGTATAAGATTTGAAACAGTACAGATATAATACCTATATAAGTGCCTTTAATTCTCCCCCAAAAAATTGTCATTATAGTTAAGTAGTTTAAGAATGTGCATATTAATTATCTCGGTAACGGAAGGACATAAAAATGGACATGGTTTTTCCAGTTAATTAGTGTTTATCCAAACTTTGTGAAGTTGATGAAGCTTTCCACTTGACTGAAACACATTTTGTTCCCCATAGTTTAATACATACTAATAAAACATTTCTTTTAGTATGAACCTGAAGTTCAAAATCTTGTCTGAGTGTCCTTCCGTTACCGTGGAATTGCCCCATTGTCATTAAAATCCAAGATGGCGACTCACATGTTTTGCCTCTATTCTTAGACTAATATTATCAATTTCAAAGTCATGAAAAGGCACTTAATATCAACAAACATGGTCTACAGCAAGTCTAAATGACAAAATAATCCCAGCTTTGCATGTTTTGTTAGCATTTGATAGCCCAAAACCATTTTCGTTATTAATTTTTTTTTGCCAATACCGCTCAAAGGTGCGAGGGTGTCGCTCCGATCTTCCGTTCCGATCAAAGCCCCAACTTACAGAGTTAGTCATATTAAGAAATTTTAATTTTGCGCTGAAGTAAAAGGAACAAAGACATGTCACAATGTGTAAGAGCACCTTTAAACAGGACACTTGAACTACATGTACATCGTGTTGTGAACACAGGGAAGTCTAACACATAAGGTGGCGTGACCATTCAGTGTAGTTTGCACATGAGGCATGACCTTAATTCCTGCACAGTTCCATACAGTACTGTACATGTATATCTCCAATGAATCAGAACCAATTCAAAAATCTGAATTCTGAAACCACAAAACACAAAACACATTTCTACCGACAAGGGTCATGAAATCTTTCATTTTCATCGAGTTCATCTACATTGTAAGTAAAATGCTATACAAACCAATTGTGAAATTTTGCCTTGCAATTCATGCAATCACTTTTTTTTAAAATCACTTGTAAATTCTTATTCCCCATCATATGTGTTTATTGTTCATTTAAAAAAAAACTATTATATTTTGATATTGTACTTTTAAGTAGAAGATGATCCCCAATAAACCTCTTGTGGTTTTTTATCACCCCCTCTACAGGTTCATCTTTTGTTGTAATGCTTTTATATTTGATTGTAATTTATACTGTCTTTTATGAATCTGTGGAAATAAATGAAATTGAAATTGAATTGAAATATCTCTTCTTCATACTTTTTGAGCCCAAGACAAGGGAAACCATAATTTGTGAAAGGCAGGTAAAGAGACTGTAAATTAGAATGGTTCATCAGCATCAGTGTGTGCATGCAATCCAAATGGCATTTAGCACGACGAGTGGTAGACAAAAAGATTTAGTCTCTGATATCGACAGTTCTTCCGTTGAGACTGCCTCTGGCTCCACTGATATAATCGTAGACTGAAGTACATTGTATGGGCTAGTGAGGGGGGATTTTGCAAAACAGTTTGTGTATGATTGCTGATCTCATTGCCCAGCTTTTTCAAGAAGACTGGGGCCCGTTTCTCGAAACCGTCATAAGTCTAACTTCTTAACTATCCCACTGAAACATGCAAACGTGTGTTAATTCTATAAAACACGTTTCAATGGAATCCGGGCTAACTCGGCTCAAAGACAACTAGGCCGAACTGCAAAAATGGTCAGTTTTTGTCATTTTAACCCCCAACCCTAACTCTAACCCTACCCCTAAGCCTGAACCTAACCCTAAAGCTGCAAAAACTGACCGTCTTTGCAGCTGGGCCGAGTTGTCTTTGAGCCGAGTTAGCCCAACTCTGTTTCAATGATATAGTCAAAAAGTTAGACTTACATGTACAGCGGTTTCGAGAAACAGGCCCCAGGCAGATACCGGTTAAGCTGAAATTAAGTCGTTATATTTTGATGTTTTACATCAATGTTAACTTGAAATTATATGAAAAGTACATCCATTTTAGTTTACCTGTAGGTATCAAGTCTAAATAAAGAAAAAACCGAGGGGAAAATTTTCACCGGATTCCGGCGAAAATGGCTGGTGTTCTCCTGTGCGAGCCATGAGGATTAAGGGATATCGTCTATGAATGGGGAAGATCAACAAATGTCAATTTTAAATTCCCCATACGGCAAACCAGGTGGTTATTTCTGAATTCTGTCTAGTCACATGCACACTAGTGCTTAGTGGCAGTCATAGATCTACTCAGTCATAGTGCAGACTGCAGTGTGTGCATGCAAACCGAAAAGCACCAGTGGTTTCCATCATCATCATGTTCATTTCATACATTTCTGGTTAGTTTATCACAATAAAATGTAGACACTGACCAAAATGGTTTGAAAACTGACATGCTTCTAAACCGTTCAAGAAGTCTGGCGTTATTTCGAACGTCATACTCATATTATGTGTCATGCATTCATGAAGAGCTATGTCGTAATAATAACCCTACCTGCCTACCGACCGTTCCATTCATTCTTTACAACCATTGCAACTGCAAGTTCGTAATATTCCATGATCTACACATCAATAACTTAGCTTCCGCAATAAACAATGTCATATTAACATGGTATTCCGGACACTATTCCACGATCGTATATCATAAAATGATTTACACACTATGTAAATGTGTTCTCAAGTTAAAAAAATTACAATTGACTGACCTTTTTTAATCTTTTAAGAGCCATTTTGTGTGATATGAATAGACGGTCAGCGCTGTTCTCACGGATCTACTCGATGCATTAACTGTAACGTAATTTATTACTGTATGTACAAAAGCGTGTGGTTTGTGTGTGCGTACCGTGCATTTATGGACCTATGCATGACGAACGTATTCTGTCAGTTGAGGGCTATACTGGAACAGAGCAGCTTTATGATCTCCCTGAATGAACATTATACAATGGGAGTTATATGTCCTTTGTTGTACACCCCCCCCCCCCCCCCTTTTCCCCTATTATAATTCTCTCATCTACCCCTTCCCCATTTTTTTTCTTCCAAAAATTTTCGACAATTTTCCATCGAACTTTTGTCCATTATTGAATTATATTTTTAAAGGATCACAAAGATCTTGGGCTATAACAATTAAAGTATAATAAAGGCTTACATTTTTATAAAGACCTGGAATCAGCGCTACGTCTTTTATTTTTTATTTTTTGCTGCATCGAGATAGACTAAAACAACAAAAACAACAGCAACAATATCTCTGAATATTAAAAACAAGTATATGATAACCTTAATTTAGCCATCGGGGCTGCAGTACTATGCTTGTGCTAAATAAGTGACCCCCCCCCCCCTAATTCCAATGTCATAAGTCGAGGGGGTTCACGTAATTTCCTTCAACTTCAAATTAACGTATAGGGTTGTGTTAATTCCACCTCCATGTTTCACAGGAGTCTAATTAATTAAAAAAGAAATCATAAAGATTTAAAGAAGAAAGAAAAAATAGAGAGAAAGAATGAAAGAAAAAAATGAATGAAAGCAAGAAAGAAAGAAAGGAGAAACCGTTTAGATGCTAAATCGTCAAAATGATCATTCAAACATGTTGCAATATGGTTTGATTCCGTTATTTCTTTACTGTAAATAATTATCTTTTGAAAACCGCTATCATTGATATTTTTTGATATGGTTTCCACTTTACACTTAATCTACCTTCATTATTCAAATTCTTTCCAGAACTTATCTTTTTTTAGATTCCCTGATCATTGATGTACGTAGTTTTTTTGGTATACATCACCCAGTTATTCAATGACCCTTACCCTTTTCTTTTCTTTCATTCGATCTCTTTCTCGCATTTTATATAAAATTTCATTATTCATCCAAGCCAAGGTTTTTTTCTTGACTAAATTGAACGGGATTGAACTTAGAGCTCCATTTTTCAAAAGCACTGATTGGAGCAGGGTCAGAAAGCACAAAATCCCAATCAACTTTAGCAGTATGAAGCTGGTTCTTCACGTCAACTATACAATATTCAGAAATACCAAAAAATTCACTTTAGTTGTGAATTTTCACGTAGAAATCAAGACTTGTAGGCACGCGTAGACACGTCTAGTTATTAGACAGAGCAGAGTGGGCCAGGGGCGGATCCAGGGGGGGCGGGCCCCTATCCCTGGCAAAAATGGTAACGGCAATTTTACCTTTAAAATTTTACTTTAAAAAAAAAGACAAGACGGGCACCCACCCCTGGCCCCCCTAACGAGAAAAAGAATGGTAAATGGTAATTTTACCCCCCCTTTTTTTGCTCACTGGGGGGGGGGGGTCTTGGGTAATAAAAAAAGGTGCTCACTGCCGCCCTCCCCGCTTATCGTTAAATATTTCCTCACGAATTCGGGCCCCCGTCCTCGCCGACGGCTGGATCCGTCCCTGGAGTGGGCTACTCATATCCTTATCATCCCAAACTGTCGATGACTTAAAGCGATAGAAAGCTCTAAAATTAGCTGAGGCGTGTAGCCAGGAGGTGAGGGGTTGGGGCGATCGGCCCCCTAAAAAAGACGCCGGCCAAGGAGAGAGAGAGAGAGAGAGAGAGAGAGAGAGAGAGAGAGAGAGAGAGAGAGAGAAAGGTAAGAAGATGTAGGAAGAAAAAGGAGCAAACAATTTAAAGAAACATTTTTGAAAATTCAGACAAGGATAAAGAGTCGAGAACGATACAACGAATTTTTTTCTTTCTCTAATAATTTAATGAAACGTCAACTTTGCGCAGGAGGGGGAAAACTCCCTGCTCCCCCCCCCCCCCCCCACTAAAGAAAATCCAAGCTACGCGTGTGAATTGGCTGTCCCTTCATAAAATGTACAGTACCGGTACTTTAGAATTGGCCAGAGCCATCAACATATAATTATAAACAGGCGCGGATCCAGGATTTCTAAAGGGGGGGGGGGGGGGGGGGGGATGGGGGGGTAGTGAGCACAAGAAAAGAAAAGGTACTATTTCTTGTCCCACTTTTTTTTTTGGCAGGGGGGAGGCCAAGGCCTGCTCGGCCTCCCCCCCCCCCCTCCCCCCCCCCCCCCCCCTCCCCCCCCCCCTCCCCCCCCCCCCCCCCCCCCCCCCCCCACCACACTCACTGGATCCGCGCTGTCTAGCAAGTCCCTGGTCTAAATAAGTGTTTCTGGAATTGGCAATGAAATAGCGTTATCTTGTGGCAGCTTTCGGCCAGTAAAATTCACTCTCCTACCATTGTATCTCTCCTACCATTATTCCTCCCTTACCATTCTACCTCTCCTATCATTCTATCGACTATCTCTCCTACCATTCCATCTCTCCTACCATTCTACCTCTCCTACCATTCTACCTCTCCTACCATTCTATCTCTCCTACCATTCTATCTCTCCTACCATTCTCCCTCTCCTACCATTCTATCTCTCCTACCATTCTATCGATCTCTCCTACCATTCTATCTCTCCTACCATTCTATCTCTCCTACCATTCTCCCTCTCCTACCATTCTACCTCTCCTACCATTCTACCTCTCCTACCATTCTACCTCTCCTACCATTCTATCTCTCCTACCATTCTATCTCTCCTACCATTCTCCCTCTCCTACCATTCTATCTCTCCTACCATTCTATTGATCTCTCCTACCATTCTATCTCTCCTACCATTCTATCTCTCCTACCATTCTCCCTCTCCTACCATTCTACCTCTCCTACCATTCTACCTCTCCTACCATTCTATCTCTCCTACCATTCTATCTCTCCTACCATTCTACCTCTCCTACCATTCTACCTCTCCTACCATTCTATCTCTCCTACCATTCTATCTCTCCTACCATTCTATCTCTCCTACCATTCTCCCTCTCCTACCATTCTATCTCTCCTACCATTCTCCCTCTCCTACCATTCTATCTCTCCTACCATTCTCCCTCTCCTACCATTCTCCCTCTCCTACCATTCTATCTCTCCTACCATTCTCCCTCTCCTACCATTCTATCTCTCCTACCATTCTCCCTCTCCTACCATTCTATCTCTCCTACTATTTTATCTCTCCTACCATTCTATCTCTCCTACCATTTTCTCTCCTACCATTCTATCTCTCCTACCATTCTCCCTCTCCTACCATTCTATCTCTCCTACCATTCTCCCTCTCCTACCATTCTCCCTCTCCTACCATTCTATCTCTCCTACCATTCTCCCTCTCCTACCATTCTCCCTCTCCTACCATTCTATCTCTCCTACTATTTTATCTCTCCTACCATTCTATCTCTCCTACCATTTTATCTCTCCTACCATTCTATCTCTCCTACCATTCTCCCTCTCCTACCATTCTATCTCTCCTACCATTCTCCCTCTCCTACCATTCTCCCTCTCCTACCATTCTATCTCTCCTACCATTCTCCCTCTCCTACCATTCTATCTCTCCTACCATTTTATCTCTCCTACCATTCTATCTCTCCTACCATTCTCCCTCTCCTACCATTCTATCTCTCCTACTATTTTATCTCTCCTACCATTCTATCTCTCCTACCATTTTATCTCTCCTACCATTCTATCTCTCCTACCATTCTCCCTCTCCTACCATTCTCCCTCTCCTACCATTCTCCCTCTCCTACCATCCTACCTCTCATACAGGTTGCAAAGGTAAATGCATTTGTTCAAATAAAAGAAAGACGATAATGGAGAGAATATTTGTGAGAGGAGATGGAATTTAATTTTTTTATTTTATTTTTTATTAAATATAAATTTATTAACATTGTTTTTTTTCTTTCAAGGTATAAGAACCATAGAAGGTAAATTTGAGAATATTGAACGGACAAACATTGAAAACGTACATCATAAAAACCAAATAGTTAATAGGATGTACCTGGTCTTCATGTTGTAAACTTAATAACAAATCTGCTCACAAAACACATTACTTTGATTCAGAATCCATTTTTTTTTTCCTTAATATTTTGGCGATGATTTATTGAGGCATATTTCTCTAAATGTTTATGTGGTAGAGAAGGTGCATACAAGTAGCTAACCACTGGACAAGCTACATATTACAAATACCTATTCTTCTTCGACTATATCTTTGCTGTCTTTTTCTAACAAAAGCACTATTTTACTTTTTTTTACATTAAAAAATAAAATATAACAAAATTGCAGAAACCTATTTTAGGTGTTCCACAATTTAAAATAAATGGCATATGTAACACAAAATAATTTAATCTTTGCCTCATATCTCTCCATTTCAATAATGTCCAGAATGAATTCCAAGTATTACTGACATTCTATATGAAAGATTGAAAATAAATAAAAATGAGTATAGCATTATAACATACAAATGAAACAGGACAATGTGACAATGGGACATTTCATGACAAAAAGCATAGAAAGAAAAAAACAAAGGAAAACAAATATTGAAGAAATCTTAAAGCCTGTCCGCACTAGTTTAGCCAGGAGGAATTATACCTCCCTGCAAGGTCACTGACAGGTGGTTAACTCATCAAAGCAGCTCTCAATTAACATAAGAAAAAGAGGATCATGGGGACTAACAGACACCGCTTAGGCATTGTTTGCTATATAGAGGGCACAAGTAGCTACAAGTAGTGCAGTCCTGCTTGAAGCTTTTAAATGGAAAAGATTCCATGATGCACATCAGTTTGTAAATACTTTGAGGAGACATCTACATGTACATACTAGGGATGCATGATATAATATATCACATATTAAGCTTTTTGCATTATGGTCAGCTGTAAAATCAATTATTTGGTGATACAGAAACATTCCTCGAAATAATCAATAAACAATGTTACTGTACTTGTAACAGGAACGAAAGACATATTAACCCGTTGACTACTGAATTGTCTCTTTCCAATAGTTGGTGAAGACTATTGCGTAGCCAATCAGTTAACGCATGTACCTGCTTGCTTCACAGTCAATCCAGTAGTGCTGATATGAAGGAACACCCTCTCACCAATCTTTTTAGCTGGCCTGGTAAATCCTGACCAGGCTGAGTTGAAGTAGCACAACCCCCCACATACATTAACATACGCTTTGAAGCCTTTTCTTCATTTCCCATGTTTACAATTTCACATTTCTGCTAGGATTTCCTTCATGATTTCAAACACAGTTTATTTCAATAATAACCTCTAAAGCTCAATAACATATCAATGCTTAAATACATTATTTTACATTGTCCTTTAAAGGTGATGTATTGAATAATGCTGAATCTCAATTCAATATGCTTTTCTCAATGTCACCATGCAGCCCATAGTGTGCAGCCCATAGTGTAGACTATTTCAACAAAAGAATGAAAACTTGACTGTTTAAATAGCAGTAGGAAACTAGTACTACCGGTATTTCCATTACCAGTATTTTGTTGTTTAGTTCATAAGGTAGTTCATATCACATGTTCTACATAAAAATCCTTTAATAAAATGTTCTGAAGTAAAACATTCTGTATTCCACAAATCCTTTTCCTGAGTTATCATGGACAGTGTACAATGTATCATATTAATGGCATACGATGGTTGTTAATCACAAGGGATATCTATAGTACCGGTATAAACAGGGTTTTACTTTTGCAAAATTGATTAATAACCGGTCAAAAAATGTTTGACTGGTTTAATAGGCTCGTGCTGACCACCCTGACTGTATTGTTGCAAGCATCATGAAGAACAGAGGAATGGGTTTACATTTCAGGGATTGATTCTGACTGGTCAAGCAGTGGTCTTGCTGACCATCGCATTGTAATATGTAACATGAAGAACCCAAAGAGGAATTAGCTAACACTTCAGGGATGGATTGACCGGTCAAGCACTGTCCCATTGTCCCATGTACCATGCCAAACAGGGAGGAATGTGGTCAGGACAGACTGACCAGCTAGGCTCTGGACCCGATGACCACTGCAATGATAAACAGCGGAATGAGCTTTATACACTTTGGGGTCTGATTAGCGTCAATCAAGCGCTTGACTAGACGACCTCTGTATTGTAATGATTAACACATAGGAAGGAGCTCTACACTTTTTGATCACTGCATTGTGAACTATGAAGAAAATAGAGGAATGAAGTCACATTTCATACATGGACTTTGACTGTACAGCACTGGACTCTCTGACTATTCATGCACAATGATGGACTGAGTCCTAATACAGGCTCTGGCCACATGGGCTCTAGATATGCTGACCACTGCTTTGTTGAATCCACCATTATGAAGAAAGGAGAAAGGTCAAAATTCAGGTATTGTCTCAGGCTGGTCAAGCTCCGGACTCACTGACCACTCCATTGTCGCATGCACCATGACAAACACAAAGAGGAAGGTGGAGAAGTCTCTAAGAGTTCCTTGGAGGAACCCTAGACCTCGCTGGACCCGTTGGATGATCTCTGGAGATACTCCTCTAAAGGTCAAAAGGGCCGTTAGTATCCTGACTGGACTGCTTTGGACAGGGGACTGAATTCAAGAGAGGAGATAAAAATAGGAGAGGGAAAATGAAGATAATAATGTATGACACTACCTTTGATTGAAATGTTAACATTTAACTCAAGTACATCTAAATAAAATCTACAATCAATTCAATCATCAAGTATACATAATATACTCTTAAATGTGATCACGCACCACAAAACCATTACAAGTTTGCATGGTCACTGTTTAAGTGGTCAGGCTGGTCAAATTTTAGTTTTTGCATTTTTTTTTTCTATGTTACTTCAATTGTGTATTTTTAATTGAATTCGGGAGCAAAAAACAATCTAAAAGTTATATTTTTGGCAGTGTTTGGCATGTGATGTTTGGATAATCTTGAGTATTTTGTAGTAGTTTTCATTTCATTATGACCCTGGCTACATGTTTCATTTTATTTCCCATAATTATACAATTAATAAGTGGACAAACAATGAACATGATGTACTTAATTGGTATGTGAAGACGTAGAACAATCTGATAATCCCTTCACAGTAATATCTATAGAGTTCTAATCCTCCCTTTGTCACTTTGTGCAATTTTGCAGGAGTCTGTGTGTGCTTGAATAGACTACATACTTTGTTATCCCCTTTTCTCTTAAGCAACATTCTTTGACACCGGATATTCTTCACCTTCTTCAATAGGTTAATAACATCTAATTGCCCCCCCCCCTCCCCTTCTCTCTCTTTCTCTCTACAACTGAACATACCTGTTCTAATCCGACGAAAAACAGCAGTACTTCTGTTGCTAAGATAGTACAATGATGGACTGAAAAAGAAGAATAAGAAAGAGAATAAAATGAGAGGATTGAAAGAGAGGTGATCCAAAATTTGTTATGAATGACAGGTGATTCAGTATTTCTAGAATTAAAAAAAAAATGTTGAATGCATAGTTTAACAATGTTAAATCTGAGATGCACGGCCCTTTGTGCAGTGTGTGTGATATGGTGTAATATTGAAGCCGAAAAAAAAATTACCCTTCAAAATGATCAAGAAGTGCCTCAAAAAAGTAAAAATCTTTTAGTGACGGTTTTACCATACTCATTTCCCCAATAGACTGTAGTGTTATAAAAATCATTAGGAAAACAGTTTTGACATCTCAATTTCCAATCATGAATATCTTGATAATCAGACAGCGATTGGCTTGTAAAAGTCATGGGGTTCCTGACTGACCTAAAGGTTTATAATTATCATTGCAGCATAAGCTAAAATCCAGGATTTTGTTTCAGAATCTGAGGCACAGTTACCCAATCCCTTTAAGATACCATACCTGGCCTTGAAGTAGGCTGACGAGCCAGAGTCTGGTGACGGCTGCTAAAACAGTAAACACAAGAGTCTGGAGGGAGACTACACTCTGGACTGATGTAGCTTTGGACCGGTGCTGTATCTCGTTCTGATCACCTGCTTGTTGTGTACTGGTTTGTGAAGAAGTACCATCAACAAACCCTGAATCCTGGCTGATGTCTCGAGGTATAGGATTCTCTAAGACCCCTCCTGGTTCTGTGGATGTCTCTGTTCTGCTGGCTGGTGATTCCTGAAATCTATTCATAATGAAAATTACAACAATATCAACATATGACTGTGCATAGTGAGGGAAGAGCATGTTTAATCACTATGAATGAAATCTTCAACTTATTCCACTAGCTCCCCAACCTGAACATGTTTTTTTTTTTAAACGATCTGTGAGAAAATTATATTTAAAAACAGAGCAAGAAAGTCCTGATGTCAAAACTTATGCTGTTTCTAAAACCATAAAATGAAATGACTAACCTATCAACAGGATGGCAAGAATGGTGGTCTGAGGCATGATGGGAAGGGTTAGATGACTTGGTTAATTGACTTTGTGAATCCTCTTCTCCACCAACCAGATTTCTTGATGAAGCTCTTTGCTCTTCTACACAAATGTGATAAAAACGAAAGCAAACAATGACACTTTTGACAGAGAAGTTAATCAGGTACATGTATTCTTTAGGCAGACTACAGATTTCCTTGGAAGTGACATATTTGAATTTCACTGTCCCATTAAAGAATGACTGTTTTGATTTGATAACACATGCAAGTCCATAGGACCCCCAGTTCTCCAGAAATTGAGGAATTCAAATAGCTCCATTTTCATGGTGGTATTCATCATTTTGGCTTCAACATTGTATATAACATAATTTTCCATTTTGAATTGTAGTTTTTCTTTTTATTGCTAGTGACAAAATGCTGGGGGCCGTTTCTCGAAACCAACTCCATGACAGTCATATCTTTGTCGGCGACCTACGGAGATGTCATGAAGCGGATAAACCGTTTCACAAAGCCATGACAGACATGATATCGATATATCGCGATACTAGCAGCTCAAGAACATAGTCCTTGTCACGATCCATTTGATTTATCAAGAATAACCCAAAACAAGTTTTGGGGCTAAAATTGTTCAAAAAGAAATATATACATATAAATTCTCCTAAAATAAATAATAAATAGTGTCATTATCATACTTACATCATCAAACAATTTGCATATTTCTGTAAAGATTCTTAAATTGAAGAAAAACCGGTGAGTGGTTTTTTTTTGACAGTCGAATCAAAAGTTAGTTGAAGGATACCGTAATGATAGTTTTATCAATACGTACTTTTTTGTTTATTGTGACGAGGAATTTTAGGCAAAATGTCTTTTCTCAGCCAGTTTTTATTCTAGAGTCTCATAAATACTCGTTATATAATTGATTTGATATTGAAAATATAATTTGGAAGAAGTAATTAGAGAGGGAATAATAATGCACATAGGCCCCAAAGGTATGACGGTATCCTAAAAAAAGACTATAAATCGACTATGGAAAACGGTGTGTAACATTCTTACCTCTCTTATTTATATGTTATAGTTTAATGATTTGTGATTTAATGTTTATATTCAGCTATTTTTAAGTTTCTGTATAACTTGTATTCTCACTTTTGTAAATTTGCATTTCGCATCCCCAGAATTACGTACCGAACTCGTCTATATTTTTCTCAAAATGATAGTGAAACTAATCGTCCATTTCGCGGCCCATGGAATGGCAACAAACTGACTTGTGATGGCGCTTTACAGCAATTAAAAAGATATGACAGGTTCGGAGCAGTGACAACTCGCTTGTCGCGGAAGTTGTCGCTCATCTTGCAAAGACGGCTTCGTGAAACACTTAGCTGACAAGTTGCGTGACAGTGGCGAGATGTCGTTGATCTTGTAGTTATGACAATTTCGAGAAACGCCCCCCTGATGTCTAACAAATACCCAAACTTATCAATTAGTATTTGTAAAGTTGGGATTGAACTTTCTCCCAGTATAATTATCACTACAGATTTCAGATGTGCTCACCTGAGGCTGTGGGTTGTACTATAGCTGCATCATGGGTCGGACTTGGAGGGATATCAACTGAGGCTTGAACCAATGAACTTCCATTTCCAGAATCACAAGGAGCATCCTCTAGCTCTTGGGCTGCACAGGAAAAAAACAGGAAATAGCAAATGAGGTTTTCAATTAAGTTATGTGGGATCAATGCTGTAAAATCACGGATATCTCCAATTCCGTTTAAAACCGCCAGTCAAAACCGGACGGTTTTCGGTTAAACGATTTTAATTTTTTTTTTTTTTTTTTTTTTTTTTTTTGCTGACTCTGTCGGCAGCAAGCCAGGTCCGTGTGAAAAAGCGGGAAGGCGCCGATTTGTGCTTGCGAACTTGTCACAAATAAAAGTAACAATGTCATTTTTAGAAGAATGTGTAAGATCATTAATGTAAATTAAAAACAGTAGAAGACCTAGGATAGAACCTTGTGGTACGCCTTGTGTAAAAATTGGATGAATATTATTATAAACTACATATTGAGATCTATTACAAAGATACTTTCAAACCAAGATGACAGACAAATTGGAGTGTTGTTCTAGTTTCAGAGTGGTGAGTCAACACACAGATTACTGAGCTGGGAGACATTGCCAGGCATAGTGCCAGGTGGGGGGCATAAATCTAAACTTTAAAAAAAAAAAAAAAAAAAAAAAAAAAAAAAAAAAAAAAATTATAAAAAAAAAAAAAAAAAAAACGGGAAAACGAAACCGTCCAATTGAAAACGGAATCCGCCATGGGCGGTCGGATACCGGACGGTTAAACGTTTGACTACAGCACTATGTGGGATATAGTCAAATCAGATTAATAAATAGTAAGGAGCACTATGCTAAAGGTTGAAGAGATTGATTTAAAGAGTTTGGAGCAACCTTAGATTGATAATACCCCTTCACAAAAATGACCAGACGTTATTAAATGAAGGTTAACCAACACAATAGTAAAACCAATGGAGGTAACTTTAGTCTCTTAAATTAAGACTTATCAGGAAAATACTACAGGATGTCTTGAAATGTGTGTGTTGCTCAAACTAGACAGGGCCCAATCACATCTTTTCAAGCAGATATTAGGGGTGCCTAAGTCTGCTGCTGATGAGATTGTCTACCTGCTCACCAACCTCCTGCCAGTTTCAGTGCAGATTGACCTCGGCAGGCTCTTGCTTCTAGGTCAACTCACCAAGCCACCAAGCTTGACCACAGCCGTTTTGAATTCAGAACATTCATAGAAGCCCTCAAAACGCATACACCCTCAATACTGGTTTTACAAGAGACAGTGAGGAAGTATGATCTTCCAGACCTCCATAGCCTCGTCTCGAACCCACCTCTGTACTCACCCTGGAAAAGGATGATCAACTACAAAATCAACCTTAAACTGGTAAAACACCATACACTACAAGGAATCCGCTCTAAGTCCTCTCTCAAGTTCTGGATAGATAACACTCCACCCTCTGCAAATCTCCTTTATCCAAAGAACGCATCATCTCCTCCTATCCGAAGAGCCCTTATAGTGAGAGCCCAATTACTGACATCCACCTACTTGACACGATGCCGTCTCTTCACGCTTAAGAAATCACCCATCTTGCCCCCTGTATAAAACCGACGATGAGACAGTAGAGCACTTTGTTGGAGTCTGCTCCAACCTGGACCATCTCCGTCAGGATTTTATCAGCAAAGTCAAGGAATACCTCGTGGATTATCGCATCTGTTTAAACCTGTATGATGATGATGACCCACAGCAATTTACCCCTGCTACTCTGTTCCCCTTTCATCCATGTCTGCCTTCCAAAATTCATAATAGCCTTCTTCTACTATCGCTCTTTTTTCTATATAAAATTGATGCCTTTCGTTCCAATGCTATCCAAAGCTCCTAACTGATCAGATTTACACATTTACTTTATTTGGACTCCAGGAATCTCCAAAATATTGGAGGGATCAACTAAGAAGAAGAAGATGCAGACTTGCAAATGTTACTTGCACAACTCTCTAATTCTAAATAATATTAATAAACAGCCACAAATCGATATCTGCAGTGGCAGTGCAACTGAGGCCCGTTCCTAGAAACCGTCATAAGTCTAACCTCTTGACCATCCCATTGAAATGCGTGCTAATTCTATAACACACGTTTTAATGGGATAGTCAAGAAGTTAAACTTATGACGGTTTCTAGGAACGGGCCCCTGCAGACATGCAGTGCAAGTAAATTCTCAAGTAAAAATTCATTAAAGGTAAAGACCAGTATTGGAAACGCCCCAATTTCAAAAAATGAAATGGAAGCTCTCATTACCAATCATGTGAAAGAATATGTTTTGACTAATACATGATGATAAAAAATTGCCGGGAAACCGCCTACTAATTCATATATTTGGTAAATTTGTTTCTCTCATGGTCTGTGAGAGATATAGGGTAGTCCCATATACATCTTTTTGTGTATAGTGCTTGTAACTTTACGAAGAACGGGCCAAATTTCTTATCATTTTGATGATTCCAGAACCTTGCAGATGCTAGATGCTAGATGATCAACCTTTTCTGATCGATTCCACAACGTTTCTTTCACAATGCAATCGCATGACCATAACTGGTCTTTACCTTTAAATTAATCATTCAGCTGGTGAAAAGGGCAGAACCAGATAAACAAGAACAAGTGGAATAATTTGGGATGACTGAATGCATCAGTGAAAGAATACGGACAAACGAACAATCACTTGTCAGCTGATGAGTAATGCTTTAGATATGTGCCCTGACTCTTGAGCATCATCGAGTCTCATGTGTTTACCACGCCAGAGGTTCAGGCGCCTACCCTTGCTTAGTCCCCGCTACGAAGTTACTCGAGCTCGCTCATTCTCTTCCACATATTAAAACCTCCTGTAAACACACATTTCGCTTACTTACTTCTCATTTTTAGTCTTTCAATTCGTTTGAATCGGTCTTCTGAACTCTCGAGGAGCCTTTTCCTCCGAGCTTCTCGTCTTTTGGCAGCGTCCATTTCTTTAAAGCAAAATTTAATTTTCGATTGAAGCAGAAACAGAGATGAAGTAGACAATGGTTCCTAGTTTTGGCTCAAGACAATGATACTTTTTTTCTCCATTTCTACTTTTTATTATTATTTCGTTTTAAAGATATAATTGGATTTTCCAACATCCATGGCTTATAATATATCCCAAAAATTGTTCTTAGTCAACTTTAAATGGTTTATGGTATTTTTTTTATAGTGATTGTGGCTCAAAATAATTGAACATCCTCCTTTTACCCGGAAGAAAGGCTAAATTCTTCACGTATTGAAATATGGTGCAAGTATCTACTCCTATTATATTCCACATCAATTCAAATTTACAAAGTATTAAATACCAGTATACGAGACGAAACAGACCCCTAGAAATGTATATAAGAATATAGAGTAAGTTGCAGTACACTATAATAATTATATAGGCACAAAGAATAGGAAGAGAGACAATTACTAGAGAAAAATATTATACATGGGCCGCATTCAAGGGCGGGGGGGGGGGGGCTGTTATACATTTTCTCGTAAAGGGCTTCTTCATTCCAAATAACTACAACATTTCTGCTTTGTCGTCTTCTTCTTATTCTCCTTCTCCTTCTTCTTTTCCTTCTCCTCATCCTCCTCCTCCAGTCCTACACCTGCTATTCCCTCCAACATAAACAGTCCGATATTTTTTAGAAACATCCTATTTTGAACCCGGGGGGGGGGGGGGGGAGGGGTACTCAGATTTGGTTTGGACGGGAGTGAGCCGCTCAAGCCTCGAAACCCCTACTCATTTGTAAGGGGTATTTTGGGGGATTTCTCTCAAATAAAGGCCATCACAAATTTTGACTTAAAAAAAAAAAGCGGACCTCTGTTTAGGGATATTTTTGTTAAATATAGGACCCATGTTTAGGGATTTGAGAAAATTTACGGATTAGAGCGGCACACTCCCGTATGTCTTACTCTTAATACGTGAGTACCCCCCCCCCCCCCCCCCGGATTTCGGATAGGCAGTGTTAAATCATCATTTAGACAACTTTTGCGACTTCCCAATATCACGGGACAATCCCTTTTATAAAAAAATCCCAAGAAGAGAACCCCCCCCCCGCCCCAAATCACCGATCGTAGAATTTTGTAGCCATTATTTGCCTCTCTATATTTCTTTAAAACACACAATTGACCGTCTTTGTGCCTATTATTTTGTATCCTACAGTTTAACAATAAAAGGAGCATATAGCGACCGATAAAGAAAGCTTTCCTTTCTAAATAAATAGAGAACTCATGGTCAGAGCGAAACATAGTGAAATAAATTTCTTCATGATCCTTTCTAAATAGATAGAGAACTCATGGCCAGAGCGAAACGTAGTGAAATAAATTTCTTCATGATAATATTGCATAAACCTGTGATGGTAAAGGGTGATGGTTGGCTTATGAGAGGAAGATTTATATGGTGAGGGAAATGCTCAGAAACTTCAGCCATACATTTTGCTAGGCAAACTTTAGGTGGGACTTTAGGCCTATATGCATCTTCAAAAAGACCCTAAAGTTCGAATCACAAGATTCGGTTTTGCAAGGATTTAGGTTCTACAAAAATTGAAGACAAATATGCTTGTGATTTTTACTGTATATGCCTATACTCTTGATGGAACCATTAATAGAATCGTTACAAAAGAAACTGACAGGTATGAAAAGAAAACCTCTTTACTCCCCGTATTACCTCATTCCCCCTTTATTTCTTTTCCTTCATCTATTTTAATCTTTGACATATCTTTTCTTTTCCTTTACCGTTTCTCCTTCCCCCGAATTTTTTAGTTTTTTTTTGTGCACCAGTGTGCACGTGATGATGCCTGGTAATGATGATGATGATTAAAGTAATGATAACAATAATTACTAATATTAATTATAATTATGGCAATAAAAATAATGATGATGATAGTAATAAATAATCATTACTGAAAGTAATTGACCAAAATCATCACGATAAGGAGTTGATGTTTATAATGATAGCCCTATTGGCCCGAATTCACAAAGGAGGTTTGTCGAGAAACCTCCTTTTGTTATTTACAAACCAGGTTTGTAAAAAAACGCGTCAAAAACGCGTATGACGTACAGGCGCGGATCTACGGGGGGGGGGGGTTTAGGGGGTTTAAACCCCCCTTGGGGGCGGGCCCCCCCCCCCAAAAAAAAAAAGGGGAAAAAAAGAAAAAAAGAAAGAAAAAAGAAAGAAAAAAGAACGCACGCTGGAGAGAACCCTTTCAAGTGCAAATATTGTGAGAAGATATTCAACGCATCTGGCAACTTAACCAAACACATGATAACTCTGGATATAACTGTGTATTAAACTGTTACTTGATTTAAAAAGACGTTATCATGCACTGCTTTTTATGGTCTTCATTGTGTTAATAGATGCCAGGAAAACATCACTTACGGGGTTCAAATAAACACCCAAAAAAAAATCGGCTCGCCGCTTCGCGGCTCGTGGACGATGCTCCGCATCGTCATTATTTTGGTCAAACCCCCCCCCTTAGCAAAAAGCTAGATCCGCCCCTGACGTACATAAACCTCGGTTTGTCGACAAACCTCCTTTGTGAATTCGGGCCAATGTGTTTACTGAAATAAAAAAATAGGGACTCACCTTACACTCCATTCCCTCCGATATGGCCTGTATGCAGGCGCGTACGCAGGGGGGGGGGGGGGTTTGGGGGTTAAACCCCCCCCTTTGGAAATTTTTTGTGTGTAAACCCCCATAAAAAAAAACCTAAAACCCCCCCCTTTTGGATTTTTTTTTTTTTTTTTTTTTTTTTTTTTTAATTATTAAAAAAAAAAAAAAAAAAAAAAAAAAATTATTCCCATGGCCGACCTAAAAAAGGTGACCTTACCCCCCCCCCAACGGAGCAAAATGTCAAATTTCCAAATTTCGAGACCAAAAAAAAAAAAAAAAGTGTCCTCTTACCCCCCCCCCCCTTATTCAGCGGTCGGCTGAGTCGTTGCGATTTTTTTGGGACCAAAAAAAAAAAAAATGTGTCCTCTTACCCCCCCCCCCCCCCCCCCCCCCCCCCCGCTTATTCAGCGGCTGGCTGAGTCGTTGCGAAATTTTCGGACCGATTTATAAATGTTAAAACCCCCCCCCTTGAAAAAATCCTGCGTACGCGCCTGCCTGTATGTGCGTGTGTGTGGAGGGTGGGGTGGGTTAGGGGGGGGGGGTAGGCCCGTAAACCCAATGATGATCGACGGGGCTTTCATCATCAGTGGCGTAATGAGCAAAAACGGTTGTTGTTTTATTATTTTTTTGGGGGGGGGGGCAGACAAAAAAAAAAAAATCCGCATCACCCCATGCACTCTTACATGCAGGCCCAGCTGAACGTTTTCCAACTGAGGTTTAGGGGTGGAGCCCCCGAAGCTCAAGGGGTATTGGGCATCAGTGGTGGATCCAGGATTTCTTTTTATCGGGCCGGGGAGGCAAAAAATAGCATGGGGTGACCCACTGGCCAAGCGGGGGTGAGTCTGGGGTTGTGACCCCCCTCCCAGAGTATGAAGCATTTGCAATTTTAGAACCACATTGGACGCATTTTCAGGCACTTCCTGGAGTAATATGACTTGCTTGCTCTTACCTCCTCCAAGAGTAGGGATCCTTTGCAATTTGAGAACCACATTTGGCGCATTAATGTCCACCGGCACTTCCTGGAAATAACAAGGCCTTCTGTTTATAGTTACAGAAAAGTGATCTGTCACTTGAGACGTTGTATTGCTTCGTTGCTGCACAATGCACTGACAATAATATTAATACAATGTCCCTATATCTTTTTTCTTCTTGCCCTTGGAAAATCGCGCCGACCGATAAGGGGGGGGGGGGGCGGGGGTATAGTGAGCAATATTTTAATTTTATTCGGCCTCCCGTAATTTTCAAATCGCAGTGTGGGGTCACTGGTGGGGGTTAAGTTTTAGTCAGCACAACCCCCCCCCCCCTAGTGAGCAAAAAAAAAAAGTGAGGGGGACGAGGTTAACCCCCCCCCCCGCTCCCCTCTCCCCTCCCCCCCCCCCCCCTGCGCGTACGCGCCTGTATGCAAAGTGGATTCCATCTAGCCTATGCAGATGATATCGCATAGCAGGTGAATGGTCATTCTGGAAAGAAACACATGATTTAAATACCGGCCGTCATTGCATTCCGATTTAAGTTGCCCACGGTCGATCACGTACCACCCCCCCCCCCCCCCCCCCCGTTGCACACTCACCCATGTAGGCATAGGCTAGCTGCACCCCATCCACGATATTGTCCGGTTAGAAAAGCTAGGGAGCCCGGCAAGAAAATGTTGGAAATTGGAGCCCTTAATTAATTGAAATATATAGCTTAAAATTAGGCATGCCCTATATTAGGTCTCATGAATTTTTTCATGCATGAATGATATTTAGGCCTATACATAAAATAGACTGGACTATGCCAACTTAATAAACTAAACTAAACTAACTGTACAGGGGGATCCCAAATATTATTATATTTCCTGAAACAATTAAGCTTGAATTTACATTGTCAACCAGTCTAAAGTCTAAACGATATAAATGTAAATTCATGCACAATGAGCCTTTCCAATGAAACTCTAATCATCCGATCTATAAATTCTCTTAGGAGTTGATATCAAGTTAACAATGGTGATCAAGCACTGACATGTCAATTTCCTATCCATTGTTTATATCTGGCATCTTCTTTGTTGTACCAAGTTTTTGCAGGAAATTACGTCATTCACAACTTTATAGTCCTTTCTCTATTTTTATGTGTTGAAAATACTGGAATCATAATACGCGTTCGGTGCGTTCGTATGGGTCTGTCGGGTTTCCCGCCTGACTCTCAGGGAAATGTGCGCAGAGAAACTGAAAATTAGAATTAGTTTGCGCACTGTGAATACATGTGCAACAACATTGACCGAATATCACGAGCCCAATTTTTTGTGAATTTTTTCGGTTTTTGATTATTAGAAAGCTGTATAATTCCAAATACCGATGAAAAATTAGGGTTTCGTGAGGGACAGGAAAACATTCTACTTGTGCAAGGTGAGTGGGATCATTCTTTGGTAGTTTGACCATTGTTATTGAGTAAAATGCACGTTTTTATGAGTGGGTGATTGTGCCGGTGTTCTGCGTCAAACGTGAGAAGTTATGTTGAACGATTTCCTTCCTGATCAGCTAAAAGTTGCCATTTAGTATCTATGTATGGTATATAAGCAGGGATATTTATATTTAACAATATTTGAAAATGCTAATATTTCTGATGTTCTTTCATTTTCCCCAGTAGTTGCTTGAATATTGAATTTCTAACCTAATTACATACTGCCCCTCAATGAATGAAAAGGGAATTCACGTGAACATGAATGGGACATGTAAGTGCGGATCACGGGAGTGTAGCCGCGACGCATCGTACAGTGAATGGGCACTGGGTTGACAACGCTCGCTGCGTTGTCCATCCTGTCCATGCGTCCATGACATTGTCATTGACATGTTCAAACCTCTCCGATATGGCGATCGTTTGTTGTAGAAAACGGGATGAAAAACAAAATATATCTTCTAAATAGTCAAAATTATATCTAATAAAATACTACTTAACAGTCACAAATATATTTCTCTTCTTGATTTAATGACTTGATGAAATGGCTGTTCATTATTTGAATTGATTGGGAATCTTTTTTTTTTTTTTCACTTTTGACTTTTTTGTGAATGTATCACCATCCCAGCCCAGGATAATCTAGTCTAGATCCTCTAGCTTTTAACTAAAAATTTGTGAGCTGCTGAAAGGGATTATCATAAAAAGAACAGGACACACATTCTGTGGCAGCAGCTTATTTTGCAATTTTGTTACAGTTCAGTCAAGATTATTACACTTGCATGGAGCATCTTTTGAGTTGAGATCTAGACAAATACGGTTAGTTGGAGTACATTATTACTTGTAATACAGTTAACAAGGAGAGGTAGATCCTGTATACCTGTCTTTTCTTCAGGATTAGCTAGATTATGCAGTCTCCAATCGATGGCAAATCCACATTCTTCAAGGACAGTCAAGAAAGCGAACATGCCCCCAAGGGCCCCAAGGCCCCAACCCCTCCCGCACAAAGCTCCTGTGAAAAGAGGGTTCCTTCCCCAGAGGGCAAGATGGACTCGGTGCTTCAACAATTTGAAGCACTGAAGACGTCACTCTCAGTAATAGGGCCCTTACACAGACTACAGTCCAGAGTCTCTGGATCGGAGGAGAAGGTTCAGCCCCAATCCTGCTGAGTGTGGACCCCAGTCCTGTTTTGGGATCGGATCATCGGACAAGATTGCAATGCCTCCAAGGGATTTGCCTTCTCAGGAAAATGAGAATGGGGCTTGGAGCTCTCAACGAGAGACTACCCATTCCGGGGGGTTGGGGGAGAGGCCGAGGGCTGCTCAACTACATGAGTGAAGCCCTTACTTCCAGCAGCTACCCTTCATATACCTTTCCACTTTCCGGGTTTGACACCCATTTTCATCCGGATAGATGTTGATGGTTTGAGAGCAGGCCGAAACACTGCCGGAGCCCCAGATTGAGTTGGTTGGGGGGTCATGAATTTTTGTTACCCCACATTCTACAAGGATCCCAACTTCCTTAGTCGGGTGCTGGCAGTGAAAACACCATTCAGGGGGTAGTTGTTGAAAGTTGGCCCTAGGGATACATCCCAAGCATGCCACTTATTCGGAGAAGGATTGGGGACGGTCTATCTCGCTGCTTCAAAACCCCCTCATAGTGAGAATCAGTGAGGTTGGGTTCGATTTTTCGGTACCTTCCCAACGGTGGCCGGACCAGGAAGTGCTGTTTCTTTGCCTCCTACATGTAGGTCAGGGCACCCAGGGGGAGGGTCCTTGTTCTACACCTCCGAAGGAGACTGCATGCGGACACCAGCTATGCGGTCCACTAGTTGAGTTGAGTAGAAGGCTGCTCATGAGACACTGCTCCCCACTTCAGGGGCTGCATCTGCATTGCTTCAGCTTGGATGAAGTCCAGGTGAAGGGCCAGAGCCTTCCCCCAATGCTATTTTGGCTTTTCGGGGCTGGCCCTGCCCTCGTTTGCACATGCGCCAGGTATTTTGAGTTTGAGTCGATCACTCCTTGAGGAATTTTGATTCTAGATCTAACAGTTAGTGTGGCACTTTTGATCTCTGTGCTATTTAGTTCTGAAATAAAGCGTGCAATGATCACTAAGTCTTTGCAAGGCTTAAATTAATCCAAGGCCACCAAGGCCATGGCCGTGGATGCCCCTTTGAGTGGCCTCAATGCCCCTCTCATTGGCCTTGGAGATTTTTTGTGCCCATTCCAATTCTTCCTATTTGTGCTGTAATATAGGAATGTGGCCTACAGAAAAGTGGCCTTGCCCTAAAAATATTGAAATTTACGGCCTGCTTTGTCTCATTTGCTTTGCCAAATTGTCACAGAAAATCTGTGTGCTCAGAGGAGTTTCTCTTAACATCTTGTGACTTTTGATGCTCTTCTCTGAGATAGGCAGAACCCTTTCGGCCTTGTGACCACCTTTGTGCTAATTTCTGCCTGCCATTGTTCCTATGGCCAAAAGTATACACCTCCACCCCGTTTTGAATAACAAAGAATGTACGTGTACGATGTACATTCTTAAAGTTATGTCTGTATTGCCTATTGGGGGAAAAATAGAATATAGTTTTGTTTATATCCCAAATGAAATAAGACTGATTTTTCGGTCTAATCTTACTATTGTAAGTTGTGCAATTGCAGGGTTCCCCATCAGAAATATAGGGATACCTAGACTCTATCCCCAAATAAAAGAAAGAAAAGCAGAGAATTTGTGATTGGTGTAGTGTATGGTAACAGGAAAGCAAACTTGGTTGATCATACTCTGTGACAATCTTGGGGTAAAAAAAAATATTGTGCAATGGCATACCCCAATTGCATGAAATGCATGAGGAAATGAGTAACCTTCTGTAGACTATGTGATATTGGGGGAATTGCCATTTTGCAACATTTTATCCATGTAGTCTGTATGATTGCTGAAATTGACTCTTGTTTCCTGCTTTTTGAGCCCATATGTAGTAGACTTGAATGAAAGAGAAAGAAAGAAAAATGGGCAAAATTTGGTGGGGCAGTGTACATGTAGATCAGCTACAGGAGCATGACTAGTTTAGAAAACATTTCATTCAATTAGCTGTAGTCCTACGCTTTACTAATGGTTTGTAGGGAATCAATTCCAAATGATGTGAAGAGGTGTTGATGTAATAAAGCCATTACAAATCACTTCTCTAAACAAATATCAACATGGTAATTCTTTTTGCCTGACTGGAACTGAAGTTTACTGAACCCCAGTTGCTTCCCGTCAAATATTGCAAAATGTCAAATTTTGACAAATGTAGAAGTCATCGTCATCATTCTTTCCCCATGTTACATGAACATGTAGCTGATTTTAGGTTTGCTTGACAACAACGGACCTAAATTATCATCAGTGCAAGTGTGCAAGACATAATTTTTTGCTCACTCTTCACTCTATGAAGTGTATGTATGATACCTTCCACATGCAGTGCACATTTACATCTGCTCTAGCTTGATAAATGTCGCTCTACGCTGACTCACTCTCGCATGGTATCTGCTTATTCTGCTGTTGCCCTGTCCTTTCACTTCAGTAAAGGATATCTCATACAGAGAGCTTCTTGTAATGTTTGCCCTGGAGTTGACCCCATTTTATATACAATTAATACAAGTAGATTGCCAATCCTAAATGGAAAGCCTAGTTAGATAACCTTGCAACAAATGTCTAACAATAAAAAAAATACGTTACCTGTATTTATTTTAATTTTATAAATCTGGAATAGAACATCTACATGAGCATCAGTGATGTCATTTTTTGTGTTTTGTTGTAAATATTGTACTGACAAATAATAGGCACGTGGTAATGAGAAGGAATAATCATGTAACTTAATATTCAAATACTGGGGGGGGGGGGGGGGAATGTGACAAGATCATGATTAACCATTTATACCTCAACATGTTCTTATGTCTTTATTTAATCATTCAAGATCTTCTATAAGATGTTCAAAGGCAAAAGGTGCCTGAATGATTTTATGTTGTTTTAAATTTTCTTTTGCAGTGGTACAGTCATGGTAATGGCCACCAATCCTCCGGCTGCGCCTCAGTCTGCTCCGGCCACAGCGGCTCCTACCAACCCGCCAAACTCTGCTCAAGGACCCAACCCTGCTGCCCCAGTCAACAACGTTACCCCCCAGTCAGTAGGACGAGAGTTTGTGCGACAATACTATACTTTACTCAACAAGGCGCCCAAACACTTGCATAGGTAATGGATAAGTTGATGTGATTTGTTTTCAAAGAGGAAAGAGGATAATTTAGCTCTGGGAAGCATTCAAAAAGTGCTTGAATAACATAACATTAGAACATGAAATGTGCAACAATATCACTTCTGCGATCACTTTTTAAGCTAAACTTCCGGTAAATTATAAGAATATGGATGAATTTGGTATCAGTTTGTAAAAAAAAATAGTGTTTTTTCGAGAAAATTATGATTATTTTGTTTTGTCCGTTTGGTTTTTTGTCCTTTTTTTTTTTTTTTTTCCTCTTTGAAATGTCAAAGTTGGGGGTGCGGCCTTATACGGTAGCTCACATGAACACAAAACAACAACATAAATGATGGCACTAAAGTGAAGTACAATAGTTCAACCAAAAGTCCTTGAACCAAAAGGAACCAACTTTTAGCATTCACACCAGTAAGAGCCATACTGTACGATGCTATTTTACATGCAAAGCTTTTGTTCATTGACATGTACATGTACCTTCTACATGTTCTGGTTAACATTTTCAGGCGATGAATAGTGATATTGTGCATGGAAAATTAGGAATTTGAATCTAGCAGGTTTTGTTATTTGATATGAAAGCAAGTTTGTATTTACGTAGATTATTGGGTCAAATTTCTATTTTTCAAGGTAAATTATTTTTAGCACCCATACATTGTACATGTCTATGCTTTTACTCTCTGTCTGTCTTCCTTGTTCTCTCTCTCTCTCTCTCTCTCTCTCTCTCTCTCTTTTCTCTTTCTGGAATCTCTTCGGCACACAAAGGTTTTTTTTAACCACTCTGATTTGGCTAAAAGCCAAAAACAAACACCACATTTTTGGGCAATTTGTTTTTCTTTCTTTATAAATTTGAAATGCATATACATGTAATTATTGATATGCATGCATGTTGTATAGCGTGATAAAAAATATGGAGAAGCATAATATTTTGATGACTCATGATTCTTGTCAATGTGGGGGCCTCCTGTGGTCTACAGTGCTACATGTCAGTAAGATTCTGTTGTGCATTACAGATGATACTGTAATGTGTGGGTCACAATGTTTGTTTAGGAAGCCCTAGAAGGGCCTCACTGTTGTGTTATTTAATGTAATCCTCCACCTTGAAAAGTGTGTGTTGTACTAGCAGCCTTTTCACACACAGCTAAAATTCTATAAACATGATTAGTTTAAAGGGCTTTAAAGTAATCTCCTGCACATACGACATCATTCACACACAGAAATTTTGGTGCGATCGTTAATCATTTAACTACTGCTTGTAAAATGCGCAGTAGTGCCATTGCGCATTGAAGGTCATGTCATATCAATCAAAGCGCACGGTCCATCCAGTTTAAACACGTCTGAAACACGTTTAAACACGAATAACCTTTCACACACAAAATGTCAAGCTCTCTAGATACGAACTTCGTATCTGCAGCCTGCTTTTAGGGCGTAGGAATCGCGACTTTGTATCTATCCCAACATCATATAAACGATGTTCACACAGGGAAAATTTTCTATAAAACATGTTTAAAACTGTAGAGTTAAACACGTTTATACTAATCATCACTAGATACAATGAATTTTAGCTGTGTGTGAAAAGGCTGTAGGACTTGTCACAGTTTGTTCTTTATATGTGAAGGTTATCATGGGAATCGGATTTATGCTTTACATGTATGACAGGAACAAGGAAGAACTGAGCAGTCCCTTGTACATAGATTTCAAACTTCCTGAATGAAATACTAACCATAAATCTTAATCTATCACAAGTCTAATTGAACCCTCACCTTACATCTTCCATGAAATAAAGCGCAGAGTGAGTCTTCAGACATGTATGCAGGAGTAGATTCCTTAGTAACAATACTGCAAGTAATACATGTATGTTGATCTTTTTATGCCTCCGTTACGAAGTAGCCGGAGGCATTATGTTTTCGGGTTGTCCGTACGTCCGTACGTACGTACGTACGTACGTCTGTACGTACGTACGTCCCGTTCTCGTGATCGCGTTATCTGAAGAACTGGTTGATGGATTCCTGCCAAACTTTGGTCATGTATGTATCTTGTAGAGCCGATGAACTGATTAGATTTTGGGGTTTCGAGGTCAAAGGTCAAAGGTCACAGGGCTCATTATGTATGCAAAACGAGCTCGTGATCGCGTTATCTGAAGAACTGGTTGATGGATTCCTGCCAAACTTTGGTCATGTATGTATCTTATAGAGCCGATGAACTGATTAGATTTTGGGGTCACGAGGTCAAAGGTCAAAGGTCACAGGGCTCATTATGTATGCAAAACGAGCTCGTGATCGCGTTATCTGAAGAACCATTTGATGGATTGCTGCCAAACTTAGGTCATGTATGTTACTTGCAAAGCCGAAAAACTGATTAGATTTTGAGGTCACGAGGTCAAAGGTCAAAGGCTACAGGGCTCATTATGTATGCAAAACGAGCTTGTGATCGCGTTATCTGAAGAACCGATTGATGGATTGCTGCCAAACTTAGGTCATGTATGTTACTTGCAGAGCCGATGAACTGATTAGATGTAGGGGTCACACGGTCAAAGGTCAAAGGCCACAAGGCACATTATGTATGCAAAAACAGCTCGTGATCGCGTTATCTCAAGAACCGATTGATGGATTCCTGCCAACTTAGGTCATGTATGTTTCTTGCAGAGCCAATGAACTGAGTAGATTCTTGGTTCATAAGGTCAAAGGTCATGGGCTCATTATGTATGCAAAAATAGCTTGTAATCACAATATTTTGAGAACCTGTTAATGGATTACAATTGAACTTGAATTCGAAAAATTTCTTCTGTTTTGGTTTGTAAAATTGCTCTATGACGGAGGCATCATTTTCGACTGCGCGCAGTCGAAGTTCCATCTAGTTTGTTTTTGTAGGGTCTACATGAATGAGTCGTCATATTTGCATACCGTATATAATTTGTTGATGTTGTTCGTCTTTGTAGGTTCTACACGAATGCATCTTCATTCGTGCATGGAGGAGTAGACCCTGATGGGAGCCCGGAGGATCCCGTTTATGGCCAGGAGGTATGTTCATAGTACTTGCTTAAATTCAAGTTAATGTAAACAAAATATGAACAGACGTCGGTACATAATGTGACAGCGACATAAATGTATTTTACACCTTGTGTAGTTATCTGAGAAAAGGTTATGTATGTCAAGATAAATAATGTACAACTGGTTTTATCCTTTTCTTCACAAATATTTTCACGTTCTAATTGATACGGGGGTAGATTTATTCTTACGAAGAGAACATGATCTGTGCTATGCTCTTGAAGCTCTTCTTTAAATAGGAGATGTACTGATTTGATTTATTTTTGCAATTTATTGCGTGTTTCATGGAACAAGATTTGATGTTGGTTGTCAGCTTTTCAAAAGCATGTTTCAGTACTACATTTATTTTATAAATTCTCAGAATGGAGTTACCATATTTGCCGGCGTAAAGGCCGCAGTATTTTTGGAAGAGAAAATATCAAAAAGTTGGGGTGCGGCCTTTACGGCGAAAGAGTAAAAAAGAAAAAAAAAGTAAGTCAAAACCAGCGCGAATTTGCACATATGAGACTAGGAACGGTACAATAAATGGTACAGGACATTCCACACATCTTACCGACAATTTTATCTTGCATTGTTGACATGAAGACGAAAAAAAAACTTCCAAAAACAACATCTGCCGATAGATCTTGATCTAAATTCGTGCCAGTGCATTGCAAAAGTAAAAGAAGGGCCCGTTTAACGGAGCTGCTGCGAAGCATCCAGCACGCGAAGTCACCATTTAGAATCCATTTCAATATACACAAGAGCTATGGCGCAATACATCAGAGTGTATACATCAGAGAAAACTGCAGATGATAGCATCAGTGCGGGATGGCCGAGCGGTCCAAGGCGGTGGTGATTTTAGTCACATCAACATTTGTACGCAAGAGATCAAATCCCGTCTTTGACAAAAGTTTTTTTTTTTTTTTTTTTAAATGTCTAAATTGGGGGTGCAGCCTTATCGCCGGCAAATACGGTAATGACTAGTATCTTTTGTATTGTATTTTATTATTTATTTGGCACTTTCAAGAAATATAACAGTAAAACAATATAATCATGGTAATTAAAAAATCTTGTTCACCTCTCTCTAGGCCATCCATGCCAAGATCGTGTCACTGAACTTTCGTGACTGTCATGCCAAGATCAGGCAGGTGGACAGCCATGGTACAGTAGGAGAGGGTGTCGTCGTGCAGGTGACTGGAGAGCTGTCCAACAATGGGGAGCCGATGCGTCGCTTTATGCAGACCTTTGTGCTGGCACCTCAGGCAGCCAAGAAGTACTTTGTGCGAAACGACATCTTCCGCTACCAGGATGAAGTGTTCCAGGATGATGAGACAGAGAGTGAGCCTGACCTCCCGATCGAAAGTAAATCACATGGCGACATGAGGATGCGGGGAAGGGGGGGTCATGAAGCTCTGAGATTTGCGGAGCTTAAACCCCACTGTACTACTTGTATATATAGAAAACAATACCTAAATGGTGCCGTTGGTCCCCCATGATCCTCTTTTTCTTATGTTATTAGAGAGCTGAGTTGAGATAACCACCTGTCAGTGACCAGCAGGGTGGTCTAATCCCTCCTTGCCAGACTAGTTCTTTAATGAAGAAGAAATTCAACTCGGTGGATTGAAACGCACATCGCCCATTTTGGGTTAAAAATATTTTATCTATCAAGCTTGGTGACTAACTTGCAGTTGCCATGCAGTGTCATGTTTAAAAATTGTATATATTCAAGTTATATATTAAAACATGACACATTTATAGGAGAAAGCATGTCAGCATAGAAAATTGCTGATTTTAAAAATATCAAATAATGAAAAAAATATAATCATGTTGATGTAACTACTAGTATTTTGAGAAAGAACATGTTTTTTTTCTTTTCTTTCCCAAGTAGTTGATTCTGATGGCATACGTGAGGAGATCAGCTTGGTTGAACAGCAGCAGAGGATTGCTACCCCAGAGCCCCAGGTCATCATCCCCAAGGATCCCCCACAACCCCAGCAGGTTACTCCGTCATACTACGAGCCCCAGCCTCCAGTAGGTAGGGCTCTATAGACAAAGCAGTTTGCTTGCTAAATCATAAGATATTTTCCGCTCACCGGTGAAATTTTATTTTACCCAGGTGCTGAGAAGGGAAGTATATTCTAGAGCATCTAGGGGACTTTGACTGTAAACCATATTAGGAGAATACAAGTATTGAAGGACCCATGACTTTGAGGTGCTAGAAATTGAAGAACATTGATTATTTTTTCTTGGCTGTGTCTGTTTAATTGAATTGAATTGGTATGTATTAAAAACCATATCGCAGCGTAAGAACTAAATTATTTCAAATATGCATACATCGTACAACAAAATACAGAGTAAAATAATAAACAATCTTATTTAAATTCATATTTACAAACACAGGCATTTAGTCAGTGATATCGCCAATTCTCCTTACATTTTGTGAAACTCCGTGTTTTTTCTCTCCTGACAGCAATGGGTCGGCTCTACCGGAGTCTCCTGAAAATACCCCCATCAAGACTGCGGCCCCGGAGGTAGAAAGCTTCTCACCGGAGCCCCAGATGGAGATGGAAGATCCTTCCCTCAACCTGCAGCAGCCTGTGAGGGCTCCTACCCCTCCTCCTGAAGAGAACCATCAGGTGCTGGAGCAGGTGGAGGTGGAGAAGCCTCCTGTAGAGGAACCTGTCGATAACAGTAAGCACAAGATCAAGAAGATTTGAACAAGAAATAATGCTAGATGAAACTAAGTAGGGTTAAATTGTAAAGTTCAAAGGTACAGCACAGACACATCTCTATGTAAGCAATGGAACAATCAACCTTGGTATATAAGCCATGACATCCAGCCATTTTAATATTGTTCATGTGATGCTTTCCTCACAGCACCCAAGACATTCTCATGGGCGGAGAGAGCCAGAGGACAAACAGCTCCGAGCTCTGGTTTGGCAAGCAAACCCATGGCAGCACCGGTAAGCTACATTTCTCTACATCATTTGTGCTTATATACTGCTCCACCGTTACTCTGATGTGAAGTCAGATTTAGCATTCTTTTTATCAAGTAGTTTGATTGAAACTACTCAATTCGAGCAAAATGTTGAGAACAAATAGCCATCCTTGCTATGTGTTTTCTTCATTTTAATAAAATAAAATGATATGTTAAGTTTCACCCAGAAAGGAATTAAAAATATATGTTAATCAAGATGCTCTGTATTCTGAAAATCGGCATATGCATTGCTTAAAAACAATGTATGGATAAGAAAAAAGTATTTATTCTTTGCTTAGCCCCAAAATGTTTTGAAAAACTAAGATGAGTCTGAGCATCACTCAGCATTTAAAAAAATCATGAATAAGTTTAATCAATTTCAATGATATACAGGGATGATTATGTCATGGAAAGGCAGTATGAAATGTAATCCTGTGACAGGAGCTCATCACGCCATTACAAAAGGAGGCACGATAGCTCAGTTGGTAGAGCAGTGGTCTCGTATTCCGGGGACTCGGGTTTGAAACCAAGTTCATGCGCTAGTGCTCTTTGGTAAGGCATTAATCCTCATCACCAGGTCTCTCGGAGAGGACCTAAAGCAGTCAGGCTTCTGGTTGCTCACTAGCTTTCTTAGCAGTCTGGTAAAATAACAACCACAAACTCTTACTTAATTTTTCCAGAGCCAGGTATTAGCCCCCAAACCGATCGAGCCCATCGGAGGCATGACCACTCTCTCCCGTGACCCCCCACCAAGGGGTAAAGAGGTCCTGGCCCAGAGGGAACCCAGGGAAGGGAGCGTCGTGGACCCCCAGAGAGGATGGGTGCTGGTCCTGGCTCTAACCCAGGCATGACTGGTGGACCAGGTGCCGGAGGTGGAAGACGAGGATTCGAGGATGGACTTGATAAGGGAAGGGGACCATCCTCAGCAAGATTTCCAGACAGTCATCAACTCTTTGTTGGGAACCTACCACAGGACATCAACGATGATGAACTCAAGGAGTTTTTCTCAGGTTTGTCACATTAGTGAATTAGAGCTGCTTGACTCCATCTTATAAAGAGAGTAGCTATTGATTACAAAGAAGTTGCAACTGATATCAATGGCTACTCTGTACTATGGAGATAGGAGATGCATTTTATATCAATTGCAAATCATTTGTGATAAATCGCACCTCTTTTATAAGATGGGGCCCTGATTTGAAGAAGTGATTTAAGAATTTTTCTCCCTTGCTCACTCAATATTTTCAGGTTGGAGACCCTAATTATTTTCAGATCTTGGCAGATAATGACCTTTTTGAATTTTGCATAGAGACATTTAATGCTTTTAAGATGGAGCTAAAAGAAATCCACATCAAATGGCGCACTTAAAGAAAATAATACTTGATTATTATGTGAATATGTAAGATACTAATTTATTGCATTGTGTAAATTGATGTTCATTTCCATTTGTTAACAAAATTTGTGACAGTTCTGTTTGATACTCCAAATTTGACATACATGTCGAGTTGAACCACAAACGTGTATTTAATTCTTTGACTGTTTGTTTGTTTGTTTATGCAGTGTATGGGCGAGTTGTTGAGATGAGGATTAACCGTAACTCTGGACCCAAGCTACCATTCTTTGGTTTCATTGTGTTTGATGACTCTGAGCCGGTGGAGAAAATCCTCAAGCAGAAGAGGGCGAAGGTAATATCAATAAAAATACTTCAGTCTTTCCTTTTCTTCAGAGAAAATCTAACCCTGGGAATCACAATAATGTTTTTTTATAAAATGATTTTCATCCTTTGATTTGTGTAATTTGTTCTATGTAATTCTTTTTTATACACTTTGTTTTGTCAAATAAATAATAATAATAATCACCCTTCCCTGCTTTGATTAACTTGCGGAACATGCGGGTGATGTCTTTATTTGAGTTATGTCAAATGTACTACAGCTATTAAACATACACTGATAAATATGTCCTTCTAGAGCATCAAACAATGGGTAAAAATTGATGACAGATTAGAGAATTGTCAAGTCCTGCAAGTTTTGATAACTCATTCAGCCCTGATTGAAAAGAAGTTATTCAATTGAAGCAAATTTTTTCATCGCACAGGTAATAAGGCTATGCAATTTGAAAGTTAATCATAGTAAAGTTATAGATAAATTACTTAATGCTAGGTTTAAAACCTAATTGTGCCATTCTGTCTTTTATATTCACATTGTTAGCTTCCATTCATTCTCCATGGACTTATCTTTAAAATCTTGTTTATACTCCTTTCAGCCTATCTTCTTCCGTGGTGAGCATCGTTTGAACGTAGAGGAAAAGAAGAACCGAGAGATGAGGCCCCCTCGTCTCCCTCGCGGTGACACAAGACCAGGCAGCGGCGGACCACCCCGTGGGGGCTCCATGGGACGCGGCGGAGGACGTGGTAGCACCGGTGGTGTTGGAGGCAAAGGAGGTAGCGGCAGCGGACGTAGCTACAACCCACAACGCTAGACATGTGACACTGGGATGGACTCAAGGGAAGGGAAGGGTAGGGACCGAAAGATATAAACTAGCTATGGCAATCTCCATATTTGTTTCAGCGATCCAATGTAGTTTGTCGTGGTAGCTGGTGTACAAAGGGGAATGGTAAGAAAACTGGGATATTTAAATTCTAAAAGTGTGTGTCTCTAATAATGGGATGGGACACTTCGAATCTGACAAGGGTTCAGGTTCAGTACATGTCCACTATTGAAAAACAAAGACTAAGATGCCATTAGATGTGCACTTGTTTGTGCATATTCCTGAAATAAGATTCACGTTGGAACAATATTCTTTGGCAGGTGTGTGTCGGAGGATGGATAACTGTATGTATGCAAACAAACTTTTCTTTTGAAACTTGTGATAGTCTAGTACTGAGAAATGCAATTAAGGGGTATATTTTAATAAATCTGTTGTGGCATTATTGTGCCCTGTTCGTTTGATAATAAGATTTATTTTCATGCTTTTCCCTGTGTAATCATACATGTGTTATGTGATTGTTAGTCCAGTGTTAGTGTCATGTACTGTGTAAACCTGAGAGGACGGGGGGTTGGGGTGATAGGGAGGGGGTTCTTATGTATATGATTGTGTCTGTTTTGGAAGAGTCATTACACTCATTAACCGATATGCTTCTTATGCCAAAGGACACAATGTTGACTTTATTTTATGTTTTCAGGGTTCCTGAGTCAATTTGGATATCAGATTGGGCTGTGTTGAATTTCAAATTAAGTTCAACAATACTTGTGTACAGTTGATAATTTATTCAACTTACAGTTGTACATGTGCCATTAAATAGATTATTGCTTAATATCAGAGACAGGTTTTTATTCTTATCAAGAATAGCTCACCATCAAACTATGTACAGAGAAAAATATGTAGATTGAAAGGGAACTATCCCAACAGTTACAGATCATTTCCTAGAGCTTTATTTTATTGATGGAGGAAATAATGGGCATCAGAAACAATTCCTATTGTAATCATGATATTATATTTAGTATTAAAGTTACCTCTAACAGTATTTTTTCTGTTTATAGTCCGATTGTCGTACCAATCAATCTTCACTATATTTGATATCCAAATTGACTCAGTCTTACTAGTGAATAATTGTGAAACTCTCCTGGTTTATACCTTGGTGCCTTGTAGATTAATGAGAGTATAAATCATTAAAAGCAGGTCAAAACGGGAGCAGATATGGTTCAGTTTAATCAAGAGTATTAGCAATGCTATCAAAAATTTAAAAATATAATGTATTAGGAAGTGTGTGTGCTCAGAACAGTATCTGTGTTGTACCTGTGTCATTTGTGGCTGCCAATCGTTAACTTATCGGTGATCTTTTATTTCAAAACATTGATTCCCTCCCCCCTTATTGCTGAAATTCTTATTCCATTCATTTTATTCTGGGGGAAGATTCCTTTGGGCATATATTCATTCTTTTCTCTGATACTTGCATGTAAAGCATAGCATGTTAGTCACAGCCTAGGTAAGAATGAATGTCATGTATTGCTAAATTGTCTTGACCTGAGAGTGAGACTGATGTGTGAGTGTGACTGAGAGGTGTTAGAGTGAGAGAGCAATATCGAGAGTGCATGAATGTTAATTGTGTCTGGAAAGTCTTAAGACGCCTCAGGAAGAAGAAATTTAAAATATTTTGGCCTGGGATTCAAGAAAGCGGACTAACTCGAGTATGACCCAGTCACCCAGACAAAGTGGGCGGCTTAACTTGCGTTAGACCTCTCACTCTGGAGTGCCAAGTACAAATAACTGTTATTCTGTAACTAAATGAATTAAAATCTTGGCATCATGAAATCGACTTCTCAGTTCCATTTCATGACTAGATTCACTTCATATATTGATGGTTACATAATAGAAGTCATTTTACAGTGTCTTGCTGACTTCTAGCTCTTCATATGTTCATAGCACAGTGGAGTAAGTTAGTCCGCTTTTTAGAATATGGGCCTGAAAATTGGAAGAAATCTAAAGATTTATTGCCGGATATTTATATTATTGGAAGGTGTGATGTAAATTACTAATAAAGAAAATAAGAAAAAAATCTAAAACCCTTCATGATGTTCATGCATTAATTGAAATTCAAGGATAATATATGCACAATGTAGTTATTATTGTTCTTATCAATTCACCAAGTAGAAGAAAAATCTTTGATTCTGTAGGAAGTCGTGTTATGCTATTTCCCTCATCAAATTCTTGTATATGCCACAGGCTTGATATTTCATCCCAATATTTATGGCTTTGAGCTATCCGTGTCCTTAGAGTATTTTTTCTTAATAGAAGGTGAGGACAAGTTTGAGATTAAAAAATCATTTTGTTTCACTAGAATGAGGAGAGGGAAGTTGTCCTCCCCATTTTAATGTCTAGAATAAATCGGCTACTTTTCTTGTAATTATGGTCAAAAAGAGGAAGTCTTTTAGGAGATAAACTAATGCACTTTTACTTATCAAATCTATTCCTAAATCCACTGGATTATGGAGACGATGCGAAGAGAGGACTCGATACTAAGTGTGTGATTGGGTGTCATAAAGAGAAGAACACAAGAAAGATAATTGAACGTCATTGTAAAAACTTTCTCACGTTCATCCCATCATTACACATTCTTTTCACGTCTTCATGTTATTTATCCCTCTCATCGAATAGTTCTATGGATTTGTTATGTTGTATGATACTTTCATATAGTCATGATGTCGTATAGTATAAGGAATCTGTGGTGGTTGAAATTTCCTCTACTTCAAGATTATCTGTTGCACATACACTCAAAATTTCATGTCTCAAAATTGAAGTGCATGTGTTTTTCCATAGGTCAATGAGCTGTTTAATACAAGATATTTTATTGTTATCTGGTCACTTTTTGAATGAATGCCTAGCAAATTGTACAGTTTAATCAATTGGAAGCAGCTTAACTTGCCTATAATTTTTTTTGGTCAGAATTTGAAATAGTTTCCAAAACATTTGGCACATTTTTTAGTACATTTGGTCTAATTGTCTGTCCCCACTTTTCATAAACCCCCAAAGTGTGCCAAATATTTTGGATTACTAGTGCAAGTAAGCGAGCATATTTTGAGAAGTCTTTGTTATACATGTTTTTTCTTTTTGATACAGTGCCAGCATGTGAAATTTATTCGATTGTTTAAATTATGTACAGTTTTTCATGATAAAAAAGAGAAAATTGATAAATGAGATGATCCTGATAATTTTTTGAAAACAGGATTAGTAATTTGTGAATGGCACATCTGCATTCCTTTTATGAGCACGGGGAGATGTATGGCATGTAATGTTCACTCACTCGTCGGGTCCAGTTCTTGAGTACATCTGTGTCCAAATTTTGTAGTCGTCTTTGTTCCGATACATCAGTACACATTGCTCAGTTGTGATTACTTTCCCCCATTTCAAAAGGCTTTGCCTAGTCCCTCTGATGTGTTTTTTCTGTAGTGTAGTCCTATGTTGTATGTTGCTTACACTCTTTCACCAAATGCATGTTTATGAGGTAGGAAGAAGAACACTTTGATACCAAGCAATCCAATATTATAATAGTCGTCCCTGTTCACATTAAGAGTAAGTGAGTGGGGGAAGAGACATTGATGTATGTTGTTGATAATAGAGCCTTGTGTGAACAGAGCTCTTCATGTAATGATAGCGTGTGTGCAATTTTTAAATCAAAGTCAGATCACTCATTGTAAGGGTAATGTATGCAGTTAATCTCGTACATTAAACTAATTGGTCAAACCATGTCAACTGCACACTACTACATACCTTTGTACTTAGAGGGAGCCTTTCATGTGTGGTCGGTCGTCAAACTTCCACGTACTGGGGAATAAAAGTATACATAGTTTTCAGCTTTTCATATTTTTGTTCTTTTTGTGTAAAATGGGATCCCTGGTTCATGGAAGTTTCATATCGACCAGAAAGGGAGGGTTACCTCGGTGATTATTAGACAAAAATACATAATTCCGACAAGATTCGTGACAATAAAACAGAACAGTTATTAATGCAAAAATGAATCTGTCTTCTTGTGTTGGTCTATTTGCATACCATGTATTTGTTCATGAAGAACTTCTTGCTAGAATTACAAGTGATTGTACTGATGAAATGGAATAAGGAGCAGGAACTGCAGAAATAGTGTGCCTTTATGTGTAGTCATCAAAGCACTTTCTTCTAGATCCTAAAGCTGTATCTACATTTTATTTGTTTCTTTATTAATTCTCAGGGTAGTCTCTTCAGTACCATAAAAGGACTTTGCAAGAGAGTCTTGTATTACATAATACAATGAAATACAATGTAAAACAATATATTTTAAAAAAGTACAAAACAAGAGCAAAAGTATATTCGAAACAAGTATTAGAACTTGATTATGATACACAATTCAGCTAAATATATATTCTATTGTGCAGGTAAAATACCACTTATGAAGGGTATACTATTTTGTGACCCGCCCATTTCCTTCCCCAATTGTATTTTAGCATATCATGTATGGCCATGAATGACTATAAGTCGTGGCTCTGAATAAACGATTCACAGATTTTACAACCCCATTATTAATCACGACCCCTCCCAACGCCATATTTTGCTATTCTCACACTTCCACCAACACCCATCCAACCATTACGCCAACACCTCCTCCTACCTGACCATATTATCAGCCCCATCCCACACCCCATACCACAGCATTTCGTCCCACCCCTTGCCACAACCCCCACCAGAACCATCAACCAATGACCCGTTTCCAACCCTCACTACTGCCAGCCCCACCCCATCTCGTACTCCTACAACCAAAACCCAATCCATCATCCATATACCACCACCGCAGCTTGTACCATCTCTACTACCACCTTCACCTTCATGTATTGCACCATCATGCAATACCACCAAACATACATTAACCCATACCACTTACCATCTACCCCATATCCAGGGGCAGGGGGCATAGTGCCTTCTACTTTTCAAGTATCCCCTAAAGTGCCCCTTTTTCATGGTAAAGGTGCCCCCTTTTACTTCAGATAAGTGCCCCTTAATATTTCTAATAGGTTCCTGTCCCACATTTTTATAAGTGCCTTTTACCACCTCTGATGAGTGCTCGCTCACAAATAAATATTCAGACCATCATGCACACCCAAGTGCAAAGAGAGAAACAAACAATAAAATCATCCCTGATAATCCAATCACAATTAATGTAGAGGTATAAGGGACTACCAATGTCAACAATTTGGACATTTTTGCTTGGAGCTTTCCCTTTGTAGGTGCTCCTTTTTTCTTCTTCTAGAAAGTGCCCTTTTTTTGTTGGTGCCACCCCCCCCCCCCCCCCCCCCCCACTTTGAAAGACGCTCTGCCGCCCATGCCACTGTAGAGGTCAGTGGCCCATGCCCATATCCGCTCGTTCACCTAGCTACATCCACACTCACATCCCATTTAACCTTTCATAACAATGTCACTCCAACTCTATTAACACCACCGCCACCACCGCCACCACCACCACATCATCTTCGTCATCTCCACCACCTCCAATACAGGCAACCGTCATCCCCACTGCCGATTGACCTGTCAGCCCACAGCCCCCCCCCCCCCCCCCCCCTTCTCGCGATCTCATTGGATTCGCGCATGCGCTTTCGTCACGTTGCCATAGCGAACTCAAGCCAAAACCCGGAAGCTCGTCATATCATCGAAACGAATGTGACTGACTGAGCTGTGAGCAGGAACCAAGCATAATTTTCACTTTTTATACGCAAAATATCGTTTATTATCAATTAACATCATGAGTCAACAACAGTACCATTGGGAAGCTTTGAGGAAGCAACGTGTTATAGACAGAAGACTTGCAGCTATGAAGAAAATGACAGATGAGGAGGTAAAAATTATTTGTTTTTGTTTTAAGAAGAAGAAGATGTGCATGCTTGTTGTGCCTCGCCTCGGCAGTGGCTTGGGTCCGCGTCTGCCATATCAGATATGCCGCATAGCCATAGGCCAAAGAATTTTGTCATGTTTTTAATTTCGCATGCAGCTTTTCGTAGCCTTGTTTGAGATGATGATAAAACATGAAAAGATATATCTTATGTTGATTTTCTTTTTAGTATCTAGACCTATATAATCAGATAATGTCCATTGTGTAAATAATGAAATGTAGCGTGTTTATTTAACCAGCACACAGAAAGCTTAACAAAATCAATCACTAAACAGATCTAAGCTGTATGTATCTGTGGATATTTTAGTATTTTGTTAACGACCCCTCCTCCCCCAACCAACCAAAAATACATCTGCAACTTGAATGAGAGTGAGTCAATTCTGTTATCAAAATAATAATTTTGACCCCTGTATTTTTCAGAGGCAGATGGAGGAATTAAGCACAGAGGGCATGGCCAGAGATGAGCTTCAGAGCCGACAGATGGATCATGCAAAGAGACGTGAGCTAGCTGAACAGATCCAACACAGAGACAGACGAGGAATCCGCAACTCATACAAAGAAAGAGAACAGTGAGTATAGGGGCCAGAAGTTCGTCGGGACCAGAGTTGTTGTGGGGGGGGGGGGGGGGGGGGGGGGGAGGTGTTTAATTTTATTTAGGGTCTGCTGGATTAAATTTGCTGATGTAGTAAGCAAACATATTTTTTATCTGATTTTCAAGTTAGCTAACCGAGGTTTGTAACATTTTTTGATTAGCAACAATTCGTTTTTTTCTCTAAATTATACCTGTGTACCCCAAAGGTCAAGTTGCATCTCTTGGACTGTTAAGTATACATTGTCTGTTATGAGCCAGAAGCAGAAGGGCGTTTACTCTGTGCTAAAGGTAATATCCATCTGGCTCCATACAGATGATATAGCATTTAATCATGAAAGTTGTATTTTGGTATCGATAGATGCGCTGTGATTAAAATTAAATCATAGAAATATATTGAAGGCTACATCATATTTATTAGAAAATAGTAGTTTAAATTAAATAGCTTTCTTCAAGATTTCTCTTGGAACTTGCATCAAATTTTATTCCATATTTTCATTTCTCTTCTCTTTCTCTTTCTCTTTTTCTCTCTGCATATTTCATAATCCATATTCTTTGCCTGCATGTATGGTACTATTTCATCATTCTTTATTGTTCATTTTATTGATATATTGTTTCTCTGTTATAAACCATTTTATGATTTTCGTTTCTCTTCTTTCCTAATGTTGTTTCTCTCCTTGCTTTAATTCTCAACTTAATCTTAATTTATATTCATAACCAAACTCCATCCCATCAATCACTTTGTCTCAATTTTCACTTCATGCTCAATTCATTATCTTCCATACTCTTGACTTTTCATTTTCTTTGGAAATAGAATTGATTTGTCAAATGGAACATTTCACTATCAACAAGGACACAAAACACTCACAGTCCAGTTACAAGACTAGATATACTCTATGTCTTAGGACATACATAGGACATACTTAGATATACAAATTATATTATAATTCTCAAAGTATAAATACATCTAGTGTAACATGTTTGCATATTGTTGCGATACCGGTACTAAGGTTGTGCAATACCTGAATATCTCAACCATACTGACTTATCCATAGCCAGATAATGTAGGGAGCATTATATGTTTCAGAGAATAAGTCTATATGAAATAGCTATGTGATACGTGTTGAGAACACTGTATGGATATATGTATTATGTAACATCTATTTTTAATAGCAAACCAGAGGTATGCATATAGGCATTGTTTCACGTGATTGAGATCTCGATCAGGAATCGGTCAACTTGGGAAGTGAATGTCGCTTTGAACTTTGCATTTCAAGTCAAGTGCTTAAACCACTCGACTACGACACTTCTAAGAGTACATCTACATCTGGAGCATAATTTAATATCTGAGTCCAATCAGCGTTTTGTGCTCAAACAAAGACACTCTACTACTCACATTTCAACTCTATCATGTCTATATATATTTTGATCATCTCTTTCTCTTTATCGTGTCACACATGTTCTTTCACTGTTTCTTGTCTTTTTTATAGTCAGGATTCTCAATTGTGCCAGTTTCCACAGTGGTGCATTTAAAACCTTTTCTAGAAAGCATGTTCTGAATAAGCTTAATCAGCTGACCATAATAATGCATGTAATCATAAAAAGAATATAGTAATAATATAGTATAGTTTAGTTTAGTCGAGTCAAGTATAGTATAGTGCAGAATTGTAGAGTGTATTATGTACTTAACTGTAGTTATGTTGAATACTAGATAATGCAGTAATTTGCAGTGTGACATTTCATACAGTAAAAGGCTTTGGGCATTCCTTCTGCAATGATTTCCTTCCTCCTAACCCTATCCCATCCTCCTCCATCCCTTGCTACCCCACCCTCATCTTTTTACAGAACGATTCAGAAGCTGGTGAGTGAGAGAACTTGGCATGACAACCTAATCGCTAAGATGGACCAATCAGAGAAGGATGATCTGCTTAAGGATCTCCTCAGAGACCACGCCCAGAAGTCAAAGACCTTAAGGGATCGTGGCGTGTATCGAGGAGATGCTAAGTTCTTCATCGATCCACAATATAATTGATTTAGCTAATTTCCGGCATGGATCTTACTTGCTAGAAAGTTCCATTTACTGTAGTCTATGTCTGTTGTTGAACCTCTTGTCCTCTTGCATCTAGATCTGCTCCTAATTTATTATGAACAATACAAAATCTACCATTTGGTTCCTAGCTCCAGGGCTTTTTGACAGAAAGATGTAATTACAAGCAATTTGAAAGCCATGTTTTGTTGTTTGCATTTCATAGGTCTTGATCACAAAATTTATTTATGCAAAATGTCCCAATTAAATCACTACCAAATAAAGTACTTGTACTACAAAGCATACGCTGTATATCATATTGAATGTATTTTTGTTAGTGAAAATTACATGAAATGTATATATTCGATCTATATAAGCGAGATGCTCGAGAAGAAAAAATTTAAATAAAACGTGACTTCTGAAGATTTGTTATCATCTCCTGTATACATAGAGATTTTAAACTGTGATTGGTATTCTTATTCTTTTTCTTTTTAAAAATGTTTAGTAGTATGAGTGTACTGAGTGTACTGCTTTTAAAACTGGTGATGTAATGTTACATGCTTTAATATCTTGATAGAAAAGATTAGGCAAAATATATTGATTGCAGTCTTTTAGAAGATGTACTGACTGTTTTTACCATTTAAAAGTATGACACTTCTATTCTCTATTTCTCTCTCTCTCTCTTCCTCATTCTTTACTGTAACTCTTCTTTAGCTACACAATGGACAATAGACATAATATATATGAATGCATTTATTGTAATATCTTCTGTTGAGTGCCAGAAGGGCATTCTGCAAACCCTATAATGACCATTCAGTATACATATATATATATATCATATGTTTTTTTTTGGTGTGTTTTAAGCAAAGTATTTTTGAAGCATAATTTATTTCTTTGCAAGTGTAGTATCGTTTGTGCTCTATTACTCTCCGTCCAGTATTTTTCTTCAGCTGTGTATGTGAAGATGCAGTTTATACTGCAAAAAAAAATATATCTATGCAATCTTTACACTTACCAGTAACTTCAAAGTTTTTCATACTGAATGCCTAATGCTGTGTCTATTGAATTTGTATGAAAAATTTGTTCACTGTATGAAGTATTAAATGAATGTTGATCAATATATCGTGAAGCCAATTTTGAAGAAAAAATCATATTGTTCATTTGCCCACATTTTGTCACTTGCAGCTTAATATGTTTGCATCTCAAAATAATATAGATTTGCTGGCTATTATACTAGCTGTGTTAGCAACAGTTTGGTGGGAATTAAAATTTGACATAGAACGTTGGATGCATTAAGGGCATTATGATCATGTACAGTAGAAACACATATATTTTGGTTTTGCATATCATGGCTTGCGACTGAATCAAGAGCCACATCTTTCAGACCCCCCCCCCAAAAAAAAAAAAGAAGAGAGAACTGTATGAATATTAATTGGAGGAAAAAATACATGATAGAAGATTTAATATTGGATATTCAAGTTGGAATAAGGGGTACATGTATATGGAATAATCACCTTTTTCTCTATTATTAGTGCATATATAGATGTATATTTTCAATCATTCAAAGTAACAGTGGAAATTGTTTGGGGAAGATTTAATTAAGAAAATCAACAAAATGTTTGTTTCCAACTCTCAGAAAGAGAATGTAAGTTAATAAATATCATGTTGCAATGAATATGCCATGCATGTGATTGTGTTCTATTTGTTGTTATCCAAGTGATTTAATCTATTGTGCCTCCATCCTTTTAAGAGACAGATAAAAGACAGAAACGGGAGGAAGTGTAAAAGAAGGAATATATGAGTACAGTTAAAGAATAGGGAAGATGAGAGAGGGAAAGATAATGAACGACAGGGAGAGGAGAGGAGGCAAATTAGAGAGAGAGAGAGAGAGAATAAGGTAGTTAAATATGAGAGGAAAAGGGGGAAAAAAGAGAGATGGAATTAATCTCTGAACAGATAGATGTAGAAAAAGGAAACTTGGTGCATGAGAAGGGGTGGGGTGATAAAGAGGGTATATTATAAGGAGGAAAATTCAGTGGATTTGATCTTTATAATTATAGAGAGAATATGGGCAAAATAGAGATGTGCAGTACATGAGCTATATAAGAGAGAGAGAGAGAGAGAAGCTAGTTAAAGAGGGAGAATTGAGGGAGAGGGGTGCATTTTTGAGGAAAATCTGACAGCAGATAATAAATTTTAAAATGATGAACTAATTGCATAAAAGCTTGTTTTGTGGGATTGCAAAACTGGGCTTTTTGAAGCCAAACCCCGGCCCTCCCCCTCCCTCCCCCCACTCCGGGGTCGGAATGACTGTATGCGTGTTACCAAAATGTCTGGTAAAGGGGTACTTTTCGTGCGACAAAGTCCGGCCCGAGAATTGTAAAAAAAAAGGGGTGTATTTGACTTTTCACCCGGAGATTTCTTTAAAAAGGGGGTGTTTTTTCTTTTTTTTCTCTCATCTCTTTGGACTCCTGAGAAATTATTCTGATTTAGGGGGGTACATTGAGCATTTTTCCGTATTTAGGGGGGTCTGGACCCAGGCGCGGATCCAGGATTTCTTAGGGGAGGGGGCCCAACCTTTTTTTTTTTTTGCTCCCGAAAATTTGAAAATCGCGCCGGCCGAAAAGTCGCTCAGTTGGGGGGGGGGGGGGGGGGGGGGGGGGTACAGAGCACAATTTTTTTTTTTTTTTTTTTTTTTTTTTTGCTCCCGAAAATTTGAAAAACGCGCCGGCCAAAAAATTCGCTCAGTTGGGGGGGGGGGGGGGGGGGGGGGGGGGGGGGGGGGAGTGAGCACATTTTTTTTTTTTTTTTTTGATCCTCAAAAAAATTTCAATTTGCACCCCCCCCCCCCCTTGAGCGCCAGGGGGGGGGGGGCCCAACCCCCCAAAAAGGTAAAAATCACGTGATTTTACATGATTTTTTTCTCAAGGGGGGGGGGGGGCCGGGCCCCCCGGCCCCCCCCCCCTGGATCCGCCACTGTCTGGACCAAGGCAGGAGAAGCCCGCAAAAGGGGGGTTCGGAAATGTTGGCAGCTAGCTAGTCCTCTGATAGGGGGTGCTTCATACGCGTACCCTAAATAACACTGCGTGGTGGAGGGGGGGGGGGGGGGGGGAGCCAAACTAAAAACAAAGAGGTCAGATCGACCAGACTGACGGGGCAAGCATTAAATTGGGACACCAAGAAGAGCATCAACCAGTCACATACAAAACAACACACCCCCCCCCCCCCCCCCCCCCCCAAAAAAAAAAAAAAAAAAAAAAAAAATCAAATTAAGTCTCTCAACAAAAAGACCCCATGTTTATGATATACATCTCTCCATTTTAACAGCTATAGGTCTATATAGACAAAGAGCCCTTTTCATGATCATGTTTGACATTTTATCCAAGCCATTATTATGCAACAGTTGTGGCAGCTAGCGGAGGCATATCACTCGTACTCCGCATCACTATCATTCACGTAAACACAAACCAGGGACATCGAAATTGTGAGATGTTAGGCATGTTAACCCTGTTTATGGTTTACCTTTTAGATATTTCGAACTACCTGTTTAGGTGACCTATTTGTGCCTATATGAGCTTTTAACTGGAGTAGTTTGCCAGTTTTTAACGCTTTTTCGGCTTCGTATCTTCAATCCTTCGGCACGTACAAGAGGTACGGTTCTTCGGGTGTCCACTCCCGCTTAGCTCTGGCAGGGTGAATTGATCAGCGACTGCTGTGCTGTCCCTGGCCCTGTAGCTGTTGACTCGCTTCTGCGTGCGCTTCAAAGTTCAACTTCAACTTAGCTTCATGCTGTGTGGTCTGAATTGAGGACATGGATGCTATTCTGAATAACGAAAAGAAGCCAGAAGATGATTATTATGTGCTGCTTGGATGTGATGAATTATCAACGGTAAGCTTAATAATGTCTGCAAATGACGAGCCTGAGTTGTGTTGTGGTTGTTTAGATTGTTTCGGGCTAACTCGGCCCACGGGACTACTCGGCCCAGCTGGAAAAACTGGGCGGAGATGTCCCGACCTGATTAATCGATCGAGAGATACCAATGTGTATATGTTTGTGCTCTTTGTGACTTAATAATGCCCTTTCCAACCAAAATCTTTAATGGAATTGTGTTAAATGATACCAATAAAGACAATTTATAACTTATCTTTAGGTAAAATGACAAAAAAATGACATTTCGGACAATTTACTCACAGCTCGCAATCCGCATTGCCGCACGTACATTAAATGTGCGTTGTATCTACTCGGACCACTGAAATTCGAACAGTGTTTTTGTCGGTAAATCACTGCAAAAATATCATTTTTATCTCGTATGAAGGTCTATTTTTTATTCCTGACACAGATTTCATTATTGAGAAGTCGAATATAGTACATTTTAGACGAGATGGTTGATGTTTGTTCACATTCTTTCGTCCTGGCCGTAAATTAGCAGACTACTGCCTAGTGCTACCGCAGCAGCTCAGCTCAGTGTGCAGCTAGCCGTACAGCGCCCCCGGCCGGGTCGGCGGGGGAATTCACTGACTCGGCGCCCGTACCGGGCCGCTGCACTGCATTGCATGATTGTACTGCCCAATTTGATCGAGTGATGTGAGTATACTATTACTAATCAAACTAGATCTATATCTACTGTATTATCATTATTCATTCCGAGTAGAATATCCAATTTGATTTAGTGAGTAAACTAGACCTAGATCTATATCTACTGTAGCTACATCATTGTCCTAGATTAGTCATTCAGAGTAGAATATTCGATTAATGAAGGAATGGAATTTTTCTTTTTCATAATCAGATAATCATATTTTATTAAAAGTTAAAGACTTGATAAATAGCTAGATCTAACGTAAGTGCCTAGCCTAGTACTGTAAGAGAAGTGAGCTGAAGAATCGCCTTCTTCTTTTATTTTGGAGGGGCAGGCGCGTAGCCAGGAGAGGTGGGGGCGGTCGCCCCCCCCCAAAAAAAAAAATAGAGAAAAAAAAGAAAAAAGGAAGAGGACATAGGAAGAAAAAGGATTAAGAGTCGAGAACGTTACAACGAATCGTCTTCTTTCTCTAATTATTTAAAGAAACATCAAAGCTTTCGCGTGAGAAGGGGGGACAGAACTGAATTCAGATAAGGATAAAGGGTACAACGAATCGTCTTCTTTCTCTAATAATTTATGAAACGTCAACGCTTCCACACTTCGCGCGGGAGCGGGGAAACTGAATTCAGACAAGGATCTAGAGTCGAGAACGGTAAAACGAATCGTCTTCTTTCTCTAATTATTTGATGAAACATCAAAGCTTCCGCGCTTTGCGCGGGAAGGGGGGATGGAACTGAATTCAGATAAGGGTTAAGAGTCGAGAACGGTACAACGAATCGTCTTCTTTCTTTGATGAGAGGGATGGAGACGAGAGGGATTGGTGAGGGATGGAGATGATGAGAGGGATGAAGAGGGATCATGAGAGGGATGAAGATAAAGGGGATGGAGATGATGAGAGGGATTGGTGAGGGATGGAGATGATGAGAGGGATGGAGACAATGGGAGGGATGGAGATGATGAGAGGGATTAGTGAGGGATGGAGATGATGAGAGGGATGGAGACAATGAGAGGGATGGAGATGATGAGAGGGATGGAGACAATGGGAGGGATGGAGATGATGAGAGGGATGGAGATGATGAGAGGGATGGAGATGATGAGAGGGATGGAGATGATGGGAGGGATGGAGATGATGAGAGGGATGGAGATGATGAGAGGGATGTAGATGATGAGGGGGATGGAGATGATGTGAGGGATGGAGATGAGAGGGATGGAGAGGATGAGAGGGATGGAGACAATGAGAGGGATGGAGATGATGAGAGGGATTGGTGAGGGATGGAGATGATGTGAGGGATGGAGATGATGTGAGGGATGGAGATGATGAGAGGGATGGAGACAATGAGAGGGATGGAGATGATGAGAGGGATTGGTGAGGGATGGAGATGATGAGAGGGATGGAGACAATGTGAGGGATGGAGATGAGAGGGATGGAGATGATGAGAGGGATGGAGAGGATGAGAGGGATGAAGAGGATGAGAGGGATGGAGATGATGAGAGGGATTGGTGAGGGATGGAGATGATGAGAGGGATGGAGACAATGAGAGGGATGGAGATGATGAGAGGGATTGGTGAGGGATGGAGATGATGAGAGGGATGGAGACAATGTGAGGGATGGAGATGAGAGGGATGGAGATGATGAGAGGGATGGAGAGGATGAGAGGGATGAAGAGGATGAGAGGGATGGAGATGATGAGAGGGATTGGTGAGGGATGGAGATGATGAGAGGGATGGAGACGGTGAGAGGGATGGAGACAATGGGAGGGATGGAGATGATGAGAGGGATTGGTGAGGGATGGAGGTGATGAGAGGGAAGGAGACAATGTTGATTTAATTAGGGATGAAGACGCTGTTGATGAGAGGGATTGGTGAGGGATGGAGCCGGTGTGAGGAATGAAGATGATGAGAGGGATGGAGACAATGAGAGGGATTGGTGAGGGATGGAGATGATGAGAGGGATGGAGACAATGTGAGGGATGGAGATGAGAGGGATGGAGATGATGAGAGGGATGGAGAGGATGAGAGGGATGGAGACAATGTGAGGGATGGAGATGATGAGAGGGATGGAGAGGATGAGAGGGATGGAGACGGTGTGAGGTGATGAGAGGGATGGAGACAATGAGAGGGATGGAGATGATGAGAGGGATTGGTGAGGGATGGAGATGACGAGAGGGATGGAGACAATGGGAGGGATGGAGATGAGAGGGATGGAGATGATGAGAGGGATGGAGAGGATGAGAGGGATGGAGACAATGTGAGGGATGGAGATGATGAGAGGGATCGGTGAGGGATGGAGGTGATGAGAGGGAAGGAGACAATGTTGATGATGTAAGGGATGAAGACGCTGTTGATGAGAGGGATTGGTGAGGGATGGAGACGGTGTGAGGAATGAAAATGATGAGAGGGATGGAGATGATGAGAGGGATGGAGACGGTGTGAGGGATGGAGACAGTGTAAGGGATGGAGACAGTGTGAGGGATGAAGATGATGGAAGAGATGGAGATGGTGACAAGATGGTGAGACGGATGGAGACGATGAGAGGGATGGAGACGGGAGGGATGGAGACGTCTCCATCCCTCTAATCATCAATATCGTCTTCATCCCTTACATCATCAAAATTGTCTCCATCCCTCTCATCATCTCCAATTCTCCATCCCTCTCATCATATCCATCCCTCACATTGTCTCCATCCCTTTCATTATCAATATTGTCTCCATCCCTCTCATCATCTCCATCCCTCACCAATCCCTCTCATCATCTCCATCCCTTACATCATCAACATTGTCTCCATTATGTATTATGCCACGTTGTGGAAATGCAATTTTTATTTTTTTAATTCATTATTTATTTATAGTATGTACATATTTACAGGTACACAAGATCAGATATAAATCTGTTAACCCCCAGCCCCCCCCCCCCAAAAAAAATAATTGTAACATGCAGATGACACGCCACACCATTCCTTGTGTTGTGGTATTGGTACGTATTATTTCATATGCAATTTACAAAGCAAAACAAAATCTAAATAAATAAAATTAAATACAAATGAGGACATGTTTGAAAAAACACACATAATAGCAATAAACATTATTTGTTTACGACTCCAAGATACAAATTCCAACAATATGACGTCAAGCAGACTCATAATAACAAATGATAAGCAGGTGTAATCGTGTATTAATTTTATGCCACGTTGTGGTAATGCAATTTTTTTTTTATTTATTATTTATTTATAGTATACATATTTATACAGGTACACAAGATCAGATATTAATCTGTTAACCCCCAGCTCCCCCCCCCCCCCAAAAAAAAATAATTGTAACATGCAGAGACCAGTACAGATGACACGCCACACCATTCCTTGTGTTGTGGTATTGGTACGTATTATTTCATTTATGCAAGTTACAAGGCAAAAAAAACCTAAATAAATAAACAAAGTTAAAACAATTAAATAAAATTGAGGACATGTTTGAAAAACACACATAATAACAATAAACATTATTTGTTTACGATTCCAAGATACAAATTCCAACAATATGACGTCAAGCAGACTCATAATAACAAATGATAAGCAGGTGTAATCATGTATTAATTTTATGCCACGTTGTGGTAATGCAATTTTGTTTTTTTATTTATTATTTATTTATAGTATACATATTTATACAGGTACACAAGATATCAGTTATAAATCTGTTAACCCCCAGCCCCCCCCCTAAAAAAAAATTGTAACATGCAGATGACACGCCACACCATTCCTTGTGTTGTGGTATTGGTACGTATTACGTATTATTCCATATATGCAAGTTACAAGGCAAAAAAAACCTAAATCAATAAACAAAGTTAAAACAATTAAATATAATTGAGGACATGTTTGAAAAACACACAAAATAACAATAAACATTATTTGTTTACGATTCCAAGATACAAATTCCAACAATATGACGTCAAGCAGACTCATAATAACAAATGATAAGCAGGTGTAATCGTGTATTAATTTTATGCCACGTTGTGGTAATGCAAATTTGTTTTTTTTATTTTTTTATTTATTATAGTATACATATTTATACAGGTACACAATATATCAGATATAAATCTGTTAACCCCCAGCCCCCCCCAAAAAAAATATAAAAATTGATTTTGCTCATAGATCTTTGCCTCTGTTGCTGATTACATACCCGGCCGAGATGGATGGGAGGTGGGGGGGGGGCAGCTGCCTTTTAGAAATTTGAGGAACGGTTAAATTAATGACTAGTTGACCAAAGGTCCAGGAGAAGGCTTACAAGAATTAAGATCCCCCTGCCCAGGGGCGGCCAAGCGACTTCCAAAGTGGGGGGGGGGGGGGCACCAACAAAAAAGGGCACTTTCTGGAGAAAAAAAGGGCACCTACAGTGGGAAATCTCAAAGCGAAAATATACAATTTTTTAGACGTTGGTATATACCCCTACATTGTGATTACATTATCAGAGATGATTTCAATATTTGTTTCTCTTCATACATCATACAAGATATCGCTTAAGCATCATACTTTACAGTTGGGTGTGATGTCTGAATATGCATTTACGTCTTTTACGAGCGAGCGAGCGAAGCGAGCGTGAAAAATTTCAAAGATCTATGAGGTCGCAGTGCGAAAAATTACATCTTATAAAGAGGAAAAAAGCCAATCGTGATGGGGTTATAAGCACATTCTCATAACGGAAGACTGAAAAGACCTTTGATAAGTAACATAATTATATCATCTTTAAATGCGAGCGGGCGAACTTTGGGGGAAATTGCTCTTAGTCGCCTTAAATAAGGGGCACGTTTAATGATTACATGAAAAGGGGACAATTATCGAAAGGGATAAGACACTTATAAGAAAAGAAAAGGAGCACGTGTCAAAGTACAAAGGATTATTATAAGAGGTAAAAATGAGGCATTTTTTCACCTGAAAAGAGGCACTCACCAGTGATGACAAAGAGGCGTTTACGAAAATGGGAAATAGGCATTTGTTGACGGAAAAGGGGCACCCATCAGATTTTGATAGGGGCATTTATAATAATAATACGATTCCAAGATACAAATTCCAACAATATGACGTCAAGCAGACTCATAATAACAAATGATAAGCAGGTGTAATCGTGTATTAATTTTATGCCACGTTGTGGTAATGCAAATTTGTTTTTTTTATTTATTATTTATTTATAGTATACATATTTATACAGGTACACAATATATCAGATATAAATCTGTTAACCCCCAGCCCCCCCCCCAAAAAAATAATATAAAAATTGATTTTGCTCATAGATCTTTGCCTCTGTTGCTGATTACATACCCGGCCGAGATGGATGGGAGGTGGGGGGGGGGGGGGCAGCTGCCTTTTAGAAATTTGAGGAACGGTTAAATTAATGACTAGTTGACCAAAGGTCCAGGAGAAGGCTTACAAGAATTAAGATCCCCCTGCCCAGGGGCGGCCAAGCTCTTAGTCGCCTTAAATAAGGGGCACGTTTAATGATTACATGAAAAGGGGACAATTATCGAAAGGGATAAGACACTTATAAGAAAAGAAAAGGAGCACGTGTCAAAGTACAAAGGATTATTATAAGAGGTGAAAATGAGGCATTTTTTCACCTGAAAAGAGGCACTCACCAGTGATGACAAAGAGGCGTTTACGAAAATGGGAAATAGGCATTTGTTGACGGAAAAGGGGCACCCATCAGATTTTGATAGGGGCATTTATAAGAGGTGAAAAGGGGATAGTTCCCTTATTAGAAAGGCAAAGGGGCATGTATCATTATTAAAAGGGGAATTATCAGAGTTGAAAAGGGGCATTGACCAGATATGAAAAGGGGCACTTATAATAAAGGAAAATGTGCATTTGTTGAATGAAAAGGGGGCACCGTTCAGATTTGTAAAAGGGGCAGTTATGAGAAGGGGAAGGAACTCTTTCTTTTTAATGGGGGCACTTATCATAAGGAAAAGGGGCACTTACTAGAAAATAAGAGGGGCACATGTTAAAATGAAAGGTGTGCTCATCCGAGTTTAAAAAAGGGGATAGTTATTAAAAGGAGAAGGGGCACTTCTTACAAAGGAAAAAAGGGGAAGTTGTCAAAGTAAAAGGAGCACCTCTCAGTTTTGAATAGGGCAATTATCAGAGGTAAAGGGGGCACTTATTAAAAGTGAAAAGGGGCACTTCTCGTACCTGAAAAGAGGCACTTACTAGAGATTAAAAAGGGCACTTATTCAAGATTATTTCAAGATTTATGAGAATGGAAAATGGACACTTATTGCAAAGGAAAATGAGAACATGTCGAAGGAAAAGGGGCACGTGTCAAAAATAAAAAAGGGCACTCGTCAGAGGTGAAAAGGGGGAAGGGGCACTTTTACTAAGTAATAGGGGCACTTGTCAAAGGAAAAGGGGCACTTTTCCTATGTAAAAAGGGGCACTTTTGGGGTATCTGAAAAAGTGGGGGGCACTGTGCCCCCCCCCCCCCCCCCCCCCCGGAGGGCTGCCTCTGCCCCTGCCCCTCCATGCACCGGCACGTCATTGCAATATCATGTCTTAATTGTTTTGCTTTGTATATATCTCTTTGATTCCCAGAAAAAGGGAACAAAAAGGAGATTTTGGGGTTTGTTTGGGGGGGGGGTGGTGGGGGCTGCATTATTTATACAAAAAACTTGAAGCCAATACCTTCTTTTTGTAGTATTTATTTGAAGCAGCCCCCTCCAAAAAAATAAGAAGGCGATTCTTCAGCTTACTTCTCTGCTTAGAGTACTAGGCTAGGCCCTTACGTTAGATCTAGCTCAGTATTTATCAAGTCTTTAATTTTTAGGAGTAAAATATGATTAGACTATCTGATTATGAAAAAAGAAAAATTCCATTAGACATTAATCGGATATTCTACTCTGAATGACTAATCTAGTATATGATAATGATGTAGCTACAGTAGATATAGATCTAGGTCTAGTTTACTCACTAAATCAAATTGGATATTCTACTCGGAATGAATAATGATAATACAGTAGATATAGATCTAGTTTGATTAGTAATAGTATACTCACATCACTCGATCAAATTGGGCAGTACAATCATGCAATGCAGTGCAGCGGCCCGGTACGGGCGCCGAGTCAGTGAATTCCCCCGCCGACCCGGCCGGCGGCGCTGTACGGCTAGCTGCACACTGAGCTGAGCTGCTGCGGTAGCACTAGGCAGTAGTCTGCTAATTTACGGCCAGGACGAAAGAATGTGAACAAACATCAACCATCTCGTCTAAAATGTACTATATTCGACTTCTCAATAATGAAATCTGTGTTAGGAATGAAAAATAGACCTTCATACGAGATAAAAATGATATTTTTGCAGTGATTTACCGACGAAAACACTGCTGGAATTTCAGTGGTCCGAGTAGATACAACGCACATTTAATGTACGTGCGGCAATGCGGATTGCGAGCTGTGAGTAAATTGTCCGAAATGTCATTTTTTTGTCATTTTACCGAAAGATAAGTCATAGATTGTCTTCATTACATTAGTATCATTTAACACAATTCCATTAAAGATTTAGGTTGGAAAGGGCATTATTAAGTCACAAAGAGCACAAACATATACACATTGGTATCTCTCGATCGATTAATCAGGTCGGGACATCTCGGCCCAGTTTTCCCAGCTGGGCCGAGTAGTCCCGTGGGCCGAGTTAGCCCGGATTCGAGTTAATGACTGATTGAAAGTCCAAAGTTACCACAACTAAATTAAATTTATAAATAATAATTGGCAAAATTCATGATATTCAAGAAAAATCGCCATTTATTCTAACTCATGTACCCTTCTAGTATTCAAAGTATAAAAATAATACTAGATGTATTCCATAAAAGGCATAAGTGTATAGCCTATAGGCCTAGTCTAGATCGAGATACATGTACATTGTACATGCATATGCTGATAAGTTAGTTTTCATGTTTATGTCGTAAGTTATGTCACAACTTTCATACCTCCTTTCCTCTGTCTCATCACTAGACTGAGCAGATCAACGCAGAGTACAAGTTTCGTGTTCTTGAGGTACATCCCGACAAACATCCCGATGATCCGCGGGCCGTTGAAAAGTTCCAGAAGATTCAGAGAGCGCGAGAAACACTAACGGACGAAAAGCTGCGACATGATTATGACCTGTGGAGGAGGAGCGGTCTGTCTATTCCATATGAGACTTGGAGTGCTACAAAGGGATCAGTACATATGGTTTGTATTCCAATTCCTTTGAATTATAGTACCATAAGTCAGTTGGTCTCTATCCTAGCTGGTAGAAGGTTTACGACGAGAATAAAAGGCACGATTTATAATGATTGTGTTAACAGCGAAGGTATATGTTTCAGAGACTTGGAGTGTTAAGACTGTAGAAGAAGGTATCTTGAGGAGAACAGAAAGAGCTATGATAAAGAAGATGTCCAGTGGTGTGAAATTGTCTGATAGAAACAACACAAGTGAGCTCTTGGAAAGGATGGGTCTGGAAGAAACTGGTGGAAGCGGTAAAGAGAAGTGGATTGAGATGGATGGGTCATGGTCTAAATGAGGAGGATGCTTGAGAGTTGAGACAAGTAGTGCAGAGAGAGGGAGAGTGTCATCATGACGCAAAAACCAATAACCCTTCAAAAGAGGGCAAATGCTTACTTTGATAAACAATAATGTTGATGATGATGGTAGATATGTGGAACTCCTTTGAAGGGGGTCGTACTTTTTAACTTCACGATCTCACAAAGAGTAAACAGCACTATCAAACAATCAGGTTATGTAATTAATATCAACGATTTATTATAGATAATCAACACAAATTATCAAGGTTCGTATAATCGTTTGGTGTACACACTAAAAAAAGAGAGAAGAACTCCCTCAGACGGCAAATACCTAACATAAAAATAACAGTGATCACTGGATAAAAATAGTCAACGGAATCGTTCTGAGGGGGTATGAAAAGCCCCGAAGATTAATCTCCAAGAATACACAGTATAATACAATATCATACACAACAATAACAATAATCAGTCATCAAGATCAAACACAAAAGGGATCATCAAATAAATCAGCAAAGCGTTCAAAATACCAGACCAGCTACGGCGAAGTCAAGTTTGATGCTGCTGATGATAACGGTGACGACGATGATGTGGATGATGATGAGAAGGATGACTACGATGATGAAGACAGCGATGAAGTCAACGATGGCGATGATGTAGGAGACGATGACGAAGACAGCGATGATGATGAAGAAGACGATGATGACGAAAACGATTTTGGAGACGGCGATGCAGTCGATGAGGGTCTTTTTGATGATGAGACAGTCAATAAAAGAATGATTCTGTGGTCATGAGTCAGTAATGATCGAAGTGGATGATGAAATCAGATGATGGCGAGATGATGCTCGACGAAGACGATGATCAACGTGTCGAGACAATTAACACACAGAAGACGACGATAAAAACAAATATGTCGATAAAAGATTGTTGATACAATAATGTAGGGTGAGAAGAACCGTAGATAAAAATGTTCTATTCTCACTGCACGAAGTAAAATGTAAGGCGATGTCACTGATGTAAAAATAGAGTCGAATTAAGTCTTGCAAAATACTGCCAGACAATTACTGAGCAAATCCATCGGTAAAGGTCCGGAGACAAAGTCACCATAAGTCCTCGTTGGACGAAACTTCTACAGGCACGGTATAACAGGAACATAGAAACAAACTTTGCGTACCGAAATCAAAAACCCACTAATTCCTACATGGAAAATCAGAGCGAAGCCCTAATCACTGTAGCGTAGCGTGATTGGTTCAAAAAGCGCAAACAAATTAATATGCACGTTTACGCGCTGTTCGTAACAATACAAAATTTACATAATAGAATATATTAACAAACCAGACAGAACCGGTTGGGACATGTCTGAAAAGCCAGACGGCTGACTACGCAAGGGAAATTAATTCTCCCTATAGCCGCCATCTTGACAGTAAAAAAGCAATACTTATTACCCATGTACAAATCAATGCATATTATACGTTATTATAAATATAAAAGTTTAAAATCGTGACATTTGGTCACTACAGATACATGTATACTATCTACATGAGCAGATGAAGGTCAATTGAACACAGCTTTTATTCTCATCATATTTAATATGGACTAGGTATTGAAAGAGATAATGAGAGAACATGTTGCTCAGCTTCAGAGTTGACAGACCAGTCACAAAGAGCTAATATTTTGATATTGATTATTAACTGTGGTTGAATTCTTATTAGACCATGTGTTGGGCGATGAATAAGGGGAAAGAACCAATGATAAAGTTAGTTCTCAGCTTAGATGCTATTTGGATGCTTTATACCGTTATAATTCTATTCTTTCAATACATGAATATTTAATTTTTTGATATTCTAAAATGTTTTGATTCTCATCACTCAGACTATGCATTGGGCAATGAAGAAGAAGAAAGAGCCAATGTTAGAGGACGGTTCTCAGCTTCAGACCTCATCATCAAGCTACTCTGGACACGGTACAGATTCTTCTGATGGACCCGTCCCATGTAAGTAATGTGAAAAACATAAGGAACAGATTAAGACCAATATATCATTTTGGGAAAGGTAATGTAAATTTGTAAATGAATTTATTCTGTGAAAACAGTATAAATATCAAAGAGGCACTATACACTCTAAGTAGCCACATACTTCATGAAATCCTTAGGTTAATCTTTCTTTTTTTAATTAGGTGAAAAGTGAAAAGTAACTAAATAAGAATTACAGACAGGAGACCTTACCTTGTACAGCTTATCAGAAAATATTTCTTATAATGTATTTGATTGTTGTTTTACTTTTTCTTTTAATATAGAACTGAGAAGAAACATTGATCGAGTGAATGAGTGAAAGATTTTATTGAATTTTTTTTTTTTGCAGTCTGGAGACTGAGTTGAATTGGTTACAATGAAATAATAAGAATCCTAAAAGATTATTGTTGCATCAATAATTGCCCTTCTGGGTAGAAGTTTTAGATAGATGGTGCCATACAAATGCCTACTTTTTCTTCTTCCTAGATTCTGGTGTGCCTTCAAGCTGGTCTAGGGAGAAAGGAGATGATATCCTTCAGAAGTTCAGAAGTTACCAGGTCTAATCTCTTCAAACTATCCACCTCTTGCTCCAACCTTGCCACATTCCATCCTCATTGATCATCGTTACCATCATCGTCATCAATGGATCAGCTGTCTTGATGTCTAGTATTCCATAACTCTCTTTGGGAAAGGCATCAAGGATTTTGTCCAGTCAAGTGTGTCTTAACCTTTGACCTTTGAATCCTGTGGTCTAACTTTGTATTTCTTCTCAGTATTTGGATCACGTACTGTCCCATCCGTTAACGAGAATCAGACAAATTGACAGAAAAAAGTTAACATGGCCAATATCATTATCTTGGTAGTTAAGTTGCCTGATCCAAGTTCCATAAGGGCTATATGTACGTGGAAGATGAAGATGTCACATATCTATGCTGCAAAATAATGACCTATTCATTACCACTGACCCCCTCCCCCAATCGTCATTGGATTGTGATATTTAGTATGACGTGAATTTTGTACGATTTGATAAAGGGAAATCATGCTTTCAATTCTCTACATACCTGTAGGCATGTCCACCTTCCCAGGTACTTGCCGTAACTTGCGATCATGCTTTTACGAATCACAGAATTTTTCTTGATAGTTACAGTGCCAGTAGGATACTCATACAAAAATTTCCTGGGGACCTAGCGTTGAGTTATTCCATTGACCTCTTTGTAATGAATTAACTACAATACTTGGAATCTTGTCTGCATACATTACTTGTTGCTATGTCTGGCAAGCTTTCAGGTTGTCAAGTTTAAAAAGTATGCATCAAATTTGAATATGTTAGTTAACCTACTGTATGTATGTCTTGACACTGGATTTTGGCATCATCCTCATCAAAATGTATTCGCCCTATATACATAAAACTAGTCATCACCCTTTGCCCTTTGGGGAAACTGCTACCAGCACATTTTAAAAGTTTCGTATAACACTACATATCGTCACTATTTCCACGAAGTGACGGTAGTGAGGAAAATCGTAACGCAAAGTGAATGCAATTTGTTTTCACTACCGTCACTTTGTGAAAACAGCGACGATATATATCCCATCCATTTAGTGTTTGCCTTGTTTTTATATCATTTGTATTCAAGCTATCTGTAAACAGTTTGTTGTCAACAGGGTCATTTTTTTTCTTGAGTTGTTTTATTTTAAATATACTTATGGCTTTGGGATCTGTGCATATACAGTATGAATAAACTACTGTTCCTTTAAATATATCCTTAGACTCAAGAATGTGAAACTGTCCTTGTCTATACATATCAATATATTAGAAGATCATGATGCAGTAAATTATTACATACATGTACAGTTATGTATTAATCCTCTAAAAGTTTGGTTCTTGTTATGATGTACAGGGAGAAGTACATATGTATCGAGTTTAAATACAATGTAGTTTGTAATCTATTAGTCATTGCTTTAAAAAATGTAATAATTGTTTGTACATTTAAAGGCATGAATATACGTGTATAAATTACCACGACCTACACTATCAAAGCTCCCCCTGCCTTCTCTCCCCCTCTCTCTCCCTCTCTCTCATTCTCTTCCTTTTTTTTGTGAAGATTTTAAATGTTTTGCCCTCTTGCCCCTATTTATTAAGTACTATAAAGTTATTCATTTAATACTCAATCCAAATGACTTTTTGGTTGTTCTAATATAAGAATGAGTATTTGTGGGGGCAGTGACTTTAAGTCTCTGATAGTTAGTGTACATTAGATTGAATTCTTTCAAACTTAGTGTGTTATTCCCAAAACAATATCACCAACTTCCATGTTTGTTGAAGTATTATGAAAAAACTACTTGTTGTACATGTATTGTAATATTTCATTCTTGATATTTCAAATAGTGAATGTTAGTAAATGGTATTCAAATATATGTTATTGTAAAAGTTGTGTACAAAATAAATATACAGTATCATATATATCAAAGAGATGTTTACATGAACATTTTCAGAATTTGATTCATTATTGGTGAAGATAATATGCTGATGATTATTCTGATTTGATGATTTGCTTTATGTTAGGGCACTTGTATTTATTGTTGATGGCTTATGAGTGTGATGCAGTGTACACAAATCTTGCAAGAGAGATGAATATTGTAGAAAAAAAAGAAAAGAAAAAAAGAATATGTCTATCAAATATATGTGTAGAGGGTGTATCCAGTAAGGTTGAGATGGAAGATATTCCCATGATAATGATGTAAAGAAGCAAGTGGCGACGATGATTGAACTCCATCTCAGCTGTGCCCGTCGCGTAACATGATGATATGAATGATATAGATGAAGGTGATGATGATGGGTGATGAAGATGATATTGGTGATGTTGACGATAGTGTTGATAGTGATGATTATGAGGAAGATGGTGTTGATGATATATATGATGATGATGAATGACGTTTGTGATAATGTTGGTGAAATTAATGACAGTGATGTTGATAGGAATAAAGATTGTAATTGTAAAGTAATGCAGGCTTCAAGAAAAGCTGGTTTTCCCACTTTTCATAAAAACCTCTAATTTATTATTGCTTAATCATTGCATCATCTATTTTCTTGTGGTATACAGTCAAACCCGTCTATAAAAGCCACCCAAGGAGAACATGAAAAGTAACCACTACAGACAGGTAGCTTTTATAAAGAGGTAGATACCTAGATATGGGACCGATTGTAAACTGTACAATACTTGTCAATAATTCATTTAATTCCTTTGCATCCCCCTCTCTCCTTCTCTTGCTCCATGTATCTCTCTCTCTTTCTCTCTGTCACCATGTATCTCTCCTGTATCTCTCTCTTTCTCTATCTCTCACACTAAGGAGATACCAGCACACACACACATGCAAAAACACAAGCACACTCTCTCTCTTTCTCTTTCTCTCTCTGAATTTTATAACATTTTCCCTTATTCAAAAAGAAGAACAAATTCATAGAGAGAACTAAAAGAGAATGCTTTTTCGGTGTATTAACTCTTGTTTAATACAAGTTTGAAATTAACAAAAATGTACACTTGTTGGTAAAAAAAGAGAGAAATAAGAAACATCTATATTACAAGAACTGAACTTAAAATGCATCATTCTTAGCTTGCTGTAACAGGGGCGGATCTAGCTTTTTGCTAAGGGGGGGTTGACCAATAATGACGATGCGGAGCATCCTCCACGAGCCGCGAACCGATTTTTTTGGGGGTGTTTATTTGAACCCCGTAAGTGATGTTTTCCTGGCATCTATTAACACAATGGAGACCATAAAAAGCAGTGCATGAACACGTCCGTATTACACCCCCATGTATGGTAATTTACCCTGTATGCCAACTTTTTTGCATGATTCAAACATACCTTCCAGTAAAAAAAGATGCGAGACTGGATTGCCGCAACTTCTTTGCCCTGTTTGCTTCCATATTGCTTGTCACTACACTCAGACCAGACTGATAAAAAAGTGAGCAACTTGAACAAGTAATCCAGGAAATGAGCAGCCCAGCTCAGCATGCGTTGCCAGGTTAAATCTTCACAAAATCCCCACCCAAACGACACTTAAAATATCCCCAAAGTTGCCAAATTTTGACAGAAAATCCCCAAATTCGTTTTTCATAAAACTCAATATTATTTTCATTCCCAAATATTTATTTTTCATCCCCAAAGACTTCAACAATCCCCCAATTTTTTTTTTTTTTTAATGTGGGGATTTTGGGGATGAGAATCGGCAACGCTGGCCTAGCTTGTCACTTCGGCGGTGGCCCGTGTCCTCAAAAAAGCTGATGGGGGGGGGGGGGGGGGGGGGGGGGGGGGCAAGGGACTCTGTGACATTTGTTCGCCCAACCCCCCCCCCCCCCCTCCCCCCAAAATGAAATAATAATAATAATAATAATAATAATAATAATAATAATAATAATAATAATAATAATAATAATAATAATAATAATAATAATAATAATAATAATAATAATAATAATAATAATAATAATAATAATAAATGAAATAAATACATAGAAATAGAATAAAATAAAATTACAAGTTTAAAAAAAAAGATAAGATTTAAAAAAATGGTCCCCGGATTTTTTTTTTGGGGGGGGTTGCAACCCCCCCAACCCCCCCTCTAGATCCGCTTCTGTGTAAAAAAATCTACAAAACAATGGAGTTATCATAGATGTTGAATATGCTCTCACAGAAATATAAAAAGAACACTTCATTTGTACATAAGTCTCATTGTTTAGATACTGTACTACAAGACAACATAACAGGCGGTGGGAACTCTTTTGGATGGGTTACCGTCTCACATGGGAAAGATTCTTCAAAGAAACACTTTTTAAAAATTTAGTCTTTAAACTTCAAAGATTTGAATGAAAAATGGGGGATATAAAAGAATTCACAATGCGGCAATATCTCTGGCTTCTGATTGCCTATAAATCTAAAGAACATTCAATACACCTTATCTCCTATTGTATGTACCACATAACTCCTTTTAAAAATAAGAGAATGTCTTGAGAAACAAAATTGATTAGCAGGGCTTCTATTACTGAAAAAGGAGTTTAATGAACATTCTCTAACAATTTTCATGACTGAGCAATAGTAACAAAGGGTTTTAAGCATCCCAGTTATGTAGACAATATCTCTGAGATGAGACTGGCCATGGATCATTCTATACATTGCATCTGTTTTTATATTGTCTGTCTCTCAGTGTCTTCTTCCATGTATCATTCAGCAAACTCGATAGCCTTAGATTGGAAATAGAGTATTGAAGTACTTATGTCATATTCACTCATTGTCAAGGTGTCTGGTTCCAAACAACAGAGCCTGTGCATGAGGTTCACCATAGAGCAGGGCAAATTCAATGTATGGGGGCTGTTGTCATAACCACACCATTTTTTGGCACAAAATTGATTGGAACCAGCAACTTTAGCAACTTGGCCAGTTTGACATCATACTTTATAACCCTACACAGTAAAATAGAAACCTGCGCACCATGGAACTTTAGTGAATTGTTAAGGACGGCCATTTTCAAAGCAAGAAACTTCATCAATTGCGTAAAAAATGCTGTGTCAATTGTGATCCAATTATTTTGCAGGTGCACACGATAGTCACTGGTTGTAGAGCATCCATGAGTTTTCTTTCCAGGATCATGCATCGAATCTGATGTGTGCTTTCTCTTTGCTTGCTCGTCCTGCTGTCTGTAAAGATAATAGCAATATTATTAGAAAAAAGTTATGTGAGACATCACAAAATTATTCACCATGGCCCTGTATTATAAAGATTAAGCGTAAGATCAATCCTATGCTTGATTCATTTATAATCTAGCGTAAAGTTACAATCAATTAAAAAAGATACGCCGGATTTTACACTTGATTTCAAGCATAACTTTCTTTATAATATGGGTTATCAAACTTATGCTTGATCATAAATACAGGGCCCATGTGTGGCAGTGTTTATAGTCCAGACATGTACTGACAGACTGAAGCTAGCTGCTAATTTTCTTATCACCAAAGGATGCTGTTTTGGTGATTCCTACATCATAATGCACCCATGGATCTGTTCACCAAAACTGTCACTGTTAAGTGTTTTTTTGAAATTAATGTGCAAGATATTAAGTGGAATGAGATGGATGGGTCATGTGTTGGGAAGGAAAGATAATGAACCTGGGAACTGATAGTGGATGGCATAAGAGGGAAAGGAAGACTGAAGATTTCAGGGAAAGGTATAGTGAAGAAAGAAAGCAGTAAGGTTGGTCTAAATAAGGAGGATGCTCGAAACAGGAAGAAGTGGTGGGAGGGAATGTCATCATGACGCGAAAGTCAGTAACCCTTCATCAGAGATAAAATGCTGACTTTAATAAATGATGATGATGATGATGTCACCACTCTCATAAACTGCTGATATAGTGACAATAAACTATTAGACTAAAGTTGCGCGTTCAATGCTTACTGTAAATTTATAGCTCTTATTCATCTGTCATAATACAATTTTGAACAATCCACTTAAAGGCTGCAAATTGAATACAGTCACTCGTGCAGACAAGATACTGCTCATCATAGCAAAGAAAAAAAAAATGTAGCAAAGGGCTTTTACAGACCAAATCTCTCCATAATCAATATACTGTCAAACCTGCCTTGGTGACCACCTGTCTACAAAGACCACATTTTTCGTTTCCCTTGAAAATGGTTTCTCATTGAAACATGTACTATAGGCACTTCTACATAAAGACCATTTTCTTTTCTTTAGACAGGTTTCACTGTGTATTTTTAAATTTGATGAAAAGAGTCTTATGTGGGCCATAGACCAGGATAATGAGATTTGTCTACATGATGATTTGTGTTTGCGTGTTCCTGTTGAGTCTGTGCAAATAGTACTTCTCTAAACTTTCCTACAAATGTAAGTCTTATTTGTCTTTGTCCGTGTTGTGCGTGTAGAACTTCTTACCTTGGTAACTCCCCTCTTTTTCTTCTTTTTCTGCTTTGAGCCGAGCTTGATTTGGCGATCGCGAGATAGTTTCTCCCAGTACGCTTTCTCTTCAACTCCTGCAACAATAACAAGAATAAAAGTCTATACAAATTTCTGGAAATACGGAAAATTGAAATCTCAATAAGATAACTTCTCTTTTTGTCTTGTTTTCCCGAGTAGATTTGAACTTCCTCATATATTTTGCAAATTTGTCCTGCCAAGGTAACTGGGGAAGACGATAAGGTTTCTTCTGGCTTGCATAGAGAATGTACAGCAGTGTCAACTATTGTTCAGGTATAATGAAATCCCCCGATGATTTTACGAGATCTATGTAGGCACCATCATAATCTGATACTTGAAGTTTTTGATTTCGAAACTATGATTTCTATCAGACATTTCAGTTCTCCACTCATTGCAATTTTTTAGGGGAACCGGAAGTGCCTCTGCCAAGTATCACCATGGCCTGTGCTGCCCTCTATGGCCAAATACCATAGTTGCTGCAGCCAGAATTGCGTACTACGCTAATGGAGGGTTAAACCGTGGGTCAAAACAAACCTTTTTTGTGATTCAGGGCCGTAATATTCATATTTCTCCTAACATCTATGCACAATGTATAAGACATTGGTACTCTATAGGCATATATTTTCACTTTAGAGTGGGGAGGGGGGGGGGGGCATGAAAAACCATACCACAGTGCTCCTAAAATAACTACTTACCTGTCACCATGGACAATGAGATGTGTTCTGATGCAAGATGAGCTACGTTGGTTTCCTCAAGAACAACCTTAGGTCCATCAGCAGTCTCAAACCTTACAAACCCTTGAGTGTGGCCTTCAGGGAGGTCTACATAGGCAACAGGTGAGATGGTCTGAAGGTGCTCCTGAGGATAAAAACAAAAGAGGTCATTTTCAGTGATTTAGTCAAGCACTGGAAGGGGGTATGTCCTTCAGGGAGATCTACATAGGAAACAGGTGAGATGGTCTGAAGTTGCTCCTGAGGATAAAGACAAAAGAGGTCATTTTCAGTCAAGCACTGGAAGAGGGTATGTCTTTCAGGAAGGTCTATGTAGGAAAGATGATCTTAACCTGTCCAAGAACAAGGACATAAAGAAACATAAAGTCCTGAAGAGTATTATAATCAATTCCTCCTTGGTAATAACCTTCAGAAAGATCTTGAACAGCCTTAGAACCTTCACAGACTCAAAACTTACAACCCCTTGGTGTGGCCTTCGGAAAGGTACACATAGGCAACAGGAGAGATGGTCTGGAGTTGCTCCTCGGGATTAGAAAAATAAACAATATACCCCTTTCTATGCAATGTTACAGAGCAATCTAGTCTCTAAACTCTCCAACTCAAAACTTAGAAAAGACTACTGTCTTTGAAGATCATGCTCAAGATAGTGATTAGTGATATTAGTCAAAATGGGTATTTTCTTATGTTTGTCTTATGCTTACTAAACAGTAGTGGGGTAGGGTAACGAAATATTGATATTTTCTTTTTGATATTTCTTCATGATAAATTAGCTTCTTAAATACTTTGTACACAAGTAAACATCGTGCATGAGCTCTTAATACAACAAAAATATATGCTAGAAAGCAGAGGGTTCATGGAATTAAGCCATTATATTTCTATATGAATGAAGCAGACGTAAACAAAACAAAACAAAACAAGGTGGCAGACAGGAAAAAGGGAAGGAAATAGGAATGTGGGAATTGAAACTAACAGGGGTGCAATACATATGGATACCTGTTATTTCACTCCAAATCTTAAAATATCATATTTGTACATGGGCACATAGGGAGATGTGAGTTGGTCTAGCGGCACATTCACTTGGTCAGCTCTCTGTCTTCGCCTACAAACTGGCTCAGGCGACCCCGGTTCGAAACTGAGTCACGTCTTTTGGATGGTGATGTTAAAGGTCGGTCCTCAGACGTAAATAATCATATCTGATTGATACACGTCTGTAAAAACCCAATTATACACACAAACACAGCACATGGACTCCAGACCTTCTATGGAACTAGTGCCCTAGAAGACAGGTAAGTGTACTTAAATGCAATATGTGAAATCTTGTTACAATTATATGCATACCTTGGCTTCCTTTCTTGATACACTAGGTTGCAGGCATTCTAGTTTCATGACAGTCCCTTCAGTAAACACAGGTTCATTCATCTTGGACTGAAGGGGAACCTCCGGCTCTTTGAGCTGGGGTGTATCACTGGCAGGCACCTGCATGTGGAAGCAGAGAGAGAGAGAGATAGAGGGGGAGAGAGAGAGAAAGAGAGAGAGAGAGAGAGAAACAGAAACAGAAAGAGAGGAAGAGGAAGAGGAAGAGAAAGAGAAAGAGAAAAAGGAAGAGAAAAAGAAAGAGGAAGAGATTCAAGATTAATCTCGCTACATATTCAAAATTGCTTTCGATTAAACAATGTCACAAGAGTAAAATTGGAACCCATAACCTAACCTAATTTGAATACATAAGAGCTTTCTATTTGAATTTTTTTCTCTTGTCTGTTCAAGTTTCAAAATAGTTAATGGGTCATATCACTGCAGTACATTTGAAACCTTTCAATCTCATCTGAATTTGAACAAGTAAGAATTTTCGGATAACTTGACTCATATGTCCTAGTTCAGCTATAAGCATTATCAAAGCCAGATTTCTTACTGAAAAGAAAAGAAGAAAAAAATAAATTGTGGAGTTAAGTACTGAATCTGCAATCTTAATTTGATGGTCAAATGATGAATAAAACCATCCTAAAAATGATCTTCTATTTAAAATAATATTGGTTTTGTATACATCAATCTACAGTCAAAATACAATGTACATACATATTGTCTTGTAACATTCAATGCCATAGAAAGCAACAGATGCGCAAGCAGAATGCTGGGAGTGCTTTCCCTCCATATTCCTTGCATCAAACCTTGATTTGTACCACTGAAGTTTATCTTATTTTTCTATAAGGCTGTTAAGTTTCCCCTTTTCTTAACAAATCTAATGATTCTTTCACAGTAGAATACTTAATTTGTGTAGCACATACAGACTTTTCAGTGTTGTGCACTACAAAAGTGTGATTTCATTATACATGTATATTATAAGATAGATAATGACATACCTGTGATTTTGTTTGAGTTCCTCTTCTGAATATGGGCATTGGATAATGCATTCTTTTGGTTTGTTTCATCTGAGCTAAGCTCTCCTTCTGAAGTGTAAGGTATTCATCCTTCAACAGCAACCACTCTCTCCTATTAAATAAAAATAAAATCCATTTTCCAATGTCAGCAAAACTTTAAATCATTAAGTGTAGTTACTAGAAGTGATGGCAGAGTGTGAATACATATGCTTTTAATTCTGCAATATTATAATAATGACTTTGAAAATGGTTTTCAGTACAGAATCGAAGCTGTGGAAACCCCACACATAGCATTATCACGAGAAATATAATGCTAAGAAATATTTCAAAGTGTATGGATTATTTGGCCTATCAAGGAATTAATATAAAGTTTGATTTGAGACAGGAGGAAGTACAGGGGTAGGAGGATGCACAAGAGAAAAGAGAGAGGGAATGAGTGGGAAGAGGCAGTGAGAGGGAGGGAGGGGAGGGGAAGGGAGTAGCAGAGAAAGAAAAGGGAGAATATTGATACTTACTTAGAAATAACTCTCAGGAAAAGAGCTTCTTCATCCTCTTGAATCTTCCTCATTTTCTTCTTCCTCATACGCTTCTTCTTTTCTAGACCCTCTTCATCTTTTGTCCCTTGTTTCTTCGCATCTTCTGCCTCATTTCCTCTTCGTTTCTTGATCATCATATTACCCTGGTCGCTGTCTTCATCCTCGTCCTCTTCCTGTTCTCGTACACTCCATATGTCCCCTTCGCTAAAACTTCGCTTTCTCTGCATCATCTTGATCTTGGCCTCACGTAGGGTTTTGGGCATCTGTGCACGTCCCTCCTCTTCCTCATTACCACAACTCTCACTCAAGGAGGTACTTTCCCTTGCTGATTTGTGGCCCCCCGAGCTGGATTCTTCAAGTCGCTTCCGCTTTAGCCCCTTCTGTGAATCTGATGATTCGCTGGACTCGACTACAACGTTTCTCTTCTTCTTTTCGAAACTTTTGTCACTTGAAGAATCTTTTAACCTCTTGTTTCCATCTGAATCTGCTTCTCCGTCCTCAAACTGCCTTTTCCTTTTCTTCGTTCCTTGATCATCACCTACCGATCCTGTCATATTAGTCCCTCCTGCTTTCTTTGTACCATGTTCTGTAACTGCTCCTACCCTGTAATCAGTCTTGAAGTCTTCAGATCCTCTGTCTGGAACTCTCATTTGCGGATTTCTGGAGAGATGTCCCTTGCTCTGATCAAATTCTAAAGGCACAATTCTCTTATTTCCTCTCATCTTGGGGAATTTTCCAGCTCGGTCCATCATATCGGGCGGGGGATTGTTCATCAGCTGCATGATCAGGAAAAGCAAGGAATAAAACAATGATTTAACCATTTAAAGCAATACCAATTGAAAGAACTTTCTGCCCTAGCAAACTGTTACTAACACAGCGCCAAATCATTGTCAACTTTCTAACAGTGCATAATCCAATAACTAATTTCCACTCCCCAGACAGAGGACTCGATGCAAGAATCAGCAGCGCAGCTAGGGAAGCAGCAAGTCAAAGGACCAAACTGCTACTGCTGACCTGAGATACCGCTACAGGGGACTTTTCGGTAGTGCTTCTAGTCCAGTATGGCAGTAAACCTCTGTAACCTGTATAGATTTTATATTAGTCAAATCCTTTCCATCTCAACATAATGCTCAGCCCAGCATATAACTATAAGTCGATGCATTGCTTACATTAAAAACTTAGTGACTATTATTACTAGTATAATAGCAAATTTGCCTGGCTAGATAATTTGGGGATAGCTAGTCAAAAGAAATATAACTACTTATTGTATTCCTTATATTTCTAAGGGCAATATGACAATGAAGCAAGAATATAACAACACACACCCACCCCAAAAAACTATTGTCACAATCATCCCTAGGCAACTACCTAGGGAGTATTACATACTACTGGGTACGGTGAAACAATACACAGGAGCGGTGAGCGATTTAGCTCTTGTGAGCTCCAAAAGTGCTCTGGTAAACTTCAAAAGAGATCTGGTTAACAAAATACAATAGAATAATGTACAATTGTTCTCAGAAAATCACACTTTTCTATCAACAAATCCTAAAAGAGCCCCCTTATTAAAACAGAAAAGTCCTTTTTTAAACTGGCTGGGTAGTTGTAGAGGGGTATTTGTCCGAGTGGGGTAGACTTTGGGGGTATCTTCCTAGTACAGTACTAATACACACCTCACATGCTTGATCTGCCTCCTCTGGAGTTTCAAACTCTATGAAAGCGAATCCTTTGATATCTGAAGTAGATTTGTAGCGTGGTAGACTGACGTACACCACTTTACCACAGTATGAGAATGCTTTCCTCAGCAAGTCATGGTCGGCTTTCTTTGGTAGGCATTCCTGGGAGAAAAAAGAACATCAGAAACATTTCAATCTATGTTAAGTGGCAAACGCTCAGTCCTCGGATAGGACATTAAATGGAGGCCCCGTGTAGATGAGAGTCACCACCCTGGCACCAGTGGTCCACCTGCACACCTCCAATCAGTTATACCGGGAGGAGAGACCCGAGGGTTACAGGGATTCAGTTCGCTTTTCGCCAAATACTTAATAATATAATAATAATAATACTCTAGCACTATGACACATTTTTGTCTTCTTTTACTAATGGTGCCAAGCAATTTTCCATATTTACTTGTCATTCCCTGCATGAAAACCAACTCTCAAATCCATTGCTTCTCACTGATAATAATGGCAAAGAGATAGTGCACTAAAAAGATATCAAATCTATTGGCCCACATTAAATACATTGAAATGTAAATTGTTCTACAAAGTACAAATCATTAAAAAATTAATCATGAAAAAGAGTTCAGTCTACAAACTGAAAATTATGCCAAAAACTATGTCTATAACTTTTTCTTTTGTCCCTCTGTCTCAAACAATACTTCCCTAAAAGAGCTCATTTGCTAAGTGGAAAACTGAAAATTGATCAAAGAAAAAACTAGATTTTCCAAAAGCCTTTTCTATTATTTTGGAAAGCATTGAGGTTTTTATCCTGGTAACCCCCCCCCCCCCCATCTCTCCCTAATCCTCTCCCTTCCTTCCCCTCTCCCTAACAGCAGAGTGAAAACTTACCACATATACAGTGCAGTCGTCAGGATCATACTTCGGTGGCTTCAATGTTTTTCTTCGCTTCACATAGAGCTGATCCTCACTAAGCTTCAGGATGGCGGATAGCTGAATGGCTGAAATGACCATCTTCCTATCTTCTGTCATGGATAACAACTTATTAAAGTTGGCTATGATGTCCACACTTATATCTGAAATGAAAACGATTGAAATAAAATGTTTTACATATCTTGATCAACGTATAGGATACATAATTACATTAATACAAAATATTTTTACTGTCTGCTACAACAGTGAAATAATCAAGCAAAGCTCAGTGCATTTAAATCTTTACTTCAGGGGTCCTTTTTAATTTTCCTGTTTTATGTAACACTAACTGAAAAGTTGTTATGGTCTTTGCATCTGAATTTTTAAAATAAATATAATAGAGTTCACAAATAACACGGCAAAGTATGAAACACTGTCGCCTTGACAGCCAAATGATAAAAGCCATTCAAAAACTTATTGTCTGTATAATATTTGTTCTTGAGGCCATTTTAGGGTGCCCTATACCATGATCTCATCCTAATAACAACTTGAGGAAAATCATGAAATCGTTAGTGATGTCCTCTTCACTTAAAATTCAAATCAATGACAATGAACACTTTATATTTTGATATTTAATGCATCTTTAATAATTAAACAAAATCATTCAACAAGTTTCGAAGACGAAGTTGGGGTGTTATAAGCAGTCTCAGACTTACATCCATCTTTACTTTTAGCCATCTCCTGCTTTAGAAATCAGGGTGTTATACGCAGTCTCAGACTTACATCCATCTTTACTTTTAGCCATCTCCTGCTTTAGAAATCAGGGTATTATAAGCAGTCTCAGACTTACATCCATCTTTACTTTTAGCCATCTCCTGCTTTAGAAATCGATCCTTCCTCAAGTTGGCATCACTGAAGTAGAACTCAATCTGCTGACAGACGTCAAGCGCAAGTTTCTTATGACGTTTTCTACGCTTCTTCTCCATAGAGGTGTCTCCTGGCAGTGAGCCGTCTTTTGCTTCTGGTTTATTTGCCATCATGCTTTTGACCTGCAAATGTAGAAGCAATAAGAAATATATGGGAAAACTGGTAATAGGGCCTGGGATCAAATAACTTCATCTGCTTAAATCTTTTGCCTAAGATGATAAGATTATTTCAATTTCTGTAGGTCTTCTTTTCATTTCCTAAAAACAACAAAGTATTATATACTGCAAGTTACTTGTTGACACTCTGAGAATCTACAGCTAATGCCAAAGGTCTATACATTAAGCGGGATTGACAAACACACTCACAGCACAGGTCAGGGAATGCACTACACTGTTCACTAAACTGTTTTGCCTTTTCTTTTTTTTACATGATTCATTTATTTTTATTTTTTTAATAATACAAATATCTAATCAATTTTGTCAAAATTTAAACAATAAACTTTAAAAAAAAAAGTAAGAGTCTAGACCTAGGTCTAGGGTCTAAATAAGAATTTTCTGTCTCTTTCGTTCGTTAGCCTCTGATTTGGGTAGGGTCGGAGAGGAGCCAACCCTACCCAAATCATCAGAGGCTAATGAAAGAAAGAGACAGAAAATTTGGTCTATCTCTCACCCATCCAAAAACACATAGATCTAGACATCTAGATCTAGGAGTAGGAAGAAAATGAAATTGAACTGGAAGCCCGACTGCTGAAAACACAGCATTCTTCCAGAATCTCGGGTAAAGGTAAAGGTAAAGGACTTCCCTGTGGTATTTTATAAAACAAAAACAGGATTTGAGCCAAGTTAACATTAATGTTAGGCCTACCGTACAGGTGTCTACGTGTATGAATATTCATGGTTGCATTTAGACCAAAAGCTTTAGTCTCTCTAAACGTCGGTTGTTCCACTGAGACTACGTCTGGCTAGACCTCAGATTAATGTCAACAAATGTCAGTTTTATTAAAGAAATGACCCATATCAGACGGTTATTGTATTGAGACGTAGTTCAGATATATAAGACACGTGCATGCGTGGACTTTATTAAGTCATTCAATCCCGTAGGATACATACATGTATATCATAACATCCCCTTTTTTTTCAAATTTAAATGTTAAGTATTGAATGTACACTTATAACCTTTTGCTAGATAAAAATCTTTCCTTTCTAATATGAAAATCTTAGAAAAACTCTTAAATGATTTTCTTTGAATAAAACTCAAATATTTGTTATTGTTATTAAACTTATAAATTTCATACGATTTTGGAATGTGAGGTCAGGTTGATCATTTGCTAACCTTGTTCAATATTGTTACCCAATTATTTGTACTGTCTGATACAACTTTGAGTAAATAGGTGCACTTATTCAACTCAAAATTACACTCAAGTATAATCAGTTACTACTGTTTTCCTAAGCAATAATAATAACTTTTCACATTGTTTGTATAAAACACTTGTTACGTGTCTCTGACAAATGTTACAGTAATTTGAACTTATTGATCTCATTTCAATGTCTAAACATGATGATAACATGATGTAACAAATTGTCGCCTCGTTACTCGTATTCTGCTTAATTCTGCTTAATTATGAATCAATGTCATTTCACTTTCATCTGCTATGATTACTATGAACTTGTATTTCACCATAATAAATGATGAGTACAGCTCTGGAACATGAATCAGTTATTTCTGTCTAGATCTAGGTTGCCTTTGACTATTTTGAGCATCTGAACTTCAATTCAGTCCCACACCTTATCAATTGCGTGAGGAAATTTACGAAAGCTATACCGATTTGCCTAAACTTCACTCATTCTCTCATTCAATTTTGTTCTAAATGCTGATAAATGTCTTGAAAAATCTCACCATTACCTATTCTCAGGTCTGATGGGTTTCCTGGAAACGGTACACGAAGCTAGCCACTCTAATTTGGTATCCTCAAACTTCAAAGGAGCGAGTTTTCTCAATCTTGCAAGCTAGCCCCAAACGATGACCCGACGGCTTGCGATGGCGAGTCCATGCTCCAGCGCCCTCGAGGCCCGGTCGAGATCGACCGACTGCAGCCAATGAAATCCCAACATATGGGGCCACAGCACAGTTATGTACAGGGCTCGAAATTACAATTATTTATTGGGGATCTCCGTTAAGTTCAATTACCAAAAGTCAAGTGCAAGTACAAGATATTTAAGAAATACCCTATTTGCTTTATATCATTGAACCCCCCCCCCCCCCCCCCCCCCTTGGAATTAACTCTGGTGCAGACTACTAAGAATAGGTCCTACTGATTAATCGTCATCATTACATTTATTATGACTCTTTGATCACATCTATTTTTGAACTTACTTTGTCAACCACCGGTATGTTCTTTATTGTGCAAACAATTGATATATGAAATGGAATAAAATCAATCAATCTCCATTGATTGTAGGCACCACCAAGCTCCCCCCCCCCCCCCCCCCCCCCCCCCCCCCCTCCAGTACCCATATGAGTCTTTCCTAACATACTACTCCCATCTTGTCTCCCTATACCTGAGCTCATAGAGATATATATATTGAAGACTATATATAGTATATGTCGCTTAGAGACTTTGGTGAAAAGCGCTTTATAAGCACGTTTTATTATTTATTGTTATGTCCCAGCCCCTCTGTGTACATTTTCCCCTTCCATTCAGAGAGAAGAGCTAGGAGGTAGTAAAAAAGAACACACATATAAATACAGATTTAGAGAGAGCGAGAGAGAGAGAGAGGGAGGGAGGGAGGGAGAGAGAGAGAGAGATATATATATAGAGAGAGAGAGGGTGGGGGGGGGGGGGAGTGTGAGTGAGTAGGGAATAGAGAAAGTAGATATAAAAGGATAAAATTGACAGAGGGGAGAAGATAGTGGAACTGGAGCAAGTGGTAGAGAAAAGACAGCAAGAAAAGAGCAAGAGAACACTGGAGACAGAGATGCGTACCTTTAATAATCAGGAAAATGTAAAAACACAATTTTTTACACCATTGCAAGAAAGTATTCACTTTCTGAAATAAAGCAAAAGTCGAACAGGTAATTTTCTTTCAAGATGTTTAATTGTGATGAAATTTTTCACGATAGAAAAAAGGGTGCATATAGTATAACATAATTTCAGTACCATATAAAAACAAGTAACTGACTAATATTATCCTAAAATAAATCACATATTTGCAATGGTATATATTTGTCATTGTTTTGAACACAGCTAGATAAATATATTTCAGAAGGAAATCAAATCATTTGCATTTTCCTTGGAATATGATGAAGGCAAAATTTCATTAAGCAATCTATAATTAGTTTAATAATTTAGTTTAGTAAATCCATGGCATATACCAGAACAGGCAAACAGAAAATGTTGATTTTAAATTTTAAGTTTTTTAACATGATTGTGATACAAATCTTCAAAAATGTGCACTAATAGAAGTAATGGACATTCAGTGTGATTTGCGTAAACCTGGTAACATTCTAATAAACTAAGGTATATTACATTCATTGATTTCTTTTCAACAATTTCCAAATAAAAATCTAATCTTTTTTAATTCTTGTTCATTCATAAATGGACCACAAAACCAATTAGTAATAGATAGTCATAATTCATGACTCTTTTATTTTTATATGTGTATATAATGAAGTTAAATGAGTTAATGATGGACAATTAACTTCCAATTTGTATGAAATTTCTATTACTTGGAATACAGTTATGTTCACATGAAAGCAAATTCAACTTGTTTGTAATTTAGTACTTCTCTGTATGTCTTTGGGAACAAAATACTCCTCATTCCTCCTCTTTAAAACAAAAACAAAAACAATAAAAAACTAATGTATACAAAAGTTGGTAATTAATAAACTTGTGCATAATAGAACATGCATGCTTTTGATCCAAGGCATTGTAAAAAAGCAGTACTTCAAATGAATGTTTAAAAATATAAACTGCTTTTTATCCAATGATATTGCACAAAAGTGATGACTGCAATGAATTTCCTGAAAACTCTCGGATCATAACATATAATAACAGAACTTCATAAATCCTCAAATAGTGGCTGTTATGAATGTTAAGCTCTCTCCACGAGTCTTTCCTTCTGTAATTCCCCTAAAATTAAGGGGTTTTGTGCAATTTCATCCCCACCCTGAAAGGACAATCAACCAACATTATTTCCATTATAGCTATAAACAACAAATATAAAAATCAGTGATCACCATGCTTGTCTTGGTTTGATGGCAAATATCAAGGTATACGTCATGATTCATTATCAAATAGCCTGTTACAAATTCTACGCATAATGAAAGATTTGTTCTTGAAAAAATTATGCAAAGTGTATTTTCTGTTGATGTGATCATGCCTCTTTACTCCTAGATTTGCAGACAATATATAACTCTCTGGGACAAACAATCATGATAATATACTTTTCCTTCACTTCTGGTCTTCAGAAGCAGAGTCTTTTAAATAATCATTGACTTTATAATAATGAAAACTTCTTTGACATGATGAATAGCAAGCAGCATCGTGAAATAAAATGGATGCACTACAAACACATCTACATAGATCATATGATTATAGATGAAACAGTATCTGTGAAGGTCCCCTCTTTCTTTTCAAAAGAGACTTTCGACTAAGGTGTCTAACAGCTCTTAATGAATAGATGACCTATTAAACTTCAAATCTCTATATATCCTATGAGTGCATCAAATTTGGCATAAATAAATGAATTTATGTTATTGCTAAACATTACAAATATTTCACAGTCTACAATTTCTAATTGGAATGTTCAGATTGAAATCTTGAGAATGATCTTTCTCTTCCTTCGATTGGCAATGTAAAAGAACAATAATTTTTTTTCCCTTATTTTTTTTCCATAAGTACCGGGTACTTGTTTTACCGGAAAATACAAATGCAAGAAATAGAAAATATACACCTAAACCAGACTAAAAAATTATTTAGTACACATACAATTACATGAATATACTACAAGAAGTTCAAATGAAATCTACATTTAAATGCATGGTCATGTTGAATCTAACATCTGATATCAGTTTTAGATAGTATTATCTGTATTCATTTTGCTGACAAAGTGACAGATCTATGTGATCATTTCGCCAAAATAAATTACAAAGTGTGATTGTCTTTTCTGTCTTAAAAATGTTCATCTTCAAATGTTCTGCTTTCTTCTACAGCCCATCAATGATGAATCAATGTATAAACTTCATCACATGAACAGAATATGAGAAATACTGTATATTCAAGTCTGCACATGGGGCAAGGTGCAGTCAAACAGTCTTTTCCCCCTAGTGACAAGGTACACACTTTATTTTCATAATTCTAGACAAACCAATGATTTCCACTTGAAGAAAAAAATGAAGGAAGATAATCCTTTAAAAACATATACGATTCTGAGAATATGTAATAAAATATCTAGTTGATAATTCATACTGTAAATTGAAACTACTAAAAACTTAACTATATTTGTCACTGTTAAATGTAAATGCCACACTTTCCTGGCCATTCATTAATTCTGTAATGAAATGAAAATGAAAATGAAAACCAACATACATATTTGGCAATCCATGGGACTAGAGGCGAATGAATACGCAATCTTCACTCTGCATGTAATAATGCAAACAAATGGGTATTGATGACATATCCTCAAGGAGACTGTATTGATATCAAACAAATTGTCTGCAACTCAAACGTTGAATACTTCTTTCCCGTTCCTGAAATGCCTTGCTCTCATTTTTTGTTGCAACGAGACGACTGAAAACATTCTTCACAGAGTTTACAGAAAATATTAACATAAAGCATCTGTCACACAGGCTAGAATGGTAACAAAAAGTACAATTATGGCGTAAATATATTCATAAATAAATGATACACGCCAATAAAACTAAAAACAACAACAACAGTACAAACATTCAGATAAAATGCTCCTTCCTTGCTTGAGTTGGTAAATCACCTCTATGCCCTGGAGCTAAAAATGAAAACCGTATATATATATATATAATGTTGCAAGGGTGTTGCATATGCACAATGCTAAAGGCTTGTTCAGATACGACGCGGCAAAACCCCAGCTTTTTCTTTTTTCGATGACCTAAAGTTGCAAAATGCTTCACATTTCTACATGTATATCTTATAACATCTTGTAGAGATGTCGTGGACGAGTGGATATGTCACCGGACTGTGGATCACAAGGTTCGCGGTTCAAGTCCCACCGCGGCACTAGTGTCCTTTGGCAAGACATTGATCTACATTTGCCACTCTCCACCCAGGTGTTAATTGGGTACCCGGTAGGATGCGAAAGCTAATGTGGTTAGATTAGCAAGTGTGCGCTTGTAAAAAAGACGCCTGGCTGGAATGCTTCTCAGGGAGTGGAGAATGTGCATACATTGTGTGCGGGTAAACCTGAATCCTATGACCGGGGTAATAATATAACTATCTGTAAAGCGCTTTGAGAGGGCCTTCGGTCCTGAAAAGCGTTATATAAGAACTAGCTATTATTATTATTTAACACAGAGCTCCTTAAATACGCACAAGTTCTTTGTTGCCATTCATTTTACACGCTAACAAAAATCGTGGTTTCTTTTTTTGTAGCGGTTTACTTCGTAATACTTGAACAAGCCTTTAATTTGTTGTATTTGCATCAAGGGCATTTCATAAGGTGGGTCACCATCTCAAGATGAGATGAGCGTGAATTCTTTTATCGGAAAAGGCACTATAACTCCATCTTGGACTTCCTCTTCTTCTTCTGTGGCTTCGCCTTCTTGTCTTTACCTTTACCTTTACCCTTCTTCTTTCCTTCATCCTTCTTCTTCTTATTCTTTGAGCAGACCCCATTTCGTCCATAACAGAGTTTCTTATCAAGTTTTCCGCTCAGATAGAATCCGTAAAGCTCATCCTCGTCAAAGTCACCCAGGTAACCCTGACACATCTGTAACATCCTGAAAGAAAAAAAAAGATTGGATCTTGGTATGTAAAGTACATTAATGTCCTTTTGCATTTATCAACATTTGCCACTCCATACCCAGGAGAGAAATGGGGACATGGTAGGATGGCGAAAGCCTTTGTGTTAGTAAATGCCATCTGCCCTCATCGTGACCGTATGGTAGGAATACTCCCCTGGGAGAGGAGATCTCGCGTTAATGAATCCAAAGATTGGGGTATTAATATCTGTAAAGCTGCGATTAGAGACGGTATTTTGTATTAAGCGCTATATTTTGAAGCCAAACCATAATAACATGTACATCTCATATGGTTCAGTAAACCAGAGACTTGTCAGGAGGGGGGGGGGGGGGGGGTCGAAACATTGGTCTTACTCCAAAAAAAAAAAAAAAACGAATTTATAAGGCTTCTAATGAGGGGGAAGGTGCAGGAGGTGATCCAGGCATTTTTTCTTCTAATCCTCCTTCCCTCCTCCCTTACCTTTCCCTCTTTCCTTTCTTTTCTTTCTCTCCTCTTGTTTTAGGTCCCCTCCCCCCCCCCCCATGTCCCCTGTAGCTACGCCACTGACTAAAGTAGTTTTCTAAGACTACCGGCCCTACACAAAGGTACTCTGGAGTATTATCTTACCTGAAAGGCCACTTTCCACCACCTTGCATGATACCAGGAGTATCCTGGATCTTGGATCCTGGACCAGACAGACGCTTCTTACCGTTGATCTCCTTCACTCCAATACTGTATCATGAAAACAAGAGAGAGTATATTAATAGGAATGTAATTAAAAGAGAGAGTGTATACATTTTTGTTTTGTTTTGATTGTGTATTGTCCATCTGTTGAGCAGTCATGTCTATCAAGCCTTTTTGTGCTTTTGATGACCCTGTCACTTTTATTTACAAAAATAATTTGTCTTTGATTTCATATGTGTTATTTTATACTGGAAATAAATAATTTGATGTAACATCAAAACTTCAGTCTATTGTTGTCAAGAGAATTATTAGCATGTACAGGACATACAAACCCCAAAAGAATAGCAAATGGAATTCAAGAATGAGCAATTTGAGCATCACAACAGATTACCAACTTGGCATGAGTCAGTCTTGATTTTTTTGAATAAAATCATCTTTAAATAGTATCATTATTCCCATCATCATCATCATCACATTCATCAACTTTGTTATCATCATTCATTACCATTAATACGATCATCATAGTTACAATCATCACCAATATGACCACCATTGTCTATAAATCATCCTTACCATCATTATTACTATAAATTCTATCATCAATATCATCATTTTATAACTAATCTATCATACCAATTATCATTATTAACACCATAATTATGTGCATTATTTGATACTTTCATGACTACTCTGGGCAATACCACAATTATTGCTTTGAAGCTAATCTTGGTTTAGAATGATATATTTAGACAGTCTGATAAATGTTTGTCAAGGATTTCTCCCCAGGGCCATCAGAGACCATTTTGATAATTTTTTCTTTTTGCCCAATATGCGCAAGAAAGAAAAAAAAATAAAAAAAATAAAAAAAGTAGGTCATTAATAGTACATTGCTAGGGAGTTGCGGGGGGGGGGGGGGGGGGGGGGGGGGGTTCACATGCCACCCATGCCCTGAGCAACACCCCTTTATAATTATATACATGACTGACAAGAAATTACATACAAATTGTTGATACAAAAAGGATGTAATAATTATAGTTATGGAGTATGGACAAGATCAAAACTTGGTATGCCCAGAAAGGTGGGGGGGGGGGGGAATTATTTGTCCTCTTACTTGTTAAACTCATTAGAGCATATCTCTTCAAAGATATCGATGATGTCAGATTCTGGAAGTTTCTTCTTCAAAGATGGCCGTTTGTCATTTGCTCTGTCCAGACGTTCTACCATCTAAAACAAAGAAGAATGTAGGGTGTAGAGTAAAACTATATGATAATGGAAGCTAATGTAATGTTAACAAAGCTAAGAGTCAAAAGGCAAGGAGAGTATATAAAGGGAAGATAACCTTTCAGCTTGTACTGGTAATAACATTCAAATCAACACACATAAACATATATACCGGTAATAATCAATGTGTCAAGGACCTTATAATATAATTCATTTAAAGTTATTCAGAACTCATAATGGCATTGGATGTGCTATGAAAAAGATTAACATAAACATCACCACTGTAAAATAATCTCACATTCATTTAACATTTCTGGATATTCAACAATGAAAAATCAGCAGGGATACAGACCTGAATTAAATGAAAAGGGGATTACTGTCTTAGAAATAAGTTGACCCTGTGTTTGTGATACATACAAAGAGCCACTGTAAAACAATTCTGTAAAAAGTATTTTCGTAATTTCTGAATATCTTAATTACACGTACAATGCATTGATATTGATTACAAACTACCAAACGATTCATGGTACCATTAAATCATAAAAATAGGGCACTAGTAAAGGATTTTATTGTACACTGAGCAAATCGCAAAATCATAAAATTATGAGACACCATATCATTAATACTAATAGTACAACAGTTGAACTTAAGTATGTGTACTCAAGTACAAGGTACAAAAAATACAGGTGTGGCGGACTGTACCAGAATAGAAGAAGAGACTAAAAAGGAGAAGATCATGATGAAAGAAAAGAAGACAAAGACTTTATTAAAGTCTAAAGAGGAAAAGAAGATGAAGAAAAGTACCCCCCCTCCCCCCCCCCCCCCCCCCCCCCCACCCCCCCCCCCCCCCCCCAAAAAAAAACACCTCTATTCTGTAAGAAATGTGTGGTTGTATAAAATGCTTTAGGTCTATATAATAATAATATCAGAGTACAGCTAGGAAAAAATGGAAAAGAAAAGAAAAAAATTGAAGAAAAAGGAAAAAATATTATGATGAAACGGGTAAAGACAAGGAAAAAGAGAACTTAAGAGAGAAAAATAATATAGATTTGATTGATTTGATTTATTTTTCCACTCAAATATCCACAAGTTAAATGACATATATAAACCATACAGTATTACAATATAATAGAGCAAATGAATTTAATACTGACAAGTAGGTTCGTAATAAAATAAGTTGACAGAGTACATTTAAGTTTGAGAATAAGACAACATATTTTATATTGCTTGCCTTGATTTAACTGTGAGGGGAAAAAAAGGGGATCTCAGAAAAGCTAGGCTTGTTCAGCGAGATTCCCAGTATAAATTAAGAAATAGACCATCAACAACGTGCATCAAATCCTGCACATGTCCGCTCCCAGAGAGATGAAGAAGAAATTTTAGCAATATGACTGAAAATTTGAAAAATGAGATGGGGGCGTGGCAGTTACAAACAATTTCATAGTCATACTATACCATGTGAGAAAGAATATGGCAGGCATCACATTTCATTGACGAGGGTAGATGAGGAGAGTGGTAGTCTTCATCATCAAGATCTGGAGTTGAGAAGTTGATGGTTCCAAGACTGTCACCAGCTGGCATAGGAGGCTCTTCCTCCTCTTCTTCTTCCTCCTCCTCCTCCTCCTCCTCTTCGGACACGTATTCGTCCTCAAAATCTTCTTGTTTTTCAAATCCTTTCCTAGGTCCTCTTCTAAGAGGCACAGTTCCTTCTTCATCATCTTCTTGAGCGAAAACGATGTGTGCACTCATGGCGCAGAAGGAAAGGAGAATTGTGAAACAAATGAAACGGGTCGCCTTCATTTTGTCAAATCAGTGTTAATAACAGAGAGGGTACAAGGCGGTGGTTGCAAACGTGTACACGGAGGAGGTCCGGCGTCCACGGTAGTCGGCGAGACGGCGGAGAGGCGGTGGCTCGGCTGCTAATTCAACAATCTTGCCCCTCGGGCGTAATTCTCTGTTCGTTTATATTAATAAGGCAACAGTTTCTTATGAATATTGGCAGCAACAGCACAGCGCTAATATACGTCAAAAACCTGAATTAGCAGGAGAGATGTTTATATGATCTCTCCCTGTTATAAAGTTCAGAACAGCAGTAGATCTAGATAATTGTACGATGTAAACAAGTTCAACGAATCACATGTGTACACGTATATTATTTTGTTACACGTACGTCGCTCGCGCTCTAGCTATATGATCATATGAGGATTTGAGCCCTCAGCGTTATAAACATTATTATATAGGTCTATATTTTTTTTGGTTGTATTTTTGTGTATTTTTTTTTTTTTTTGGGGGGGGGGTTCATTCTTCTTCTTATTATTCTTCCAAGGAAAGTGCTGCTTCAAGGCCTTTAAGATATCGCACTGCCTGTGCTTGTGAGAAGCTGTGTGAGCCTGCTGGTCAGGATCCTTAATTGTGCAGATATTTACAGGGTGCCAGTAACAAAAACTTTCAATCCCGTGAGGGCAATTTAATAATAATAGGGGTGGATCTACTGGGAGATTGTTCCAGTCCTTGATAGTTCTGGGGAAGAAGGAGCTGATGTAGGCTTGGTTGAAACACAGTGTCGATCTGAATTCATGAATTGTTCAATGTTTTCAGTCTCAGCTCGCTGATTTTTTAGGTATTTCTTCAGATGAGCATATTTTTATACCTTATTTGTGACACTGGCCACCAGCAGCTCACTATATTTTGTTTAATAACGTAAATCATGGTCTGAAGCAATATTTCATCCAATTGAGACACTTCAGATTAGACAAAGTAATGTTGCGTTGTTGCGGCCCGGGCGCGATTCTCATTAAAAACCATTAAAACAACCACCCTAGCGCAGCATTTGATGGAAGGGGGGGGGGGGGGTACATCGGATAGGTATAGGAAAATTGAGTGTCACGTAGGCCTATAACTTTGTTTTATTTAAAAAAAAATCTAATAAAAAGTTGGCTGAAAGAAATGAAAAGAAACCGTACATGTGTTCCTTTTCATGTCATGATAAGGAAACTCCGCCCCTGGGTTGTACTATTACTATTAGGTCTATACAAAAAAAGATGTTGTATTGCCCTTTGCGACCGACTCCAAAATCATGAAATCTACGGTTGGCTTTTTAAAATATTTTTTTAATGCCGTTTTTTAGAAGAAAAAAGTGTATTAAAGCCCCACTGTCCTACTTGTAGCTATTTCTCCCTCTATAGAGTACTGTAACATTATAGAGCATAGCTATTCCACAAAGCAAAAAGAAGGCCTTGGACAATTTCTTCTTTCAAAATTTAGATTTTTTTTGGGGCAGTGAACTTTGGAATAGATTATCTATTAATGTCAGATTAACAAGGTTAGAAATAGGTTTCGGAATTCTGTTACAAGTCATATGCTGAACAAATCATGGCAAGTTAAATAATATACACATGCACACATCAGTTTGTATATTGTAAGACATTGTTAAGTATTCTTATTTTTTAAAGTATCGATTCTAATAGTAAGTCCATTATTTTGTTTCCTATACTGATTTGTACCAAAATACTTTGTTTAGCTGTTTAAGGGGTTAAGCTCGACTAGCACATGTGCTATTATCTGGCCCCTTTTACCAACCAATAGTTTCTCTTCCTGTACATGTAAACAAATTGTATCAAAATGTATTACTGCCGCATTGCTGTTGTCGGTAAATATAATCAAAAATCAATCAAAGATCAAAAAGAAGAAGTGCTAAGGCGCTATTAACCAAAATTTCAACTGGGAAGATCATTATACAGGAGCAGTTTTTAGTTGTTACCAACCATTTCAGATGGATTTCTTAATGAGTAGGTAAGATAATTATGGGTTTTGACAATGACATATTAGTATTTTGCAGAAATTCATTTTTTGTGACCGATTTTGTTTTCCTATCGAATCATAACAATGAATCCGTATTCCCAGCGATCCTACACTGTAAAAAAATAAAAGTCGAAATAACTCAATAAAATTGAGGAAAAGAATTGCCTTATTTTTATTAAGTAAATATTACCTACGGCATCTTAAGTAGAATTTACTTATTTTGCTGAATAAATTTTTACTCAGTTAAATCGAGTTACATTAACGTAAATAATTTAAGTATTGTAATCATTTTAGATAATTAAAAAAAAAGCTATGATAGGATTACATATTGCACGATTTGGTACCCGGCAATCTAATCTAACAAGTAACATCCACCAATCATTCACTACTTCTATTAAAGATTTAACCGTACATATTGTGACGGTTGCGTGAAACGGAGAAAGGGGGGGGGTTTGATAGAAATCCCACCGCTGCCACCATTGTGACGGTTTGGCGTGTGAAATCAGGGAAGAAGAAGGAGGGGGGGGGGGGGGGGGGAGGTTGATAGAAATGCCTGCCACCATTGTGACGGTTCTAGGGAATCGGGGAATCAAGGGGGGTGGTTAATATGCTTCCACCAGTGTCCCAAAATCATCCCCATCGCTACATAAACCTTCTCCTGCTACCATTATAGCGAATTCTATCAATATAGGGAATACAAGTAAAACAGGTCTGGAAAGAAGACTACATTCATAACCACTTTTATGTCAGTCTCTTATACCATTAATTCTGACGGTTGCTGCCACCACCTAGTCTTAATCTGGAGCGCTAGGATCTCCAAAACAACACGGTTTGTGTGTTTACATTCACTCTGTAATCTGATACACTCTCACTTACATACACAGATTCCTAAGAAACCGGACCATGCGTCCTTCTACTAGTATACGCTTAAAGTCATTGTGACGTATGGCAATTGCTTCCTTTTGGGACGCACTGTCTCGTCCTTTCCAATCTGTCTCTCGTCACGTGTAAGACGCACTGTCTCACTCTGGGAAAATCCTGTATTGATTTGGCCATTTCCACTCAAAGTTAGCTTCTAGAGTCTCAAACCACTTCACAATATCTTCCATCCTTTTATAGGTGAGTGTTATTCTCACCCCTGATACCGTAATTAAGTATCATTAAGTAGGAACTAATCATGTTTTTGTCTCTCTAACAAGCCTCACAACACCATTTAGACCATAATCATGTCCCATACATTCATTTCTGTGTATCAAGTCTTCCACTCAGTCACTCACTAAATAACAAAAATAGTAGGCCTGAGTCATGTCGGGATTTTCATAAACCGGGTCCCGACGGCCTCGCACCGATCGGGACCCGGTGTCCCGAAGTCAGCTCGCAAGATTTGTCACTTGCCTCTATAAAAAGCGCAAATCATGATTATTATCATCAGTATGTCCCTTAAAAGTGACCAGTTTTGTCAATCAAATAAATCAACACATGCATACCTCGGCTCAGATCGGTATATTCTTCCATTTGACATTATTTTCATCCATGATTGGCGATGTTTAGTGCCATTATCGTGCCTCTAAAAGTAAAAAAAACTGAGGCAAAAATCGAAAGACATCATTCGACCCGCCAGTTTGATTTATGCAGGTCGAATAAATCTGGTCAAAAATATGAATGTTAGAATAATAAAACGGCTTTCTAAAAAATTCTTCTTTACAATATACCGATCATATAATTTTTAAAGACAAAATAAATATTTATCTCTTATTTTAAACATCGCATGCTTTTTTTTAAAAGCTGAAAATTACTTGGTAATCACAAGAAGTTTCGATACGGATAGCTGTTGCAAAACAAGTTCAGACTAGTCTCGGAAAAATGCGCAGTGCTCCTCGTTAGCTGTAATGCGTGCCAGAACGAACCCGAACAAAGACGTGATTGTAACGAGAAAAAAAAATCATTAAAAACTACGAGCACAATTGGAAAGACAACTACTGCTCAAAATTACCATAATCAGATACATAACTTGGACAAAGAATTCAATAATCGCCCAAGAAATGCCACAGAAATTGTGATAATCGAGGAGTAACTGGGTACATTTTTATCGCAAGGCCTGCTGCAAATACTCGAATCCTATGTTATACTGCTTTTTACCGTAGAGGGCGGTATTTGGTTTCATTCTAGCCTCGTGTTCAAACACGTGTAATTCGGACATATCAGCAGGCCCATTCCGATAATGATTGTACCTATAGTAACTCCTTAAATATCACTGTTTCTGTGGCTTTTCTTGGACAACTATTGTATTCTTCCTCCAAGTTTTGTATCTTCTTACGATAATTTTGAGTAATTGTCTTTCCAATTGTGCTCTCGTAGTTTTTAATGATTTTTTTCTCGTTACGATCACGTCTTTGTTTGGGTTCGTTCTGGCACGCATTACAGCTAATGACGAGGAGCACTGCGCATTTTTCCGAGACTAGTCTGAACTTGCCTTGCAACAGCTATCCGTATCGAAACTTCTTGTGATTACCAAGTAATTTTCAGCTTTTAAAAGAAGCATGCAGTGTTCAAAATCAAAGAAAAAATATCTATTTTGTCTTTTAAAAATTATTTGATTGGTATGTTGTAAAGAAGTACTTTTTAGAAAGCCGTTTTATTATTCAAACATAAATTTTTCTTTCAACCTGATTTATTAATCCTGCCGAGAGACCCGGCCAGTACAGTAGCTAGCTAGCAGCTGGCAACAACAACCCCATGCCATGGGGCGAACTCCTTTGCAACCCATATTTATATCCGAAGTTCGGATTGATTCAGGATGAGCTTGAAAATGATTGGTAACAATTAAATACTAAAGTTTTAAGGTGGATTGATTTTAGTGGTGTGCAAAACTACAAATTCTTAGATAGATCTATTTCATTTTTTTTTTCGGAGCGTCGGTTCTCAAAAAACGAAACCGGGACCCGATGGCAACGGTCGGGTCCCGGTGTGATCGACCGTACCGACTCAAGCCTAAAAAATAGTATCTTATTCCCTTTCACACTTCCGAGCGATATATAAGGCACGATGACCTGAGTCCGTTTGTCTGAAATATACAGACGAAGTTTTGTGTTCCTGTTTAGTAATAAATCCTACAGTAAGTTCTAATTCTACTATAGATTTTGTACGCTATCATCAACAATGCATACTTAATTTACTAGGCAAACCAGACTAACAAGATTTGTAACTTGAAATCGATCTAAAGTCGAATAATGAATTTATTATTCACTAAGCCATTTCTAGGCAACTGTTCAACAACATAAGAACTGTAAAACTCTCAACAAGAATAGAAATACTTCCATGAACTTACTAACTTA